TGAAAAGCATATCAAATGTAAGTGTAATTGACTCATTTAATGTATTGCAAATATTCACAAGTTACAGAATGGTGAAAAAAGGATGTGTTCGATGGGGCATCGGTTGTTAAATAACTTAAATAGCAAGTAATCCATTACATTGTCCTATTTCTTTCGTCTGAACACAAATTATGATGATTATTGTAACCGCCCCAGGCTGACTCATTGATGATTGGTTTTTACTGAAAATATACAGAATCTCGTGCTGATACTATTTATTTTTGAGGGATATTTTCTAATATTTAAATGTTTTTTTCAGATCCCGCCACTTTTTCAACGTAAGCATTTTGCATCACGGAAAAAGCATATCAAATGTGAGTGTAATTGACTCATTTAATGTATTACAATTATTCAAAAGTTTAATATTGGTAAAAAAGGATGTGTTCGACGTTGCATCGGTTGTTAAGTAACTTAAATAGCAAGTAATCATTACATTTCCTTATTTCTTTCGTCTGAACACAAATTATGATGATTATTGTAACCGCCCCAGGCTGACTTATTGATGATTGGTTTTTACTGAAAATATACAGAATCTCATGCTGATGCTATTTATTTTTGAGGGATATTTTCTAATGTATAAATGTTTTTTTCAGATTCCCATCTTTTCAACAAAAGCATTTTGCATCACGTGAAAAGCATATCAAATGTAAGTGTAATTGACTCATTTAATGTATTACAATTATTCAAAAGTTTAATATTGGTAAAAAAGGATGTGTTCGACGTTGCATCGGTTGTTAAGTAACTTAAATAGCAAGTAATCATTACATTGCCTTATTTCTTTCGTCTGAACACAAATTATGATGATTATTGTAACCGCCCCAGGCTGACTTATTGATGATTGGTTTTTACTGAAAATATACAGAATCTCATGCTGATGCTATTTATTTTTGAGGGATATTTTCTAATGTATAAATGTTTTTTTCAGATTCCCATCTTTTCAACAAAAGCATTTTGCATCACGTGAAAAGCATATCAAATGTAAGTGTAATTGACTCATTTAATGTATTACAATTATTCAAAAGTTTAATATTGGTAAAAAAGGATGTGTTCGACGTTGCATCGGTTGTTAAGTAACTTAAATAGAAAGTAATCATTACATTGCCTTATTTCTTTCGTCTGAACACAAATTATGATGATTATTGTAACCGCCCCAGGCTGACTTATTGATGATTGGTTTTTACTGAAAATATACAGAGTCTCGTGCTGATGCTATTTATTTTTGAGGGATATTTTCTAATGTATAAATGTTTTTTTCAGATTCCCATCTTTTCAACAAAAGCATTTTGCATCACGTGAAAAGCATATCAAATGTAAGTGTAATTGACTCATTTAATGTATTGCAAATATTCACAAGTTACAGAATGGTGAAAAAAGGATGTGTTCGATGTGGCATCGGTTGTTAAATAACTTAAATAGCAAGTAATCATTACATTGCCTTATTTCTTTCGTCTGAACACAAATTATGATGATTATTGTAACCGCCCCAGGCTGACTTATTGATGATTGGTTTTTACTGAAAATATACAGAGTCTCGTGCTGATGCTATTTATTTTTGAGGGATATTTTCTAATGTATAAATGTTTTTTTCAGATTCCCATCTTTTCAACAAAAGCATTTTGCATCACGTGAAAAGCATATCAAATGTAAGTGTAATTGACTCATTTAATGTATTGCAAATATTCACAAGTTACAGAATGGTGAAAAAAGGATGTGTTCGATGTGGCATCGGTTGTTAAATAACTTAAATAGCAAGTAATCCATTACATTGTCCCATTTCTTTCGTCTGAACACAAATTATGATGATTATTGTAACCGCCCCAGGCTGACTTATTGATGATTGGTTTTTACTGAAAATATACAGAATCTCGTGCTGATACTATTTATTTTTGAGGGATATTTTCTAATATATAAATGCTTTTTCAGATCCCGCCACTTTTTCAACGTAAGCATTTTGCATCACGGAAAAAGCATATCAAATGTGAGTGTAATTGACTCATTTAATGTATTACAATTATTCAAAAGTTTGATATTGGTAAAAAAGGATGTGTTCGACGTTGCATCGGTTGTTAAGTAACTTAAATAGCAAGTAATCATTACATTTCCTTATTTCTTTCGTCTGAACACAAATTATGATGATTATTGTAACCGCCCCAGGCTGACTTATTGATGATTGGTTTTTACTGAAAATATACAGAATCTCATGCTGATGCTATTTATTTTTGAGGGATATTTTCTAATGTATAAATGTTTTTTTTCAGATTCCGTAACTTTTCAACAAAAGCATTTTGCATCACGTGAAAAACATATCAAATGTAAGTGTAATTGACTTATTTAATATATTACGATTATTCACAAGTTAAAGAATGGTGAAGAAAGGATGTGTTCGATGTGGCATCGGTTGTTACATAACTTAAATAGCAAGTAATCCATTACATTGTCCCATTTCTTTCGTCTGAACACAAATTATGATGATTATTGTAACCGCCCCAGGCTGACTTATTGATGATTGGTTTTTACTGAAAATATACAGAATCTCATGCTGATGCTATTTATTTTTGAGGGATATTTTCTAATATATAAATGTTTTTTCAGATCCCGCCACTTTTTCAACGTAAGCATTTTGCATCACGGAAAAAGCATATCAAATGTGAGTGTAATTGACTCATTTAATGTATTACAATTATTCAAAAGTTTAATATTGGTAAAAAAGGATGTGTTCGACGTTGCATCGGTTGTTAAGTAACTTAAATAGCAAGTAATCATTACATTGCCTTATTTCTTTCGTCTGAACACAAATTATGATGATTATTGTAACCGCCCCAGGCTGACTTATTGATGATTGGTTTTTACTGATAATATACAGAATCTCATGCTGATGCTATGTATTTTTGAGGGAATATATTCAAATATAAATGTTTTTTCAGATCCCCCAACTTTTCAACAAAAGCATTTTGCATCACGTGAGAAGCATATCAAATGTAAGTGTTGCATGTTTATTAAAGTTTATTACAGTTTCTTCTGAAATGATGTCTTACTTGACAAGCATATATCATAATTTTGTTGATGATATGTATTTAATTTAACTGAAATCTTGTTTGGTTTTCATTTTTTGTCTTTTTTATTATTATTTCTAAATAATTACAATTTTACAGATGTGCTCACTGTTCTGGGGATGAAAATTGAAAAAGGTATTTATTGATTTTAACTCATTTCTATTAAAATACTTTAGAATTTGAAATTTCAAGATAAAATACTTGCTATCCGTGTCTCACAAATTTCTGTTTAAATTATGGTATGTTACTTAAAGAACAACAATTATTTCACAAAATAAACTTTTCTTCTGATAACCACCCTTCCTTCCAGATTCTAAAGACACTATGAGGAGCAATGAAGATTTTTTGGTAAGTTATAACGTTAAAATTCTTTCGTGTTTTACGTTTAATTGTTAAAGCTAAGTCTGTGTAAGAACAATAGTTTCTATGTCAAACAATATGATGAGTATTATGACAAGCATATATCTAGAAATCAAATGAAGAATGATATTGATCCTGACCCTATTATCTGCTTTTAATATTTAAATTATAATTGTGATTATACTAACTTATTTAAATTTTTCAAGGGCATGATTGATGACTACCTTACAAACCCATTCTGCTGAAGCTTGGTTTCTCAAGGATACCTAAAATACATTCCTGTGGAAACATACGAGTTGCGGCTTGTAATTTCTGCTACCTTAAGGTACTTAATGATAAGGTAACATGTTGGAACGAAAAGGTGTCGTAGCACAACTTGCGGGCACTATATGATAGTATAAATAATACCCATTTGTTCAATTTTGGTTATTAATGTTTAAAACCTGAAATAAACAAAAATATCATGGCGATCGAAACTGAAAATTCGAATATTGAGCGCGGCACATTCATTAAAATCTTTTATAAAAAATTAACAATTTTGAGAAAAGATATTTTTGAAGAAATGACGACGAAGAAGTCAAGTCCGCAATTTTGGCCTATTTTGATAGCCAAGATCTTTTTATTTTTTCGATGGTATTAATAAATTATTTGAGAAATCCGAAAAATGTGTTAGGGTTAAGGGAGAATATATTGAAAAGGAAAAATAGTTTCGTGTTTAATTTCAAACCCCTTTGCGCTCATTCCGCGAATTTATTTATTATTTATTTCCCCTCGTATGTGCTTTTAAAAGTTGTTTTAGAATGATTTGGCTAAAATTTGTAACCCTCCTGGACAGGAATATGTGGCAGTGGTAAAAATTCTGCATAAAATCAAATGCTATTCCATATACCTTAGAATCATTCTTGCACTTATTTTCAATTTCCTGTATTTTTTTGTTAAATTTATTTCATTGCCTTTTATGGATCTCAATATCTGCTTGATAGGTTCTTTTTGCATTGTCAATAATATGTGGATTTTTTAATTTAATCTTTAACTCTTCACATACATGGATTTGTTTTCTACCGAAAGATAAGCTAAAATTTTCCTGAAAATGTTTTAACTTTCCGTATACGAGGTGACTAATCTCATCATGCTATACTAGGTGGAGTTTGATATTATATTCAAACATGAAAGATAGTAAAATTAGCATTATTGATATTTAAGATTGTTAAATAATAATACATATGTTTTTGTATCTAATAATAAAATGAAATGAGTAAAACAAATGTTATATTTACATTACAATAGACTTTTATTAATAAAAGTACACAAACTTACTTTTTCTTCTAACTATAATCTATTAAACCTTTTCTTGAGGACTAAAATCTTAATTTATAAGACTACAATATAACTAGTTTTAAACATAAACAATTTAGTAAAAACAAACAATAATTAATCAAATCTTAATCACTTAAGTTTTCACAGTCTTGACAGTAAAAATCTGCATATTCCATACATATAGGCTTATTACATTTTTTACAAATGTACCTAGTTTTCCTATCTTTATGTCTAGGCCAAATTGAGCATCTTTGCATTGTATTTAGACCTTTTTGCCGGCGGTTGTTGTATGTTTTCAAGGGGTTTTTGAAAATACTTTTCAATTCTTTGGCGCAGTTCCCTAGGAAGTCTTTGGTTCTGCCTTCTTGTTTCTAGGTGGGATCTTATTAAAGACAAACCTAATTCCCGAATGAATTTACCTATCAAGTTAGTTTTATTTTTCTCAATGCCATTGTTGAACATGTGTTTAATCATATTGTTTATACCAGCATGATTGAGTAAAGCGAAAAATATCGTCAGAGGCCAACGCTTAGAATAACGTGAAACATCGTAAGTTCTCGATAATTTATCGACAACATCAACGCCACTTTTAGTCTGATTGTAGAATGTTTCTGTTTCAACATCGATTTCTTTATCATGATGCAAAGACGACATCATATACACTTTTTTACGTGGCTTTGGTACATAGGATAAGATTGTAATATCTTTTTGGAATCCAAATTTGGTAGTATTAATTCACGATTTGTATTGGATGCAGGTGGTACCTATACAAGTTTTATTAGCACGTTAGGTTCCGACTACAGTTAGTTTATGATCTTTCAGTAAATGATTAGTGCTCTCGTAACTTGTGAAAGAATTATCCATTGTAACATTTCGTGAAGTTTGTGAAACACCATTGTAACAGTCGATCAACTACGTCGTAGGGTTTATTGCTAGTAGCATAAGGAATCCTATAAAACATTTTATTTCGTTTAGATTAGTCGGTCTGGCATATTATATTTATGTTTTACGGTATCTATACAGGCTGTTCTAAAAACTGTGTCAACACTTGAAGGCATGTATATGTTACACTTAAAACCAATTTTTAGATAGAACGCGTTTTTCCTAGTTAGAACCCGTTTTTACTAAACGCTTTTGTTAAAACTAGAAATAACAAGTGACAACTAGAATTTACCACTGATATAATTGATTTTCTGATAAAACTAGTTGTCACTCCGAGCTTTAGTTACAACTAGCACTGGAGAAACTTCTTTGAATTTTGGGATTAAAACAAGATAGTGTTTTAAAAATATTTATTAAAAAGATCTAGGGCATAGAAACATAGTACCGTACCTAGTAATAAAAATCTTACACTAAAGGAACATTTTAGGTAACATCAGCATAAAGTACTTGCTAAGTCGACAACATTAATTAAAAGTAAATAAAATAATCAAACAAATAAACAGAACACAACCATAAAATTTAAAAAGGAACATAATAATAATATTTTTAAGGAATATGGATTAACATACAATAAAAAAATAATCAAACAACCTTAAAAATAACAAAGATGACGATCTACTTGTTATTACATGACAAACTATCATGGCATTTTGAATTACAAAGGTAGCTATTTTTCTTGCATAGACACCTTTTTGACGTACATATCCTTTCTTACATACGCAGCGCATAAATCCCTGGCCTGTTCCTATGGATGCTTCCCTAGCAACAGTTCTTAAAGGTAAACTTGTATTTGGAACGTCTTCTTCATGCAAAAATTTTTCTTTGCACTTGTCCAATTCTGACCTGAAAAGCAATATTTTAATAGTCAGTTTTATCTAATAGCAATATAATTATATGATAAAACAATTAAGCTATACGTGGTAGGTACATACCTGCAATATAATTTGTCGAGCATTGCATATTTCGTTCCAATCTTGTGAAAATCCTGATCATCCTTTTGAAGAACCACTCGGACTATATTACGTAGATTTGCTTTTGCTCTGTCGACATCTGGGATTTGTATAATTACATTATCGCCGATTTCTACTGGAACGTGTATTTTATCTGAAGCTAATGTCATTCTCCTGGCCTGTTTTTTTAAGTTTTGATGTGCCGCTTCTCTGGACGTCATTATTTGTTGATTCACATTTGTAATAACTTCGATGTCTTTGTCATTTGGTGGTATTATTAGAGGCTCTTCAGCCGTAGATGCTCCAGCTTCAATATCATATTGACTGGCTTCTACTTCGACTGGTGATTCTTCACTTGTTTTGGATGAACTCTCTGCGGCTTTTTGTTTGGCTCCAGTTATAATCTGATGCTCTCCACTACGACTAGCTACAGGCTCAGTTTCTGCAGTATCTGTACTATCCGTCATATTTATTTTATTTAACGCATTTTCTAGATCATCTTCATCTCGTATATCCTCAATAACATCTCGAGGCAAAGTCGAAGTCATAAGACCTACTCGCGGTTCTATACCAAACATTGCTTTGTATGGTGATTGTTTGATACCCGAGTGAAGTGCCCGATTTTTCATAAACTGTACAAACCGAATACCATTCGACCAATTTGTAGTATTGTTATCTTGCATCCATGAAGCTAACATTTTCTCGATGTCTTGATTAGCCCTTTCAACAGATCCTTGACTTTGGCTGTGCCTTGGCTTTCCATGGACTAATTTACACTCTGGCCAAAATGAAACGAGTTCATTTATAACAGAATTTACAAATTCTCACCCGTTATCGGAGTGTAAGATGCAAGGAGCATCAAATGTTAAAAATATATCAGTCAACTGATACGCCACCTCTGCGGCTCTTTTACTTTTCAGCGCACGCAACAAAACAAATTTTGTCAAATGGTCCTGATACACCATTATAAACTTAAACCCTCGATCTTCTTGTGTTTGCATGTCGATAAGATCGACTTGACAACGGCTGTTCATTTCTGAATGTAATATGGGTTTTGAAACGAGTCCTTTTTTCTTCATACTTTTTTTACGCTGACAGGTTTCGCACATAGAGAGAAAAATATTTATCATTTCTAAAGTTATGTTTGCATATATTCGTGACGTTTCATTTTTAGGTCTATCTCGACCACCATGACCAATGGCCACATGAGCTGCTTCAATTATATCAAAAATTTCATCTACATATAAGTAGTATTTCATAGGCTTCTGTCTAGTCACTAATTTACTTATTCCACAAATATTAATTACCTTAAATCGCTTCAGTCTCCTATACTGTTTTTGAGATTTCTGAACAGCTAACTGTGCTTTTTCAATTTCGTCCACTAAACTGTCATAGGTTTCTTTTGACATAATATAAAAGTGGTCCTCTTTTTTTCATGATCACGAATCGCCAACAATCTATTTAAAAACTCCTCTTTCCATCGCGTTCCTTCATTTAAGTTTGCCATGACTATTTTGCGCTCTAATCAAACTATATGTGCTTAGCAGAATAAAAATAAAGCAGGAATGAATAGAGCGAACAAACGCACAGCGCACCGACGGTTCTTGGAAATGGATTCCCCCGCGCTTGCCGAATCAGGTGATGTCTCGCGACCAATCAGAATAGTGGCATGGGTCGGAACAGTTTTAACTGACTAACTTCGAATAAACGAGTTTTGTCTAGTAATAACTAGTTTTAACTGATATTCAATTGTGAGCATTAGTTAATTCTAGTTTTAACAAAGGCGTTTAGTAAAAACGGGTTTTAACTAGGAAAAACGCGTTCTATCTAAAAACCGGTTTTAACTGTAACATATACATATAAGTATAAGCTTTTTATAAAAAATAGTGTAACTTAAAAAATATCAAGCAGAGGTCAGTTACAGTGCATAGATAGGCTAAATAAATTTTAAATCGACATTATTTGAAAAAATGTTTCAAACATCTGACCCATGCAAGGTCAAGGCCCCGTATAGTCGCGACGGCGCATGCGTAGCCATTGACCGCAGGCGCCGGGCCGCCGGCGTTATTATTACTATTTTGTTAGTTATTCGAATAGAGATTTGAAAGTGTAAAAATTAGTTATATTCTATAGACATTTTCAATATTGCTATAAATAGTTATGCTTTTCACATTAAAATAATTTCATTTAAAATAACTTTTTTTAATAATAAATATTATAATTTGAAACTTGTTCAGGTAAATTAACTATGTTGTATTATTAGGATAAATAGTTAATCTATTTCTGTTAAAAATGGTGTTTTACAATCAAAAATAATACTAATGTTTGATATATCAAAATAAGTATCGAAATAATATGAATAATTACATATTTATTTATTGTTATGATTTTTTAAATATCGATATATTCAATAATGTGAAAGTTACTTCAAGGTCGTCACTAGTAGCGCAGCAGATGTGATGACGTCATTGAGTGTCATCGTGTTATACCAGGGCTTATAAACACTTTGTTACTCTACATATAATAATCATTTAATATTTAATTTTATTATTTTTATTGAAGAGTTTGTAAATGTAAGTTGTTTGATTGTGTTCCATTTTCGATACTGATAACGCAGTTAAGGGGGTTGACACTGTTTTTCATACACCCTGTATACTGATTGGTGTACTTGATAATTATATCAATTATACCATCGTCAAAGAAGTGTTGCCAACTAATGAGCCACACTATATTTGCCACAGCTCGTTTTGGATCCGGTAACTGAGTTAAAATATTGTGCCTTTGGGTACGGATTGATTGACATGGGGTTCCTTGCTCCATTTTGTATGTTTGTCCTTTCCTAGGTACAATGAAGAGGTGTTACTTGATGAATGTCTATTATATCTCCCAATAGTTTATAGAAAAGTTGGATTTCTTCCTTATTAAAAGCAGTTATTCTGTTGATATTTGTGGCTTCTGGTTTGCGAATAGATATATTATTTCTTTTGAAAAATCCTTCCAGCCAATCACGTCCAGCCATTTGGACACTCTGGTCAAATGTGTGTTGGATTTGAAGCTCTTTTGCATATCAGTATGCTGCCTTTCTTACTTGTATAGCTGTGACTACATAAAAAATTGAAGATAATTATTTAATGCGGTCTGCCAAGATCTTTTCTGCATCCTGTGTAAAAACAGGAAGTCTTCCGAGATGTGGTTCTGATTGATTTTGTTGCTTTAGCCGTTTTTGGAGGGTGGAAAAAGGAATACCTATGGCTTTAGCCGCAGACCTAATAGACTGGTTTTGGTTCACCAGTTCTTTGGCTTTTTCTAAAGTTTCAGACATCCATTGCGTCTTATTGGTGTTTCTGGGTCATGGTCACGTGACGCGTCCTTTAATTCGACATTCGCTTGTTTAATTTCTTTCGTTTGGGTATGGTTACACTGACCACCATTACCCGCTGACTTCCATTGCCCCTTTTTCCCCTACAACTTCGTTAAAATATTGATTGAAATAAACAAGTTTAGAATATCCTTCGGTATCATTTGGCACATAAGACGGCTCCAATATATTCAATGTTTTTGGTTATTTTATTGTTTCATTTGGCAATCCAACAGTGTTACAGTATGTTATAAAATTTTACAATGTAATGCAAAAATTATGACCAAAATAGGATTACACTATTATAACATAAATTCGAAAAGCAGTCTTAACGTGAAATACTTTAAACAATACAAAACACTAATTATTTTATACGAGATAAACAATTTAATGTAGGTATAAATACTGTTCATAAACATATGTTTGTGAATTTGTGTGTGTGTGTGTGTGTGTGTTTATTGATGATAAGCCGTTTTTGAGTAGGTCAGCCTAATATTTTTCTTTTTATTGCTTTTTTAAACGCTCTTTTAGGTAAATTAAATAAATCTATGTCGGCATATATGTAAATTATTATACGTTTTAACCAAACGATATAAAACTGAGTTTTGTGCATAGTTCGTATTAACCTGAGGGGTGTCAAATAGATCTGTATGTCTTGTCCGTCGTTGTAGTGCTTGAAGAGACAAGTGATTCAAGAGTTCACAGCAATCTATATGTCCATTCCAAATCGTGTGCAAAAGCATACGAGGGTCAAACTGAAAGTTCTAAGAAAATCAAAAACTGATTACATTAGCCAGTTATTAGTTTTATTTATATCTTTTCAAAATATTGTCCATTCACATCAATACACCGCTGCATGCGTTGGAACCACTGGGAAAAGCACCTTGCCCACTCGTCCTTAGGGGTCTCTTCAATGACATCGCGATACGCAGCCACCGCTTCTTCAGCATTCATAAACGGCTTTCCTTTAAGTTTTCCTTTAATTTTTGGAAATAAATAAAAATCACAAGGCGCGAGGTCGGGGATATACGGCGGGGGATATATCGGGGATATATGACCCAGTAATTCAACGTTTGATGTCGCCAAATAGTCGATCGTTCGCTTGGCGGTGTGCGACGAGGCGTTGTCGTGGTGAAGGAGGATCCTACTGCGAGGTCGTTTCTCTCGAACTTTTTCCAAGACAAGTGACAAACAATTGGTAGTTTTTACTTTAATAGCCTCTGCTTTTTTGTTTTTTTTGAACAAATTGGGCCAGCTTCACTTTTATCTATATTATCAGACCTAGACTTCTTTCCGACACTTTATGTTTATTAGTTTTGCGATTTCTTAACTGCCACAGATGGTCGAGGCGGAGAGAATAGCTCAACTTCAACTTCTTCAACTTTTTCCAATTGTGGAGGAATGAACTCTTCGTCATCGTCGTCGAAGTCCAATTCGGAACAAATACCATCATTTAAGATCCCCAAGACAAGGTCGTTGTTCAATGGCGTGCCTGTAGTTAATGAAATAAATCGAACATTAACTTAAAAAAGAATAAACTCACGATCATGCGTTGGTACAATTATAACCCAGATATCACGATCGTGAGATGAAATTTTTATCGTTAATTGTCGGTAATTATTAAAAATATAGAAGAAAGTTATAATTATTCACATGTATCATACACATAATTATGTAATTCTATCAAAATATGAATGATTTCTTACGAAATTTGGAGAAGAATAAATATTACTTACATTATAACCTTATTTTTACACTTTGTTTAAGTTATGTAAGTAGATAAAAAGCTTATTTAAAAAAAAATGAATCATAACAAAAATAAAATGTAACAAAAATATCCTTAGTATTAGAAATTCACATAATATAATAATTGACTTAAATCTGTTTTCTTATTAACAATCAGTCTTAGATGTAGTCTAAACTTAAGTAACCGTTTTACGGTTTGTATAATAAACAAAAAAATAATTCTTCTAAATTATGATATCACTATAATTGTACTTTTCTATACTTAACATTTTAAAAATAATCAATACGAAATTAAAGTAGTTTAAGCAGGATTTACTTCTTTATTTTAAATTGCCAGTATGGAAACAAATTACACTTACTAATGTAAATTCCCGAAAGGGAATAATAGTATTTAATTCTCTTAAAACCAGATTATAATATTATATTTAACTAAGACTGAAACACGGTCCTTAGCGACAAGATACATGTAAGAACGTAGGTATACTAATAGTAATGCAGCGACAAGTGTGCGCTTGCGGCCCGACGTATCTTTTTAAAACCGAGAATTGTAAAGGATATGTATACGTCTATACTCGTAACTATACCTGCCATTTATTTAATACGATAGTCAGTGAGGACAGTTTGTTTGTATATATTTATAAGTATATATTTTTTAATGGAGTAAATATAGTTTATTAAATTTACATATATTATAAAATAATACGTTACAGCATCGTACACAAACCACTTCACTTTCACTTTCTTCCTTTCTCGGACAAGTTGCGAACGCAGGGTTAGAACTTTGGTTTCTATTTCTTTTACTAGGAAATTTATTGCCTTGGCAATATCCTCCCAAGCAACAGTTTTCTTTATTTTAATTCGATAGTTACGGTGTGAAGTATCCCACAAGTCGCGACTTTCGTAAAGCTCTATAAGCAAAAGCACGGTATCATTTCCCCACACTACAGACATTTTAACCCTTAATTGCATGATTTTTTATTGCAGCCAAGAAAAATTGTTTCCTGGTAGGTATATATGTATAACATAAAAAATAATGAAAAAAATCTGGTATAAAAAAATATGTATTTATTATGAAAAAATATGTATGTAGACAATTGGCAACACTATGCGTTAAGTACTAAATTTATGCTTACATATTTGTAGGGGCCTATAAATCAACCTAATCTAAAAATAAATAATATAAAGAATATTTTGAGTGAAATACAGCAAAACAGTTTCGATTTTTAGTGTGACACAATGCCACCTTACATTTAATACACTCAGTCCGCGAAAAACCTTTACAACCGGGAAGTTTGCATCTATTTTTAAAAGTGCATCTTTTTTCACTGTGGCCTAAGCCATCAGTCCGCACGTCTCTTGGAGGAAAGGGTTTCATTGGACCCTGATGTCTTTTTGCTTCTATCTCCCGACCTATAGTACTGCTTGAAGGTCTTCCTCTTTTGGGTTCAGTATTTTTTTTATAATTGTATAATGTCTCCGCAAGATCTGATCTGTAATCACCTAGTGTCATGTTTGGGTGGCCTTTTTTATAAAGTACCCATGAATTTACTACCGCCATGTCGATCATGTGATAATATAATCGAATGTACCATTTTCGACTTTTGATTCGAATTTTGTAGCGGCCCAAATAACTGTCCATCAAATCTACTCCATCCATGTGGGCATTGTAATCTTTTACAATTTTTGGACAGGCAACAGTTACAAAGGAGTGTCAGAAAGAAATAAAATGAAATGTATTTTATAGTAATTAATAAAGTTCTTTATTATATTTTTATATAAATAACTTTGAGAAACAAAAACAAAACTGAACAGCGCCCGCGCTTAGCTGTCGATTGTTGGACCGTTTCGTCCACATCATGAACTTCACGGAGCCGTTTCTTTGTTGTCGTTGGTGTAGCACGTAGTTGTATGCGACGTTTTTGGTGATCTGTCACAAGTGCTGCTCCTAATTTCTTCAAAAATATCCCTCTTGTATGCGTGATACCCTTATCAGTATTTGCTTTGTGTATAAAATGCATTGATACCAGATACGTTTACAAGGTGGAAAAATACAGCCACTGGCCATCTTTTTGTTCTTTTTCGAACATTATAACAGATACATCTATATTTTCAAATAATTGCTTGTATTCAGCCTGCCCGGAGCCTCAAATTATTTAATTTACTTTCTTCTAATACAGAAAGAACATCATTAAGTGTTATTAATAACCTTTTTAGCGTGTGATCGACAAGATCCTGAAGAGGTATTTCTGCTGATCGCTCAGTAATCACAATGTTGTCAGGAGAGCAACGTTTTTTTAGCTTGGATTATACTTTCGTAATTAGGATACAGTGGACAATTTTCTACAAGGGCATTACTTCTGATAGTATTGTATTGATATTTAGTAAGCCTAGCATTGATAAGTAAAGAAAGAGCTTTATCTTTCGTTAGCTTAGCAATCTTTCCATCTTTTTTAATGTTATTAGATGCATCGGGGTTTTGAATTATATCGGCTAATACTTTTGCAGCGTGAACATTATTACCCTCTGACCTGAGCTTCATTTCAGCTGCATACGTTAACTCAACTGTTTCATTGTTATTTCTTAATTCTTGAGTTTTTTACCGTTTTGATGTGTCACTGCATTCCACAAAAACTTTTTCATTCCTTCCCACAGAATCACTAGAGATTCTTTGTCTTTTTTGCGAAGGAAAATTAATTGATGTATCTAGCCAGTTACTATATTTGCTTTCAAAACGTTTTTTATTTCGTGAAACACTTTGCCACTTCTGTTTATACTAATAAATAAAGTGAAACAACTCTTGTTTGATATACTTTGGCAATTCATCTACACAGTGTATTTTTCCTGAACTTTTGTAACTAAGTGTTGAAATTGTATCTCATGGTTATTAAATTCATCCGTTAAGTAATAACGCAATAATTCTTCTTCTTCTACCTGGCAATTTCCCAGCTATAGCCAGGGTCTGCCTTTCATGTTGTGAATAGTTTTTGGCTATTTGTTTTTACGACCGGCCGCCTGCCTGACATCAACCCTCTTTTGGGAATCAACATTAATCAGTGATGTCTAAATACTCTTACAAAGTACATATGATTTTGAAAAATCACATTGGTACTTGCCCGGGCCAGGATCGAACCCGAGCCCTCGGTGACGAGAGGCGGGCCCTCTAACCACTGAGCCACCACTGACTTAATAACGCAATAATTCTCTTCGACTAATTGGAATGCTATGCTGGGAACTGCCTGAAAAAATATTATGAATAATTTTTAAATTTGTAAACATTGTAAGTTTTGCACTATTTTGTTAAGGTGACGCAGTTAGACGCAGCTAATTTTGGTATCATATGAAAGCTATATGTTTTTTCGAAAAATGTAAAATAAACGGGTTGAGTGCAATTGAGTATGAACTATTTCACTGAGTGAAACAAAAAATCTGTTACAATATAGACTTCTATTCAAACCTATATTATCTATAACATCGCAAGTAATGTAAACTTAATTAAAAATGTAAAATGATGGCATTCTATTTACGACTACTAAGCCTACAATATATTGCCTCTTCTGATTTATATTATCAATGTTCCAAAAAGTTGAAAAGATTTCCAGCCGCTCTTCTTCACTAAATCTGGTCGTACATTTTTCTCGGCACGTCCCAATACACTTCGATTTACCCAATAATTTTCCTGGTTTTAAAACACCTTTACTGGAAAGGTAAAGTTCACTTTTTGTCTTTTGTTTTTCCTCAAATTGTTCTTCCATTCCTTAGGCTCCGATTGACCTCTGCGCTTGCGTTTCAGATTTTGAAGACCAGATATGACAGACTCAACCCCAGTAATATCGGTAGTATTAGTTTCTATGTTTGTATCGTGTGCATTATGAACATTATTGCTTGTTTGTGAAATCGAAAAATCACTTGTTGACAAAATGCATGCATCTGGTGCAGTCTCGCCACCATTGCTCGAATGGGATAAATATAAATCATCGTTTAAATCAATAAGAGAAACATTTTCCAATGTCAATAATTTTGTGGGTGACAGTCCAGGCTCACCAAAAACAGAGAGAGAATCATTTTCTAAAGAAGGGCTTCAGCAATTGTTGATTTCTTCAACGGCAGCATTGCAGGTGGTTTCGATTAAATGAGTTGGTTCCTAAGACAAAACGATACAAAATTATGTTACTGCAAAGTAAATAATATCATTGCTGTAGGTATAGATACTTAATATTGATCCTAATAATTAAAATTGGTTTAATTTTATAACATTAGTAAAGGCCGTGTGACGATAAGTATACCGAATCGGCCCCTGACAGGGATCGGGCTCAAAATTTCAGGGAATGTTTGTACTCATAAGATACTTCGATGCTGCGAGTTTCAGGTCTTTATCTATAACCGCTTCTGAGAAAATCAAAAAATACTGAAAATTAGGAAAAAATAGATTTCTCAGAGTGTAATTATTCGATTGATCGAAATACCTGAGATTATTTTGGGGCTCGATGGTAGTTATCCGAAGAAAAAATATGAGATATATAGGCTCACAAGAAACTCAAAAAAAAACGAGTTTATATTTTTAATTTTCATTTTTAACCATCTTACGGTTACGATACAGTTCAGAAATTATTTTTTGAATTCTCCATTCAATTTCCTATGAACCTATAAATCTTTTAGAATTTTTAAAAACGGTACTACATATTGAAAAAAAATAAATACCATTTTTTGCTCAAAAATCGAAAAGCGAAGTACTGAGGTAATAAATACCGTAAAACGGGGTGAATAGCAATGATTTTCAACTTTGTCTTAAGAATTTGTTGTCTATTCCTTTTTTTTTAAACCACAGGTTATTTTAATATCATGTCCGGTATCACAAAGAAACAGCTAAAACAATATTTGGTTAACTATAAGCAAATGTTTTTCAGATTTTTAATAAAATATGTATCATTTCTATTCACCCGACGACTGGGGTCAATAGAAATGCATAAAGGGGTGAATGGAAAAACTGTTAGGGCTGCCAAAAATTACTTAACCAACATGCAAAAATGAAAGGTCGTGTATTTAAAAATTATTTTGGTATGTAAATGGTAAATGAAATTCAAAATTTGTGATTTAAACTATTTATGTGTTTTTGTTAACATAAATAATTAGGTATGTTTGTATTTTAAACGACTTTATTTTTACGGAATGTTATCTCTTTTCAATAAATTAAACAATGTATACTTCTTATTCGTATTTTATTTGAATTAAAGAAAAATAACAAATTTAAAAACATTTTTCTGGATTAAAAGTCGCTTATACATAAAGTCGCTTATATATAAACAACTATAAATCTTTTGAACTTAACAATTATTATATCAAAGGTATTACAAATAGGTAATCAACGTTATGACTTTGAAGAATCAGTATTATAACATAAAAGTAATAAACACTCTTAAAAAAAAAAAAAACAAATTCTAAATCTTCTGAACTTAGCAATTATCATAAAATATATCACAGGTAGTCGATGTCAGCCTTCATTATGGCTTTGTAAAATGCAGAAAGCACTACTCCGTAAAAATAATCAAAATTCTTTAAAAAAATAAAACTAAATTCTAAATCTTCTGAACTTAACAATAATTATCATAACAAAGTTGTTACAGGTAGATAACTTCAGTCTACGTTACGTTCTCACTAAATGTAAAAATAATAAAAAAAAAACAATAAAATTTTAAATCGTTCCAACCATGTTCCAACTTAACAATTTACAAAGTTTTCACAGGTCATCATCATCCTCTTCTAAAACTTTTAATATTTCGTCACTATCATTATAGTAATTATTTGTGTGTGTTTTTTCTTTGGCAATTTAATGAGATCTTTTACCGTTAGTACAGTCTTGCTCTTCTTTATAATTGGTAATTTGTATTTTTTGTTGTACTGGCCGTCATTCACTAGTTCATTTGATATTATTTTTACTTTATTCTCCTTAATAGTATTATCATCAGCAGTTGTTCCAGTACTGATTGTAACCTCTTCACATAAGCTGTCAAAAAAGAGAATGGGCAGACTGTTTATGTCCATATCATTAGAAACTTTGCACTCTAATCCTTGTAAGTTACTATTGTAGTTTTCCATGTCCGCGATACTGTTGTAATTCTGCTCTCCCATATTATTATCATAATTTTCGTAAGCCGTAACGTTAACGTAATCGTAATCTTTCTGACTTGTATTTCCGCATTTTGATTGTTCTGAGTTGTTATGGTATACTTCTTTCCATTCTTTATTGTTATCATTATTGCCCTTGTCTTCTGTTTCAGATTTTTTAGTAATATCCTCGATAGCTTTTCCTTTAGTCTCATTGTTTTCTATATTTTTTTTGAAGATTACTTCTTCTTTTGTTTCCAAATAGGATGTTTTCGTTTTTTTTTTTCCAATCCCTTTGCCTTTTCCTTTGTAAGGTTCTATTTTATTAGGGCAATTTTCTTTTTCTTCAATTGGTAATAGTTTCATGTTTGTAATTATAGATTTTTTAGCTTTTCCTTTATTTTTATTGTTTAAACCTGATGGACCACTGATGCTAGTATCGTATTTTGTTTTTTTAGGATTTGCCATACTGTTATCAACATCAGTTTCTGCATAGTCTTCAATTTCTTCTGGAGCGACACTTTTACCTGGGAGTACATTGAGTTTTCTCTTTCTTTTTGGTTCTACAATGTTCATTGAACCATATCTCATTTCTTTGAGGAGTGTTAGAACAGAATCTTCTACAGCACTTTCATGGTCTTCACCTAAGTCCTCGCCGGGAAGTCTGGCTAATATTTCAGTTGCATTTAAAGGGCTAATTCCTGTTTTCTTAAATCCAGCAATGATATTCTTTGAAGCATTTATTTGCAGTTCATCAATTAATAATTTCAATAATTTTGGAAAGCAACCTTTTGGAATTGTGGGTAATTGTCGACCACCTGTCTTTTTCCATTTTAATAATAATTGCCTCCAGGCTCGCTTCATTGGACGGAAAAATGCCACGTCCAGAGGTTGCGTCAGGTGAGTTGAGTTGGCTGGTAAAAACACAAAATCGATGTTGTGCGCTTTACATGTTTGGATCAAGTCTGCTGATAAATGTGAAGACAAATTGTCTCCAATTAAGCACTTTCTACCTGGTAAATTCTTAAAATAAGGAACCACCATATTTTGTACCCAATCCTCAAAAGTGGTTCCATCAAACCATCCAGATGTCGACCTATTATATCGAGTACCCTCTGGGCCGTGTTGGATCCAAGAATCATATAAATGAGTTGCCTTGTATACCACATATGGTGGTAACATTTTACCATCTGCGGTACCAGCCATCATAATAGACACGGAAGCCTTGGTATGGTTCAGAACTCTTTCAGGGTACTTGCATCCCCGTTTGATTAGTATTTTTTTCCGCCCAGGGTCGTCCGTCAAATTTGTTTCGTCGTAATTTAAGATGTTAGAAGCAGGTACACCATTTAAAGACTTCTCAAGTTCTGTAAAATATTCTTTAATCGTATCTGGAGATACCTTAGCTCTCACACGCTTGATATTTTCACAAACTCTTTGGGAAATCTCATTTTTGTGTCTTAATAGGAAGCTCTGTACAAAATCTGGTCCTGGAAAATTGTCTTTAAATCTTTTATGAATTATACCTATCTTATCAAGATACATTTTTACTATGTACCTGAGATCCAAAGTATCTAAGGGATAACCCCATTCTGCGCATTTGTTTATATTTTCTATTAGAAACATATCAGTTTCATCGGATAGAGCTCTTTGGCCTCCATGTTGCTTCATATCCCGCGTACAATGACGATATAACACCGATTTGTGTATACCATATTTTTTTGCAACTTCTTCTAATTTTACATTTCGGGATGATGCATACTCTTCCACAGCTTTTTTTATGATCTCCATGTTATATTTTTTATACCTTTTTTTTGTAGGATCGGGTTTATATACACGCGGCATGTTGAATACGGCGGTATGTATCTGTAAATGAAAATAATCACGTTAAAAATATTATTTATTTATCAATCATTAAATTTACAGCTCCATACATTATTAGTAGTATTAAGTTCAATTAACAGTTTTTGACAACCCTATTCATTTATCTCTATTGACCCCTCATTAGTTGCTATTCAAACATTAGTCGTTTCTATTATTCCCTACTAGGTTTCCATTAAACCCATACTAGAGTTCTATTCACCCTTCAATAGATTCTATTGACCCCTTTTATACAATAAATTTACACATACTGTGATTTTAACAATTTTTTGAAGTTTAATAACGGATTCTCACTTACCTTCACTGTATTTTTATAATTTATCGTACACCTTATGAGATAAACACATTAAACAGCACAAATCACAACTTTTTCAGACCTAAAATCAAGAGTTTCGGCAGTTGAATAAAACACGTTCACAGATGGTCGACTTTGAATTTAATTTGAAGGATAAATGTCAATTTTGACAATTAAAAATTGTTGCCAACACAAAGAAAAATTTTTCTGTATTAAAATTTAAAATTCTACTAGAATTCTTCAACGAAAACTACTGAAATAATAACATTAAAAACTTTCCTGATTTTTTTTTCTATTCACCCCGCAATTTCTATACACCCCGTTTTACGGTACATCTTTCTCAAATGATTGGATCACTTGATCACAATATTTTGAAACCAAGATCTCATTTTCCAATTGTAATGTCGCTGATATCAACCTGTTAGAGTTACCAGTACGTAATTTAAATAAAAATACAATTAGAGCTTGAATGACTTAACGGGAATCTGTATTTCTCATAGTTTTCAATAAATCTCGCAATTCAAGAATGTTTTCACGTTGTAATCCAGTAAATATATAAAGTTGTTCATCAGTTATTCGAAAATCATCCATTTTATCGAGAAGTGTCGAATCACATTCCACAGCTAAACTTTCCATAATTTTAGACAATTCTGAAGATCTCAAAGTACTCCAATTAGAATAAATTTTCAAGTCGTTTAAATTTTCCGTATAAAAGCGTTTTTTTATGAGATGGTCACTGCAGCATCGATTCCCATTTGGAATGAAAATTCTTTTTTTGTCGCAAATTATTGTACACGGGCATCTTGAGGAACAACGACCAGATGTTGATTTGAAACAGAACATACACAACGATATCTATGAGTTGCAACGTTTCTCTTAATTTGATCTTCTTTATACACATTCTTTTATGTGAAAAGACTTTTTCCCCAACCTATTATGTAGGTATAATATAGATAAATAACTCACCTGTTCAAAAATCTGATGGAATTCGTCGCGAACCTGAAATGGTTCACTTCGCTTCAATGATTCTAAAATCTTCCCATTTCTATTGTTTCTCTTCATTTTATTGAAATACAGTGTTAAGCACTTTAAAGTTAATTTAAAAGCAAAAAAAAAGTATTGTCCTAACTTTCAACTTGTTGAGACGTTACATCAACTTTTAACCCTTACATGCATAAGCTTTTATTTTAAAAGGAAAAAATGCACGTTATGGCGTGTTAGGCGTAGACTGGAGGAAAAATAATTTTAAAAAATTGATTATTTATTTATTTATATTCTTTTACAAAACTAACATGTGTCGTTTTCGGCACTTTATGCATTATCGGTCTGTTTTAATCAGCTACACTGATTTGTGTAGCTGATTATAACAGTCTTTATTTTATTTTTGCACATAAATGTACTTTACATTTATTGCACATAATTATTGTTTTTAAATTGCATTCGGGAAACATACACCTCATCCTGTCAGGTGTTCTTAGTTGTTCATGACCCACCCCATCGAGTATCACGTCGGTTGGTGGTAAAACTTGACAAGGCTTTCCTTTGCATATTTTTGGAGGCGGGCAGGCTTCTGCAATTGATGTGGAACATGGACGACCCCGAGGTGTAGGCGTGGAATATTTGCAAAGGGTGTCCTGCTAATTCCGAACGAAAATCGGCGAGATTCATTTTGTTTTTAGTAGCAATCCCTCTTTGGCCCATAACTTTCCTGTAAAGAATCCAGGCATTGATTATGCTTAGGTCCAGCAAATGGTAAAATATTCACATGTACCATTTTCTGCTTTTTATTCTTATACTGTATCTGCCAAGATAAGAATCCATCAAATCGACACCTCCCATATGTGCATTGTACTCTTTTATGAGTTTAGGGCCAAGGGATATCAATTTTTCTTTTTAACTTTTTGTCAAACCCTTGAATGGTTTCCACAGGCTACCTACGTAAGTTGATGCCAGAACCTGGTGTTTCATAGGGATATTCTCGTCTCCGCTTGATGCGAGGGTAGGTAGGTACCGCTCCTTTGGATCCAATGAGTTCAAGACTATACGCACTTGTTTTGCTAGGGATAAGTGATCCTCTAACATAACAGACATTTTCTCCCGTAGTTCCGTAACAATCATGGGTGGTAGTGTAACATTGGGGATCGTGTGCATAGGGAAAAGTTCTTCTTTTATTGCACTTAACCGCAAATGTTGGGGTATGTCCACTACAGGCTCCCTTGTCCTAACCTTATTGCGTTGGAGTATCGGAGTTCCCCACTTAATGCTTGAATCCCTCCAATTTTGGGAATAATATTTGTTTATTTATTTATTTATTTATTTATTTGTTTTTGTACCAATCGAGTATACAGAAAATTATCAATAACAGATGTGTACAAAGGAACATCTTATCTCTTACAAGAGATCTCTTCCAGAAATCCTGATTAATGGGAGACCATTTGAAATATAAAATTTTAGTGTAGGTACACTATCAACAAACTACTGATTAATTATTATAACATTAAGGTAGACTTTTTTTTTTATATAAATAAATACATTACACACTCAATTTACATACATACAAAAATACATATATAAAAATATATAAATATTTATATACATACATTTTATATATACATATACATACACATATATATATACATATATACACACACACACATATATATATATATATACTTAATTCGAAAGAAGGTGTTGCTTAACTCTGATTTTAAAGTTTCTTATTGTAACACCATTGTGGAAAATACCATCTGGAAGAGAATTCCATAGGCGAGCGGCAACAACGGAAAACGAGTTACCATAGGAAGTACTGTTGAAATATGGTACCTCAAGACTCTTCGATGCCACACATGCGCGCACTGGTCTTTCACGAGCAGTACAAAACAGAAAACGCTCATGTAGGTAACCAGGGCTTCTATGTTGCAATATATTAAAAAGAAGGGATAGTATGTGCAAGTTCCGGCGAAGTCGGATAGGGAGCCACTTTAACTGACGCCGAAATTGAGAAATATGATCAAATTTGCGCAGACCGTAAATGAACCGAATGCACAAATTTTGAAGTCTATCTAGTTTGTCAAGTAGCTCTTCATTCGCATCAAGATAGCAAACATCGGCGTAGTCCAGGATAGGAAGAAGAAGGGATTGTGCAAGTAAAATTTTTGTTTGATAAGGAAGAAAATTCTGCAAACGTTTTAGTGAATGCAAAGAGAAATGGACACGTTTACTGACTTCGTTAACCTGAGCCCTCCATGATAAATTGCAATCCATGACTAACCCCAAATTAGTTACTTGGTCACTAAATGCAATTTGAGTTCCATCATAGACAATTGATGGTACAATGTCCCAATTAATTTTGGTACGTAACTGTCTGCTGCCTATTATCATTGCCTTTGACTTCAAGGGATTGACAAGAAGCCCAAAAGATGCGGCCCAGTTCTTGATTTTTTCAAGATCTTGATTGATATCATGTATGGTCGAACACAGATTTGATAAGGTGGCGTGTCTATAAATTTGTAAATCGTCTGCATAGAGATGGTAGTGAGAAGAAATGACTTTGGTAATTTCGTTAATGAAAATTGAAAAGAGAAGAGGAGAAAGTACGCCGCCTTGCGGAACGCCAGCAGAGAGATCAGCCCAGTCAGAGGAAGCCTCATCAGACTTTACCATCTGCCGTCGACCACGAAGATAGGATTGGAACCAATCAATCACAGGCAGAGCAAAGTTAAGTGAGCGAAGGATACCAAGCAATACATCAAAGTCAACTGAATTAAAGGCATTGCTAAAATCGAGCAAAATGAGAATAGTAAATTCTCTTTTGTCCATAGCAAAGCGAATGTCTTCAGTGACTTTGAGCAGTGCGGTGGAAGTACTGTGACCGGAACGGAAACCGGATTGAAAAGGACTAAGGAGATGATTATGTGTTAGGAATTCAGACAGTTGCTTATAAACAACGTCTTCAAGGATTTTTGATAGGAGAGGCAAAATAGAGATGGGACGAAATTGTGAAATAGAAGAGGGATTTGATATTTTAGGTAAAGGAATCACATGTGCTAACTTCCAAACTGTTGGAAAGGTATTGGATTCTAAGGAAAAGTTTATAATGTGGGTAATAACAGGGTTTAAAAAGTCAAGGATAGGTATTAACATATCCCGACTAATATTGTCATTACCAACAGCCTTGGAAGTGATAGACAGGATGCTTCTCTTGACTTCGCTCTCTGTGACTCTATGAAAATTAAAAGGGATACAGTCAGGCGTGATGGCGTTCGCCATCTTTAACAATGTTTCAGCCTTCGTTGAGGCTGAAATTGTTAAAGGGGGAGTAGAAAAATGTTTATTGAGAGAATTCAGATCAAATGAATGTTGAAAAGATTTAGAGTGATTACCCACGCCTAAAGATTTAAAAAATCTCCACATTTGTGAAGTAGTCAGTTTATCGATGGAGGAGTGGATGAAACGGCGTTTAGCATCTCTACACATCCTATTGCAGAGATTTCGCAATTTTTTGTACGTCGCAATATTGAGGTCAGTAGGATTCCTTTTAGAGACTCTCTTGGCTTTATCACGTTTTACCATAACATTTTTAATAGTTGGAGTAAGCCAAGGTGCAGGTAGATGTTTTACCTTTATTGACCTAAATGGAGCATGCTTGTCATACAACTTTGTTAATGAGTCATTAAAATAGGCCACCTTATCGTCAACATTCGTAAACTCATAAATATTAGACCAGTCAATGATATTAGCGTCGTAACATAGATTTGCAATATTCATATTTTTCATGTTGCGTCTTAAAATTGTTTTAGCCTTGCGCCTTGAGAAGGAGAGTTTATAGTTAACGAAGAGTAAATCATGGAAGGAGAAAGGAGCTGTCAGCTGACCATGAGCTGACACACTGTGAGGGTTGGAGACAATAATGACGTCAAGAAGAGACGGAGTGCAATCAGGTGAAAAATGGGTTTCTGATAGAGGAAGAATAGTGAAGTTAAAAGAAGACACGATAGATTTTAATTTTGTCGCTCTGTGATCATTTTTCACGAGACAAGTGTTAAGATCACCCATTATGATCACATGTTCATAAGAGGGAGATAGTTTTTCAAGAAGGACTTCAAAGGTGTTAAAATAATTAATATTTAAGGATGGACAATAGAGGACCCCTAATAGGAGTTTAGAGTGACGGGAAGAAATTTCTATAAAGAGGTATTCAAGGATGTTAGGGGAAAGGTTTGAGGATTGTTCTACTAACCTAAAGGGTATATTATTTCGTAAGAAAATGCAAACACCTCCACCTCTATGGGAAACTCTGTCGTTACGAATTAAGGTGATTTACTTCCTCAGTTGCTGACAAAAACAAGACATCTGCTAACCTCCTGTTCTGCTCATTGGGCAATGGACTATTTTTGATGCACCAATCACTGGTCTCTAGCCTTGCAAGTACATGTCTATGCTTGTGGCTGTTTTCACTAGACTGATCTTTCACTGGTGCCAAAAGAGAACTAGGTATTCCATATTTCTTAGTCTCAAGAATTGAAAGTGCCAGTGAATATTTTTGATTAAGGAGAATCATGGTTGTTGCCAAGGGGTTGGGTTCTTTTGTGCACCTGGAGCAGCATTCAATCAACTTAGCATGATACAGTTTCTTTTATTTAATAATGTCAAGGCTTCCTTGAGACAAATTCAATATCATTTTGGAGATTTTGAGCAACATAGCGGTGGCACCATAGTTATTTTTCGTGTCTGTTATAGTTATCGATTAAACAAAGAGGATCTGTTCATACTAAAGTAACATGTAAAACATCAATTTATGGCAAGTAATTGATTCAATATACAATATATATTACATACATATACATTATTAATTTACAAAAGAATATAAAATTTATTAGTTATTTATTAAACAAATATTCTATTAACAATTTTCTTAATTCATCAACATTCTCTGTTGCAAACAGAAATTAATTAATTATCAATTAAGTTCCAACCGTTATTTTCATGTGTAAGAATAAATAAACTTTATTCTATTAAATTTTCAAACTTACAGGGACAAGGTTTGAAACACCATTTACTTAACAGTTCGAAAAATAAAGGGGCTGATGACGTGCAGGGCTGTCGCCTGCCAGGTCATGGCTATTGCACTTAGCATGCCATAAATCGTCAGTATAAAAATTTCTAACCTTACAGGGAGACCGTTACTCCCAGGGTTCACTAGCTCTCCAGCTTCTGGTTGTTCATTTTAAGATCTGCAGTAAGCATATCGATGAGGAATTTGCACTATTAGTAAAATAATAAGGGTTTTTAATTTCATTTTTTAAAGTATAAGGCAATCGATAAGGTTTTGAAAAAATTGGTTGATCTTATATTCGGTTTTACTTTGAGTGTTGATTAATATCAGTGGTTGATAACTCGTCCCCTTCCAAATAAAAAATATCGGGATATTTCGCACATAAACTTTCTACATTAATCCTTTCCTCTTTATTTAAATTATTGAACTTCAATTTTGACAAGAGTGTTTTAATTCGCGATGCAATTTTCTCGATCTTATTAAAACGACAAACAATTACACCGATAAGATAAAAGAAGTAATTAAATAGTAAAATAGAGTAAAATCAACCATCATAAATTATTAGGTAAACTTGCTTCAGATTAAAAAATTTTGAATTAATACAATAATACAATATTTTTAATATTTGATTTCCGGATAGTTTCGGTTTCTGGCGTATTACAGGAATCCTGTAACAGGATAGAGGTTGGCTTGAGTAGGTGTTTGCGTATTCAACAGATGGATGATGGATGGATGGTTAGAACAGGTTGCTTTGAAGCATAAACATATGTTATTGGTTCTGAATGTGACGTTAAAGCACTTGAAGGTCGGTTGGGATATGAATATTAGTCTCTGATTGTGTATATGAAGTTGATGCTGCCGGTGATCTGTAATATGGGTTTGAATATTGGGGAATGGTGTTTGACGTCTATTTAACTTACTTTTAATTTTATTAACAAATATGCCATCTATTTCATATACTAATTTCCGTTCTTAATTCGTTCGTAATTTCCGTTCTTCTTTGGATAGTTCGCGAAGTTTCGTAGGTTATTATAAATTTATTCTGAGATAGTTTGTAACTTAGAGTTTTCTGGATCAACAATATTATTTGGACAATCGTTAATAAATATTTGCATATTTTCCATGTCTAAATTATTAAAGTTTTCAATATTTTTATAACTTCAGGTTCAATATCTAAATTTTGTTGTTGATTAGTATAAATATTTGATGATGTACCTTAGAAATGATATTTTTTTTTATCAATTCAATGGACTCTACTGATGTTAACTCCCCTTATTCTATGCAATCAATGTTATTCTTTCCTACTAATTTAACAAAGTCTTTGGAGAGTAATTTCTCTTCATCTCGAATGATGTCAGAAGAATTGGTTCTTTTTGTGTCTTTACTTTCGAGGTATTTACTATAGTCTACTGCGTCTTCATTCCATGGACAAATCCCTGTTTACAAATAGTTTACGGCTTTATAATTTATATAAAATCAGAAAAACGTTCGATGGTATCTGATAAAGTTGACTGTATCGACGGAAGACGGCTGCTGATAAGAAGAGTCAATCTCATTTAGGTTGGCAGACTGACGAGATGTTGACGGTGATGCTGAATATTGATTGGACGAATAACCTGTATAGCAACCAGTGCGATAAGTTGCTTGAGAATGTCAATATTCATAATGACCCATGTCAGCTTTCATAATAATTTCAAAGATTGCATGCTGCATTGCCATATTTATTTATAAGCGTCCATTTTTGAAGCCAAAAATCCGTAAACGCTTTTGTGTTCTTATCTCCACAATAAACTTCTGTTGGTGCTCCAAGTTGCTTTTGTACATTGTTTAATACATCTACAGTGCTTTTAAACAATTCGTTTCCCGGTTGATTGAATCTGGGTTTTTTTAGATGGAATAGACGGTTTTGTGTGTGTGTCACTTTCGGATTACTCTGTTCCTCGGCTGGATTATTATTCAATTCTTCTCGCGGCTTAAACACGGCTTCATTCTGCATGAGTAACCGGTCTAAGCGTTCAATCTCGATTGAAAATATTTCTGTTGACTTCTCATCGTAGTCCTCCAAATTTTTTACGGCGTCTTCATAAAGAACGTCGAGGACAGGAGAGTAACCATCGAAGAGTTCAGTGCCCTGCCTTTTCAGAGGACTTAAAGTTATGGGGTTTAGAGGTCCGTAAGGTCGTTCCGCTAATACTTGAGTTTGAGTACTCTCTGGAAGTGCTGGTACGTCCGTCTTAACAGATGATACTGTGACACCGGGGTATTTTAAAATCTCGATACAGCTCAAAGAAGTGATTTGACTCTTCCAGAAAACACCAGGTGAACTGCGGTAGGTCAATGACAATGTGGACATCCTGGATGAACCTAACACCTAAAAGGGTTTTATTGTCGTATGAATGGGGTAGTACCAAGAATGTCGTCATTATGGTGCGCTCATTGATCGTCGAGGGTGCATTTGTGACCATGACTCGTTGTTTCTTGGAAATACCATTGACTGAGGTAACTCTAACATCAACATCGGTGAATTTGTATCCCTTTCCTCTTAGGCAGCAATATAACTCGTACGAGGCTATACTGCTCTTAGCGCAAGTGTCAATAAAGGCAATACTTTTATAACCATCAATTTCAATTGATACTACAGGGCAATCTCTGGCATCAGTGCTTGTATTCACAGCACAGAATCTAACCTGTTCCATTGAATTGTTGCATTTAGTGACAACGGGTGATTTACTTTTGTAGCAGTTGGGGCAATTACTACAAACAACTCTCGGTGTGCACCATAGCAGTTAAATTTTGGGCCTGAAGGCGATGGTGCTTGACTCGATGCTTCATTAGCTTGAGTATGACTGGTTTCAGTTATATCAATTATAGTTAAACTTTCCTTTTTAATCTATTTCTGCAATTTTCAATATCGTGCTTGCAGAACCTACACCTTTTCTTGCCAGAGCGGGCTTTAGTGACTCCTGGAACGTCGCTTTTGGATTCTTGTGCGGGCTTTATTTCTTCCCTCCGTTCACAAAGATGTTCGGTGGCGCGTGGTGCTTTCAAAACCTCCTCTAAATTAGAAATGGCCCAGCTCGGAACTTTGTCCTGAATCTTGGAGGACAACAGGCTATAGATCATGTGTAGCTGCTGAATCTCCGATTCCTTTTTTCTGGCGGCTGGTGGAATAGCAAGCGTTTATTTCTATTAAAATTTTCAGTCCTCTCGTTGGGTTCCTGACTTGTCTGAAGTAACTAAGCGTATATGAGGTAGGCTTTTTTCTTGAGCGCAAAATTGTCTCGCAGACGGTTTTCGAAGTCGTCCCAAGACGAAACAATATCCTTAATACCTTGCCACCAGACACATGCTTCTTCTTTAAGCAAGAGTGGGATCTGCTCCAAACCGTTTCGGTTTGTAAAAATAATGACATGGCCATTGTAAAAATAATCACATGTGGTAAACGTCCCTTGTGTCGGCTTCGCTGAGGTAGTAGTAGAACCAATTTTGGCAATTAGTCGTTCAAATTGTCCATTGGTTAGTTGAACAGCCATTTTTCTTTACGTGGAGTTGGTCTTCTTTGTCTTTGCTTTATTTTTATTTTTTATTTTATTTATATTTAGGAAACATACAGTGTGGTATTACATAGAATTAAAAAAATATTTCTTAATCATAAACCAATAAATTTTCCACTTAAAATAGTACAAATGTTAGAGAATGCGTGTAAAAAAGACAACAGAAAGAGACAAAATTACAATCTACGAGTACAATCAAATCAACTAATTACAAAGTGAAAAAAATCCACAATTTACATAAATTTAATTACAATAATAATAGTGAACATAAATATAAACTATATAATTAAAAATATTTAAATTTTGATTTCAACAATTAAAGGAACATGTAAAGAAAGCATCGCCTCATCCGGTATATCTTCAACACTTTCCTCTTCTCCAATATAAACATCCTGGTCATATGTTATATCTTCTCCTTGGACATCGCCTTTACGCCTTTTGTGATCGGGTTGATCAGTGTCTTCTTCCTCAATCTCACCCTCTAACCATCTCTTCCCCAATATAACATGTTTTTCTCTATTTTCAATACGCTTCATTATAGCGTCCAAGTGTCTGGTGATTGTGGAACTCGTGCCCTGTAGAATTGAGGAGTCTTTTATTGCTGTGTATAAGTCACCTCCTATGTATACATTGCGCATTTCCCCCTCTGAAATCTTGTGCGTTGACTCCTCAAGACTCCTGACTGTCACAACTCTTAACACTTCTTCTGCAGGATATTTTAATCTAAATCATTCCAGTACACCTGATAAAAGTGCAGCCCTGTTCATTTTCTTGACGAGAACTGAGACCCTAGTGTTGAAGAGCTTATAATTTGTTGATGTAGTTCACGTTGGCAGGGTGGTAAATTCGATGAATCATAGCTTACTACTTTTTTCATAAACACTAAGATTAGTCGTTTTATACGTAGCAAGGAACTTTTCATATCGTGCATTATTTAATTTTGAAGACTTCAAACCATACATTTGGCATACAAATTTCTCTAGTATCGGGAATTTTCTTTTCTGTACTATTTCTGCGTTTTCTAATTCTTTGAATGCTTTCTGATATACACTCGATTTTTGCAATATTTGAAATGTTTTTTTTTTTACCTCTTCTTGAAAAAGACGGATTGAAATCGCAACCGGTTAATGCATGAAATCCAGGTAAGCTTTGGCACATAGAAGGTCCCAATTTTGTATATAGTTCAGAAATATCTATCGATTTTTTACAAGTCTATTTGAAAACATATAAAAATTTCAAGTATACAGGATAAAGTTTATTTTGCCTCATTAACTGTGCGTTTTCTAATTGAACTGTCGTATACTTCTGCTTATTGTAATCACCTGTCATTTTTTTTAAATGTACAATAAATAAACTTTATTCTATTAAATTTTCAAACTTACAAGAACAAGGTTTGAAACACCATTTACTTAACAGTTCGAAAAATAAAGGGGCTGATGACGTGCAGGGCTGTCGCCTGCCAGGTCATGGCTATTGCACTTAGCATGCCATAAATCGTCAGTATAAAAATTTCTAACCTTACAGGGAGACCGTTACTCCCAGGGTTCACTAGCTCTCCAGCTTCTGGTTGTTCATTTCAAGATCTGCAGTAAGCATATCGATGAGGAATTTGCACTATTAGTAAAATAATAAGGGTTTTTAATTTCATTTTTTAAAGCATGAGGCAATCGATAAGGTTTTGAAAAAATTGGTTGATCCTATATTCGGTTTTACTTTAATTGAGTGTTGATTAATATCAGTGGTCGATAACTTGTCCCCTTCCAAATAAAAAATATCGGGATATTTCGCACATAAACTTTCTACATTAATCCTTTCCTCTTTATTTAAATTATTTAACTTCAATTTTGACAAGAGTGTTTTAACTCGCGATGCAATTTTCTCGATCTTATTAAAACGACAAACAATAACACCGATAAGATAAAAGAACTAATTAAATAGTAAAATAGAGTAAAATCAACCATCATAAATTATTAAACTTGCTTCAGATTAAAAAAAATTGTATTAATACAATAATACAATATTTTTAATATTTGATTTCCGGATAGTTTCGGTTTTTGGCGTATTACAGGAATCCTGTAACAGGATAGAGGTTGATTTGAGTAGGTGTTTGCGTATTCAACAGATGGATGATGGATGGTTAGAACAGGTTGCTTTGAAGCATAAACATATGTTATTGGTTCTGAATGTGACGTTAAAGCACTTGAAGGTCGGTTGGGATATGAATATTAGTCTCTGATTGTGTATATGAAGTTGATGCTGCCGGTGATCTGTAATATGGGTTTGAATATTGAGGAATGGTGTTTGACGTCTATTTAACTTACTTTTAATTTTATTAACAAATATGCCATCTATTTCATATATAAGTAATTTCCGTTCTTCTTTGGATAGTTCGCGAAGTTTCGTAGGTTATTATAGATTTATTCTGAGATAGATTGTAACTTAGAGTTTTCTGGATCAACAATATTATTTGGACAATCGTTAATAAATATTTGCATATTTTCCATGTCTAAATTATTAAAGTTTTCAATATTTTTATAACTTCAGGTTCAATATCTAAATTTTGTTGTTGATTAGTATAAATATTTGATGTTGTACCAAAGAAATGATATTTTTTTATCAATTCAATGGACTCTACTGATGTTAACTCCCCTTATTCTATGCAATCAATGTTATTCTTTCCTACTAATTTAAAAAAGTCTTTGGAGAGTAATTTCTCTTCATCTCGAATAATGTCAGAAGAATTGGTTCTTTTTGTGTCTTTACTTTCGAGGTATTTACTATAGTCTACTGCGTCTTCATTCCATGGACAAATCCCTGTTTACAAATAGTTTACGGCTTTATAATTTATATAAAATCAGAAAAACGTTCGATGGTATCTGATAAAGTTGACTGTGTATCGACGGAAGACGGCAGCTGATAAGAAGAGTCAATCTCATTTAGGTTGGCAGACTGACGAGATGTTGACGGTGATGCTGAATATTGATTGGACGAATAACCTGTATAGCAACCAGTGCGATAAGTTGCTTGAGAATGTCAATATTCATAATGACCCTTGTCAGCTTTCATAATAATTTCAAAGATTGCATGCTGCATTGCCATATTTATTTATAAGCGTCCATTTTTGAAGCCAAAAAATCCGTAAACGCTTTTGTGTTCTTATCTCCACAATAAACTTCTGTTGGTGCTCCAAGTTTCTTTTGTATATTGTTTAATACATCTACAGTGCTTTTAAACAATTCGTTTGATTGAATCTGGGTTTTTTTAGATGGAATAGACGGTTTTGTGTGTGTGTCTCTTTCGGATTACTCTGTTCCTCGGCTGGATTATTTTCAATTCTTTTCCCGGCTTAAACACGGCTTCATTCTGCATGAGTAACCGGTCTAAGCGTTCAATCTCGATTGAAAATATTTCTGTTGACTCCTCATCGTAGTCCTCCAAATTTTTTACGGCGTCTTCATAAAGAACGTCGAGGACAGGAGAGTAACCATCGAAGAGTTCAGTGCCCTGCCTTTTCAGAGGACTTAAAGTTATGGGGCTTAGAGGTCCGTAAGGTCGTTCCGCTAATACTGGAAGTGCTGGTACGTCCGTCTTAACAGATGATACTGTGACACCGGGGTATTTTAAAATCTCGATACAGCTCAAAGACGTGATTCGACTCTTCCAGAAACCACCAGGTGAACTGCGGTAGGTCAATGACAATGTGGACATCCTGGATGAACCTAACACCTAAAAGGGTTTTATTGTCGTGTGAGTGGGGTAGTACCAAGAATGTCGTCATTATGGTGCGCTCATTGATCGTCGAGGGTGCATTTGTGACCATGACTCGTTGTTTCTTGGAAATACCATTGACTAAGGTAACTCTAACATCAACATCGGTGAATTTGTATCCCTTTCCTCTTAGGCAGCAATATAACTCATACGAGGCTATACTGCTCTTAGCGCAAGTGTCAATAAAGGCAATACTTTTATAACCATCAATTTCAATTGATACTACAGGGCAATCTCTGGCATCAGTGCTTGTATTCACAGCACAGAATCTAACCTGTTCCATTGAATTGTTGCATTTAGTGACAACGGGTGATTTACTTTTGTAGCAGTTGGGACAATTACTACAAACAACTCTCGGTGTGCACCATAGTAGTTAAATTTTGGGGCTGAAGGCGATGGTGCTTGACTCGATGCTTCATTAGCTTGAGTATGACTGGTTTCAGTTATATCAATTATAGTTAACCTTTCCTTTTAATCTATTTCTGCAATTTTCAATATCGTGCTTGCAGAACCTACACCTTTTCTTGCCAGGGCGGGCTTTAGTGACTCCTGGAACGTCGCTTTTGGATTCTTGTGCGGGCTTTATTTCTTCCCTCCGTTCACAAAGATGTTCGGTGGCGCGTGGTGCTTTCAAAACCTCCTCTAAATTAGAAATGGCCCAGCTTGGAACTTTGTCCTGAGTCTTGGAGGACAATAGGCTATAGATCATGTGTAGCTGCTGAATCTCCGATTCCTTTTTTCTGGCGGCTGGTGGAATAGCAAGCGTTTATTTCTATTAAAATTTTCAGTCCTCTCGTTGGGTTCCTGACTTGTCTGAAGTAACTAAGCGTATATGAGGTAGGCTTTTTTCTTGAGCGCAAAATTGTTTCGCAGACGATTTTCGAAATCGTCCCAAGACGAAACAATATCCTTAATACCTTGCCACCAGACACATGCTTCTTCTTTAAGCAAGAGTGGGATCTGCTCCAAACCGTTTCGGTTTGTAAAAATAATGACATGACCATTGTAAAAATAATGACATGTGGTAAAGTTTACCAGGTAAACGTCCCCTGTGTCGGCTTCGCTGAGGTAGTAGTAGAACCAATTTTGGCAATTAGTCGTTCAAATTGTCCATTGGTTAGTTGAACAGCCGTTTTTCTTTACATGGAGTTGGTCTTCTTTGTCTTTGTCTTTGCTTTATTTTTATTTTTTATTTTATTTATATTTAGGAAACATACAGTGTGGTATTACATATAATTAAAAAATTATTTCTTAATCATAAACCAATAAATTTTCCACTTAAAATAGTACAAATGTTAGAGAATGCGTGTAAAAAAGACAACAGAAAGAGACAAAATTACAATCTACGAGTACAATCAAATCAACTAATTACAAAGAGAAAAAAATCCACAATTTACATAAATTAAATTACAATAATAATAATGAACATAAATATAAACTATATAATTAAAAATATTTAAATTTTGATTTCAACAATTAAAGGAACATGTAAAGAAAGCATCGCCTCATCCGGTATATCTTCAACACTTTCCTCTTCTCCAATATAAACATCCTGGTCATATGTGATATCTTCTCCTTGGACATCGCCTTTACGCCTTTTGTGATCGGGTTGATCAGTGTCTTCTTCCTCAATCTCACCCTCTAACTAGTGGTGGGTCGTTGACGATTTTACAGTCGACGCAACGAGACCGTTTACCGTCGACGATAAACTAGTTTAAAAAACAGTCTAATTTTCGACTAGTTTACGTCGTCGTCGAAAAGACTACTTCATCACATAAACGATTAGTGAACGTGAACGAAGGAAAGTCTCGTTTACCAATTCGACGATGTGAATAGGTATGTACATACGTCGTCGTGTAGTAAACGAGTTTATTGAGAATGAAATGACATATTGTTGAAATGAACTTCCCTTCGTACTTTTTCCAGGCTTAGGACTGGCAAGCTTATTGTGCATACTTATATTTAAATTAGTATGTAATAAACTTGGCGTATTTAAAAGTTAATTTCATTATATGTACATTTTCATTCATAATAATCAACTATGAACATTAATCAAATTATGAGTTTAATATTTACAAGTAGATATTTACAATTTTTTTTTTTGGGTTTTTAATTTTTTTGTATTTTTAATAATAATTTTGATCTCTATGTTCACTCAAATTGATATTGAGAAACATTATTTTTCGTGTAGTTAATCTGGTTCTTCTACAATTTATTAATAATCCGGACTTTGAAAACATGCGTTCGCAAGGAACGGATGTTGCGACAATGTTGCAGTTTCGAATAAATAATTTTAATAAATTCGGATACACATGGCGGTGATTTTTCCACCACACAAAAGGACTGTTCTAGGGATGTGACATTTAACATAAAAAATCGATTTTTAATTAATCGATTTGTTTTTTAGTTTGAAAAATCGATTAATTAAGAATCGATTTTTCTTAAGAAAATAATCGATTTTTTTATATTAATCGTTTTTTTCCTAATTTACCAATTAATTTCAAAATGAATGCCATAAATATTACATCAATTGATTTATTAACTAAAAATAAACAACAAAAATAGTAAGCTCTAATATAATCAACACAAATTAAAGATTTAGAACAATCAAATTATAAAAGGCTCAAATTAATTTTTTTTTACATAAATCAACAAAATTAAATTAAAAAAAAAAAACAAACTAGATATCCGTAGGCAACGAGTTCAGGAATAACAGCTTAGGTAAGCGTTTGGATAATATTCGGCTCCTGGTCTTTGTTAACCCTTTCCCCCCGGGGTAGTGATTTTTAACGAATTTCCGCTTTTGAACTTTATTTTCATAATAAGGTAGGTAAAATTAAAAACACAGATTTTTTTTAGATTTTTATTATAGTTAGAAGTACTATTTCCAAGACCTAGACTTATAAGTACCGTCAGGAACTTCGTGTTAACAGAGTGGTAGGAACTTTGATAGAAACTACAAAAATAATGAGATCCACTATTGACTTAGCAGTAATTAAATTAATGACTTAAGTAGTAGTAATAAAAAAAAAAAATTACAGGTTAACCTCGTGGTATTCAATAAAACAATTTTTCTTTTCGTTTACACACAAAAACACGTTGCAATGCGAACATTTACTATGAGGTTTCGACTGAATCTTCTTCAAACTACAAACCTCACACCTTCCCCTGTTCTCTACAAACGTAGGCCAATGGATGCCTCTGTTACCTAAGCGTACGTCTTTTATAGTGGAGTAGTCAGATTTGCGTCTTTTGGAAGGGCCGCCTTTTGCAGTATTGTCAGTAGAAGTCTTCCTTTTCTGACTAGCATCTTTCATTGTCATCAAGCCTTGAGTAACAGAACGTCTAAAATCTTTTACGGTAGTCTGTTCCATTATAAGTCCATGAATGACATATGCATTGACAAATACGATGTCCAGAAGACCCCAAAACAATCTGTGCCACCATTTCGGAGATTTGCGATCTATACAGTAAAGGGCTCTCAAACGATCAGCTGTATCTACGCCGCCCATATACATATTGTAATCTTTGACAGCTATAGGGCATGTAATGGCTGACTTGGTTCCATTTTTTTCTTTACGTGACACAGTTGCCTCTTCGTTCCCGTGAAAATTAGACACTAAATGAACCATTTTATTATCCTTCCATTTCCAATATCCAATGTCTAAATTTGAAAATCGATGATCACTATCGCCCCTTTTCAATTGAGAATCAGCGAGCATATTTCCGGGCAGTCCTTTTCTGTTACTTCGGATAGTTCCACATGCGTAGGTGTTTTCAGTTTTCAGTTTCTCAAGTAAAGCCACAGACGTGAAAAAATTATCAAAGTAAACTACCTTCCCCTTACTCCAATCTTGTTCCGTTAACTCCAAAACTACTTTCTCTCCTAATCCATAGCCGGTAAATTTTGTGTTCAGTTCTTCGTCTTTCCCTTGGTAAATTTGAAACTTCTTTATATACCCCCTCTGGTCAGCAAGACACCACAGTTTGTACCCCCTTTTTATGGGCTTCATAGGTAGATACTGTTTTAGGACAGACCTACCTTTGAATTTAATCATGGACTCATCTACACTCAGTTCGCGAGTACCATGATAAACCATTTCAAATTTTTTATTGAGTGCATCAATCATTGGTCTAATTTTATATAATTTATCTTTGCAGCCTGAAGGCATTTTGGAGCTATCATTGCAATGCAGATGAGATAAAATAATAGCGAACCTGTCTCTAGGCAAAGTCTTGCAAATAAGCGCGTTGTTGAGATCAGGTGCCGAAGAGTAGTGGTCTCTCCACGCCGGACGAGTATTGTAACCCATAAAAAAATTAATACCTATAAATGTTAGGAGTTCCTCTTTTTTTAGGTTCAATACTTTGCTTTTCTGAGTAGCATAAAGGTTACTTTGGTATACAATATTGTCAACAATGTCATCAATCAATACTAAAAATATATCAGTCGGTGTGGTACAGTGAGCAAACCAGTCATCTACTACTCCAGTATCCGCAATGTATTCCGGTAAAGATGTACTTAGGTCCCTCTTTTTCCATTTACGGTTTGGTTCGGGTAATCGCTGGTTAGTTCGGTGTGAAGAGTTATTTGCAGATGGTAGATCAGGCTGAACACTAGGTGCAGGTAATGAAGATGTGGGTACCTGATTTATTGGGTACTCCAATACATCTTCATTTGACGGCGACGACGGCGGAACTTCGGCCAAAACATCTTCTATAGCTCTTTCAAAAATTTCATCGAAACCTCTTGGCGAGGGTAGTTGAACATTTTCCACTTCATCATCGGACACACCTGCATCAGACGCTTCGTCGCAGTCCGGAAGCTCTTCTAATAACAGGGCTTCAATTAGAGCCGTATTGTTTTTAATATCCATCTCAATTCCTAAAACAATAAAAACCTTGATTAGAACAATAATAAAAAAAAAAATAACATGGGTTTATAAAAATAATAATAAAATAAAATAACCACTTCATCGTATACATGTATTATAAAAAATCATAATATTTGAGACTAGAATCACCTGACGGTACTTTTAAGTCCGCAGTAGTTTTTATCAAATATTCGTATGAAATATCGTGATAATACATTATAACAGCTTTTAGAAATATAGCCAATGATATAAACAACGTAAATAGTAAAAAAAATAGCACTTACCTGTGATATTCTACTTATAAAACTTTTTTTATTTCACTGCACAACGAAATGAAAAAACAATCGACAAGTTGTGACAAGAATTTCAATTTTTACGCCAATGTCGCGCGGTAATTCAATTAACGCGCTGTGATTGGCTGACGGAAACGGTACTCTAAAGGATCGTCAGTTGCCGTTCACGTAAAGTGTTTTCGTACTAAAGATATTAGACGAAAAATGTGGTGGTACTTCTAAGTACCGTAAGGAGGGAAAGGGTTAATATGGCACCAGCTTTCGAAAACAATCTCTCTGCTGGAGCCGAAGAAGCAGGTACCAATAGGTGCTTACACGCTAACTGTGTGAGTTGGGGATAAACTCCCTCATAGCTTCTCCAGGATTCTAAAGCGTCTTCTTTTAGTCCTATTAGAGGCGCAGCTATGTACAAGCTTAATTCGGATGTCTGACTGTGACTTTGACTGGTTCTCATAGTCTCCAATAACAGCTTGTTGTGGGTCTCCCAAATGTCATCATTATCGACATTATCAGCGGCCGAAGTTATTGACAGAGGGCAATGCTCAGGTTCTCGGTTTTCTTCAATGGATCGTCTAACGTAGTTTACAGTTCTTGCCAAAGATGCTCCGTCATCAAGATGTAATTTTTTAAAACGAGGATCTAAAAATGTTGCAGTATTAAATAAATGAACTTTTTGTATGTGCTCAAATCTTTTCTTAAATTCATTTATTATTGAATTTTTTAATTGGATAGCCAAATCATGCAAAGAATCTGTTTTTTCCAAAAACTGTTTCAGGCACATTATAATGGGAATAGCTTTGCTTGCGCTGACATATTTTTCACTGCACATCTCCTCGCTTACTTTTTCAAACGGTTTGAGAATTTTTACGACCTCTTTCAATACAGCAATTTCACTAGCTTGAATCATAGGAGGAGCATTAGGGTGATGTAACAAAATGCCGCCCACCGTCCCACTCATAGCTATAAACCTTTCAAGCATATGCAATTGTGAATTCCATCGCGTTGAAACATCTTCTACCAGGTGTTTAATTTTTCCTTCCGGTACATTTTCAGCCTTTTGCGAATTTCTTAATTGGTCCGCACCAACTCCACTCTGATGGAACCATTGTACAATTCTGCGAACTTTATCAATAAATATTTTTATTTCATTCACCATGACTGAATTTTGCACAACAAGGTTTAATGTATGGGCTATGCAACGAATATGCTTTGATCTGCCGAATGCTAATTCAATGGCCTTTACTATATTTGCACCATTGTCGGTAGTGACGGCCACAATTTTTTCATCGGGTATTTCCCATTTTTCACATATATTTTTAATGGTGGTTGATAAATATTCAGCGGTATGACTCTCTGAAAGCGGCTCGCAAGCTATGTTGAAAGAAACAATCTTAAAATTTTTGATACAATGAATAGTTACTCCCAGATAGCTCTTCATTTGTAAATCCTTCCATTCGTCAATCGTTAAACATATATTGGTAACGAATTGTGACTTTTTGATTAAAATAGCTTTTTTCTCCTCGTATTTTCCATCAATGATGCCGGTTATCGTTTTGCGACATGGGATTTTATATAATGGTGCAAGTAATTTAATAAATTTTTCAAACCCTTCTCCTTCGACTACGCTGAAAGGAAGATTATCGCGATATATCAATTCTGCTATAGCGTCTGTAATCTGTTTGTTTTTTGAACCCCCGGATCCAAATTCTGATATTTTTGAGAAGGATGCTTCTATGCCCATTTTTTGTCGTTTAGAAGTTGAAGACTCTCCAGAATCGTCAATTTGAGATGCGGAAATAATCGGTATCATAATCACAGAGTCTTCAGAACGTGTAGATGTCGATGGCTTAGCAAACAAGTCTGTGATTGATTCTTCCTGCGAATTGTTTCCCGACTTGACAGTATGATCCTACAACAAAATTAAAATTGGTTAAAAATATCCTTTAGCATATGGCCACTAAACTAAAAAAGTATTTCGTATCATAGAAACCAATCAAAATAAAACTAAATTTTGACTTGGTTTAGATCGTAAATTAATTTGTTATCTGAATCAGTAAGTATATCTTTCGATTTGTAAACACCCAACCCTAAACTAGAACTGTCAAAATGAAACTTTGACTTGTCATTAATCTTAATGCCCTGGAATTTTAAATATTATCCTGAATGACCCTGATTTATCATTTGGTTGGTTCCTAGCAACGAAAATAATAGGTCAGTAAATATTAAACGAGTAGTATATTGCTAAATTGACACCGAACTGGACTCTAAAAACTAGAAGCGCAAACTATTAAAGTGCTTAATAGAAATAATATTCCCGCGTATTTCAGTCGCTTACATTTCTAAAATAAACAATTAACTGATGAACTAACGAAACATTTATCTTTTTAGTCTGTGCAAAATGGATAGGTAAATCAATTTTGCTCTATTATATAGCAAATAGTGTTCTTATAATTATTCATTAAAAAAGCTAATCATTGACAGGTTAGTATTTGTATAGAAAGTGATCCAGTTTCTTAATAATTAATAGTTGTTATTAAATCCAAATTGCAGGTACTTACCTCTTTATTTTCAATACTACTTATGATACCAGAGTGTTTCCTTTCCATGTGCTGTTTTAAATTGGTAGTATTACTGCACGTTTTTAAAATTTTGGGGCAATATTTACATTTAGCATTGCCAGATTTATTGTCAACATAGAAATATTGACGCCAACTACTTGTCGTCCTTTTAGTCGTAGACATTGTTAAAAACGAGACTTTTAATGCCACTAAAAACTTTTTATCACGAAAAACTTTGGAAATTGTCGTTTGAAAAATGAAGTTTCACCAACGAATAATGAATATCAATAATAATAATAATGCCATAAATCGTCAGTATAAAAATTTCCAACCTTACAGGGAGACCGTTACTCCCAGGGTTCACTAGCTCTCCAGCTACTGGTTGTTCATTTCAAGATCTGCAGTAAGCATATCGATGAGGAATTTGCACTATTAGTAAAATAATAAGGGTTTTTAATTTCATTTTTTAAAGCATGAGGCAATCGATAAGGTTTTGAAAAAATTGGTTGATCCTATGTAGGTATATTCGGTTTTACTTTAATTAAGTGTTGATTAATATCAGTGGTTGATAACTTGTCCCCTTCCAAATAAAAAATATTGGGATATTTCGCACATAAACTTTCTACATTAATCCTTTCCTCTTTATTTAAATTATTCAACTTCAATTTTGACAAGAGTGTTTTAACTCGCGATGCAATTTTCTCGATCTTATTAAAGTTACAAATAGTATATTCCTTTAAATTTTCTATAATATGTTTAATTTCAGACAAAGTTATATCTTTTAAGGTCGTATTCAAAATTCGAACTGGTATTTTGCCATTAATTGGATATACTAACGTACTCGCTATAAATACTCCCTCACATACTTCTTTTGTATATACCACATATTCCTCTGTTAAACTCATATTAATATAGTGAATTGATTCTGATCTGGCAGGTAACGAAAATGACTACACGAGTCTATTAATTGCATAGATATTTATTTAGATTCATTGATCCATAAAGACAAACTATTATGTTTCATATCAATCACCGCTCCATACTTTCCTAAAAAGTCTTGTCCTAAAATACCATGTGACTTACAAGGTAACGTGTCAAATACATAAAAGTTATGACTAATATACTGCCTAGTACTGTCAACTGTAAACATACGTATCCGATAGCCTGTACCTTTCCACCTATCCCGTTTATTGTTATGTTTTCTTTGTTAATTGAAATGTTGAAATCTAAAACATGTTTATGTTTTATAGCTGAAATTGAGACTCCTGTATCCATGAGCCAATTAAAAGCGTATCTGTCTTTATAAAATAATTTTATGAAGTAACTACTGAATGGCTAGAATATATTGAAGGCAAAAAATCATTTTCAGGTTCCGAATTCTGAGAGGATGAACTCGATTGAGGCTGTGACTCGTCAGTTATTATTGTCCGCATCTGTCCTTTGAATGCTCTATGACCCCTAGATTATTACCCCTACCCCTATTATTATTATAATTATTATTATTAAATGCCCTCATCGATTGCTGCCTGAATCGCGTCTTTCAAATTTTAAAATTGTTGAACCGTACTAATAGTGCCAATCCTACGATTTCTTAATACGTCGCTAAATTGACGGATTGCCTCTTTCTCGTTAACAGATTTTAAAATATTAAATTTTTCAACATTTTCCTCAGATTGAGAAATTGTAAGATCAACGAATATTTCGGATAAGTTTTTTCCGAAAACATCATCATTTTTTCTGCAATAAAAAAACTGTTTTTGCAAGGCATTTGTAGACTTTTTTTTGGTAAAAGTAACCTTTTCATATCATTTAAAAGGTCAGGTACAGCGTCGTATTTCGTTGCTAATTTTAGCTTGGCAGACTGCGACAATCTGCTTTTCAAAATAATAGATATTAAATACGTCTGTGACTCAGTATTGAGAACCAAACTACATATAATACTCAATACCATCGATAAGTTGTCGTAAATAAGAAAGCTCATCATTCACTGGCAATAAACTCAAAGCTACCTTCAGGTCGAATTTATCCATTGTTGAAAATACACTAGAACCGTCTGAAATTCGACACAACTCAGTTATTTCATCAAACAATTTCTTAATATCCGTACGATATTTTTAAAAAATAAGAGGCTCGTCCATTTCAATGCTTTTCAGTTCAATAATACATTTAGCTTTGTCTAACTTAGTCTACAATTTTTTTCCTTGTCGTCTAGCGGGTCATATTTTAATGAAATACTGTCTCACTACTAATAAATCTTCATATAATTTCTTTAAAAATGTTGCCATACAGTTTAAACATATAAATAAATAGTTATACATATTTAATTATACTAAGTTAATATATTTAGATAATATTTTTAACTAATAAGTTTATATATATGTATATATATATTATATTATAACAATACTCATTATACTTTGGTAAATAAGGTTACAATCCACTAAATAATGTCCAAATACTTCTCGAAATTCCGATGTAGGCGAAAAGAAGTACACATATTTATGTAACCGCACTTTACCTCATACCACTTTATACATAAGCTTTTTAACACTTTTACACTTTGTTATCATCGATCTTCAAATCGGGGTAACCCTGGCGCCGTCGAAAGGAGAGTTGTCGCACCCTGCTGCCACTCGCGTTCAACTCAAATTCCTGCCGTATCCATCTCATATGACATTTCCGATACATCAGGAATATTCCATACAGGAGTACCAAAACTAGGCGAAGTACCACCACGTATAAAAGGACGCTCGACGTTTTTATGTGAAATCGGAACTCCTCGATTGGTGTATCATTAGTGCCCCCAGCTGCATTTTGTGCTATCACAATGTTTTTTTTTATTATTATTTATTTATTTTTCCATGAACTCTAGGGTCCATGCCCTTGTTAGACTTATAAATTAAATTTTTACAAAGATTTCTTAAAAATAGCTCTCAGTTTTTACAATAAATTTAGATATTGTTACAGCTTAGGGCTGCATTAGACATACTAAGTTAGGTATTAAGGTAGATATTAATTTAGTGGTCTGAAGGTTTCGATGTTATTTTCTTGATTGTATTGATGTCCCTCGAGTGGATTGCCATCTTGATGTTATATTCCTCAATCTATCGACTGACTGACTGTAGATCTACATCAGTATGCATTACGTTCACCATCTATATATATAAAAGAAAGTCGTGTTAGTGACTCCACTTATAACTCAAGAACGGCTGAACTGATTTCGCTGAAAATTGGCGGGCAGGTAGTTTAGAGCCAGGAAATCGCAATAGGATACTTTTTATCCCGTTCAACAGCATTCCCGTGGGACTTGACATGAAATATCAGTCACTATAAAACGTGGAATAATGAAATACAATTGACAGCTATGCAATTGACGTATAATGACAGATATATAATTTAGTACATATTTGCGGGATAAATTTAGAAAATCATTGTTTTTCACATGGGCAGTTATAGCTTGTGTGTAGAGTTGCGAAACCATTCGCTTTATTTGTGTTAAAGTTAGACCAAAAAACAAAAAATGTGGTTTACAAATGAGCACTTCCACTCCACTTCCACTGATTCGGTATCTACTTTGGATTCACTTTCATTTACTTAGAGAAGTTCAACTAAATAATACTTCATTTTTGTAATCGAAATGAATTCATTACTGTTGTGAAATGAAATAAAAATTTTCCTTTTCAAATATAAAACAAAAAAAAAATTCTTCATTTTTTAATCACCAAATAAAATGTTACATAAAACAAAGCCTTCTGGAGGTGAAACGGAGTTCGCCAGGTTTACTAGTTACTAATATAAACTAAGTACTATTCTATTAAACGAATGAGGCTTACTGTAGTGTATAAAAATCTTTTATACAATTATTTTTCTGATTTAGACACAACAGTACGTTAGGTTTGGTACAAGACTTTTGTGTGGTGCCATTACAATCGGGCATCTTGCACCGTAATCGATGGGCAAATACAGGCCATGTTCGAAACTAGAGATTCACCGAATATTCGATTACTATCCGGTATCCGGCTTATCAGACCCTTTTTTTATTATCCGGCGGGATACCGGATAATAAACTTGGTAGATTTTATTTATTAATTTTATTAATTTTAGCCAGGGAATGGTCTAGGTCGTAGACGTTTTTTTCGCCTTTAGGAGCTAATACGACTCCTGTTTTCGGTCAAAGAAGAAAATTTGTTTCATCGCCGTTAAATTTATTTATTTTATTTTATTATTTATTTCATTTATACATTTGTAAAAACTTTACAATAAAAAATACACGGTATGAATCTAAAAGTACCTCAAACAAATTGTTTTCTTAAAGATAAGCTTCAATTTGATTGAACCAAACTCTCTCGTCGTTTTCTGACACAACGGCGGCACTTGCAGCAGTGACTGCCTGAAGTATGCGTACAGAAATATTGGGTTTGTCGTTGAAAAAACAGTTTATACCATTTTTTGCCCTATTTTTCGGAAAGTGAATTACACTAGTGATAACGTCATCTTGCTTGTTGCAGCTTGTTGGGAAATTTTCTTCGCAACTCAGTAAATAATAATAATATTTTATTTCAGACCAATTACATCCATATTAAAAATACATTAAAAGCTGAGTGTTAGTAACAAAAAACTTAAAACCTAATGTTAGTACTATTAAATTATAAAACTAATATACTAAGCACTATTAGACCTAGTATGTAGTTGTACCCATTTATACAATATTGGCGTGTTCCACCTTCCAACAAACACATTCAGTATTCCGTTAGAGGAGCCGCGGAGACCCGCTAACATGACCCACGGGTGGGTCAGTGGACAATCTATTTTTTTGTATATGAAGGAGGATCCAAAAATTAAAAACAATGATATATTATAATATGCTTATACCTAATGCAACATATTAAATACAATTTGCATTTGCACGTAAGGGGAAGTTTCTCTCATAATAGCTGCAAAGTTAAGGTGTTAAACTTGAAAGTTTTTAAAACATTGCTTTCAACACAATGTTTTTACACACTTTTTGCATTACCAAAGAACTCTTGCGTGACAAACAACACATCGCAATGGTTTTGTAAGCTTTTTCGGATAGTGCCTTTCTTTTTAACGCGGTGAAAGTTTTTAAAACAGAAGCGGTCACTCGTCGTTGCCGCCTAGTGGATCGCCACGGGAATCGCTGAAGCATACATCGGCGACGATCCGGCGACAAGCCGCAAACGTTCGCCTAAACCAGGGCTATTTCTAAAACCTTTCTAAATGGTATGTCTCTCATTCAATATTGGTTTTTTGTTCCTGGGTGTTTGCGATTATGATATTTCTCATCTGTAGTTGTATTAGATTAAGACCCAGTTTCACCAATAAATGTTTGTTAAATCAAAACATTCCATTTACTAACCAACCCTTAAAAAATATAAAGCTCTGTTAAAATATTTACGTCCCACGAAGACAAATTAACAACGAATTATTAAATGTTTTGTTAAATGACCGACTACCAAATTATTCGTTCTTGTTATAAAACGACCGAATTGAAACTATATCATTTAAATACGACACGTTTGTTTCGGTGTAGCTCTTATACTTTGGTCGCATAATAACCCTCGATACGTCGCTTATCAGCTAATGTGACCAAATTTTATGTGTCGTTGATTGCGTACATTTGACGCACAAAAGACTTTCTTTTCGGTTTACTAGGTGTAATCTTTCAAACTCGTGCTTTGAATTGTAACTGTTACAACTTACATATAATATTTTAAATTAAATCTTAGTTGCAATGTCGAAGAAAAGCCGTGTTCCAATTTTTCGTCTAATGAAAAAGAGATTTTAATACATTTAATAGAAACATACAAGGAGATAGTGAAAAATAGAAAAACCGATGCTGTGACTTTAGTTGCAAAGAATCAGGGCTGGGAAAAACTAGCTGAGGAATTTAATTCCCTCAGCTCTTTCTGCAATAGGAAAATAGAGCAATTAAAAACATGTTGGGACAATATTAAAAGATCTACAAGGAAAGAGAAGGCTTTAGCAAAGCGGGAAACTAGGTATATTAACAGGTAAAATCCATATTTATTTCTTCTTTGAGGTTTATAAATTCATAAAATAATATTAAATCCCTAAGAACATACACACTGAAACTTTTATTTATATTGAGGAGGAAATAGGCCTGCTGTTAATCCTCCTGATCCATTGTAAGCCCAGATAGAGTCTTTGCTAGGACCAAGTTTAGATGGGTTTGTTAATGTGTTTGACTCTGATAGCCAATTTGTAGAGTAATATGTGGAAGTTCAAACAGGAACTGAAACAGAAGTACGTGAAATAAAATGAATACAATCCTTTATATTAAAAGAATTCAAATTTTAATTCAAAGTTGTTTATTGTAGGTAATTAATTGCATCCATATATAACTTTTTTATTTCTATTCTAGGAAGACAAGGAAACTGATGCTGGACCTTCACAGGCAATAGAAGCCAAAAAAGAAATATTACCATCAGATGTAAGTATTGCATGTTTATAAATTACTATGATATTTTGAAACCATGTTCTTTATAGTTATATAATTATGTACAAAATGTGTATAAACTACAGAACCCTAATTGTATCATGTATATGTGTTAGCATAACTATTATTATTGTTTCAGAATACAAACAACATTTGGAAAAACTGGACACCAGCAGCGTTGAAGACCAAGGTGTCCAATCCTCCAAAACGTGAATTTAATCAACCTTTAACATCATTATCATGGCTTCGTCGAAGAAGACCAAGAACTTCACTCCAGGATAAAGTCTTAGAGAATAAAATCCAATTAATAGAACTATCAAAACAAAATGTTCAGTCAGAAGCAGCATTAAAAAATAGATTACTACAAGAACAAATAAAACAGGAACAAATTAAAACACAAAATTAGAATTAAAAATCTCCAAAGCTAATTTTTTTTTCAAAATAACTTTTATTATATTTAATATTATCATTATACAAGTTTAATTAGCAAAGGGTTTTATTTCGAGTATTCCTTGTCTTACACAGTCTTAAGATTGCAGTACCACTTAGTCGCCTCTTGCGACACCATTTTGGTGCAAGCTTTTAAAATAATTACTGATAAACTCCCTATGTACAGGGTTGGTAGGCTTAGTACCATTCAACTCTAGTGATCAAAAAAGTTGCTTTTTTCGCACAAAAAGCTTTATAACCTATCCTAAACCTAACCTAAAGATAAACTGAACACAAACTGATGTTGATTCCACAGAAGCGTAACCTAAAAATATACCTAACCTAAACCTAACCTGATGGTATGTCAGTTGGGGTCAGGAATGTGAGATTCAGGAATCAACTGATCCATACCAAGTTCAGCTTTTAGCTGTCGCTTATCGAAACTGGTGCTTGAAAGTTAAAATAATATAAGCTCACACATCATTCTAATACCCTTGAACTAGAAATTTGAACAGTAAGTGAATAATCATTTTGTAGAACTTAGGTACGTGTGATCATTTTATATACTTCATGTGCAACCTAGTTACAAAGAAACTCATTTTAAATTATTTTAGAGCTTCATGGTTCGTTTTGAGATAAGCGAAATTAGAATTTCTAGAATAAATTGTGTCTGGTTTAGAGCAACTTCATTTAAAACAATAGCTAAATAAATAAATTTTGGAATCAACGGTCATATAAAAAACTAAAATTACTCTTTCAGAAAATTGTAGTGTATAGACTATGGAAAAAGTTACGGAATAACAGCTTGAAATTGAGTCCGAGCTTTAATAGATGGTAATAATTAAAAACAGGCGATGAAATAGTTTCACAATAAAAATTATAGTCATGTAATTAAAGAAAAATGGTTCCTGCGGTTTATTAGTAAATAAATTATTGTAATAATTAGGTATGTGACATTGCATTCGGATGCGGTTTATCGATAAAAAATGTGGTAGAACCATTTCCCATCAAATTTTAAATATTTGTATAATTGCTTTATGATATTACACAAGTGTTCTTGGGTTAATTTAAAAAATGTATTATATTATTGTCACGGAATCGGAATCTCCAGGAGAAACGTCATGTAAAATAAAGGTTTTATTTGATAAATACATTGAACCTTTTTTTTGTATCTAAAATTTTAAAATATGAAATGTCAGTTATAATTTCCTAGTGCAAACTGTTTTTAGGGCTTGACAAATGCAGAAGTTGATATTTTAGAATCTTACTGCAAAGAACGCCAGGTTACCTACCTTAATCTCAAAGAATTCTTTGAAGCTGATATTCAAGGAGTGCAAGTTCTCAATATCATATGTGGAGTTCTTGGTTATCAGTAAGTTACCGACATAACTTAAATGTAGATAATTAATTCAAAGTAACATAGGATTTTTTTTTTAACCTTTTTTGTTTTCAGAATTTTGACCCAATCGATGGCGATTGAAGACAATTATATTGGAGGTAGGAAAATAAAGGTCCAGAAACTAGTATGGATGATGTATAAATAATGGACAATATATTGAAGTTGATAATTTAAATAAACTTTTAATTAGATAGATGATTTAATTTCCATTTTCTATCGTCACTTCGCTTTGACAATCACTAGGCACTCTATCTGTAAACAGTTCTGGGATCTGTAAATTTTAGAATTGGACTGTGAGTTATTTATTTTTATAAGTCTCAAACACTCAATATATATATTTATACATACCTGGGGAGTATAGGCTTCAACTCTATCGAGCAATGAATCCGAGAAACCTGGCGTGTAATACCTAAACAGGAAATAAAGACAATAATATAATTTTCATTTTATTCGTATATATATTTCACACAATAACTCATATTTATACGCTATTTCATAATACCTCACGATTTCTTCAGGGAAACAGCTGTTAATTATATTTATGTACTCCTTTAATGAAGTTCCTGGTACGGTGTCAATTTCTTGTATTTTCTTTAAAGCCCCTGTCGTGACAAACAATCTTCTTGCTCTTGCATCATTAGGTAATATCTATAAAAAAGTTAATTATAATTTAATTAAGTTTAAAATATAAGTTTATAGACTCACAAAGTGGTTCTTAATTTGTCACAGATTGTACTATCAAACGAGGTGAATAGATGTAAATTTTACTTTTGATCATGTTTATGACTAATCAGGCCATTGTATTTTATATTGATTTTGATATTATAGCTGAATCGCATCCTTAAAATTCTTGATCACTTATTCTCATCATTAAAGTACCGGTTTTTACATAATATTTCTTCAAATTAAAAGTCGTATCTACTTGAACACGAAATGTAATCAATATTATCGATGATTAGCAGTATAGAGAAACGACTGTTATGTTTACCACAATATTTGTAAACAGGTGCTTAAAAATTTATATCGTATAAGCAATAAATAAGGGTAAGTATAACAATATTTATTTTTAGCATATGTAAGTATCGATACGTTGACATACAATAATTAAAATGTTAATAATAATGTCGTAAATAAGTTATTCATATTAATCTTTAATGAAGGAACTAAACTGTCCTAACGTCCCTTTACTGTCTCTTCACAAGCTGTATCGTCTGTAATGATTAAATAGCAGATCCTTATTTTTGTTGCCCTTTTAAAGGTAACTGTCTAGTTTTTTTATACTTAAATCATCACTTCACTTCAATCTCGTCCCTATTCGCACATCTATTTCTATTCACCCCTTTGACAGTAATCTATTTTGTTGTCAAAGCCAAAAGACAACCTCAAAATCAAGTGTCATCTGTCAAAATCACCAAGTTCAAGTAATGTTTATTTTCTACTCGTAATTGAATAGTATTTCAAATCATAGAATATTCAGCTTCATATGACAGAAAATGGCAGGAAGAGGGAGGGGAAGAGGTAGTGGCATTTCATTGACTCATGAACAAATTCAAGCACTTGGTATCGCTCGAGGAGATAATACGCCGGCAATACTCACACCGCCTCCTCTGTTCCCTAAATTAGATGTTAAACCTTTACCCCTCAATTGCGACGCAGCCACGGATTATATGGTGATAGTAAAAGATCAATTTATAGAATATTTACACGAATCACCGGCATATGTAAAAGCGAATACAAGAAACGATGGCATAGAAAGATATTCCGATAAATATAAATTACTGGCGTTAGATGCAAAAAAAGGTAATATATTGGACTGCGTTTGGGCTAACATACCTCCTGAACTGCGGCCAAACGCTGGTCGTAGTCGAGTCTCAGTAAAAAAACGAAAATTAGATGATCCAAAAGAAATAGCTAAAAGGTTACAAACCTTAGAAAAGAAAGAAATTCAAGACACGAGTACTGAAGACATGGAAACAAATGAAGATGAAGTTAAGAAAGAGACTGAAGAGAATGACGAAGAGTTGGAAGATGAGCACGAACAAGAAGAGGAAATTGATGATGGGACGGACTACGCAAACAATTACTTTGACAACGGTGAAGATTATGAAGACGAAGATGACAATCTTGATGATGGACCAGTTTACTAAAAAATGTACATTGTATGGCTCCTTAAAACTGTGATAATAAAACATTTAAAAGTTATAAACATTATCATTAAACATGTATATTTATGTAATTATTATCTTTCTATAGGACTAACCTTTGCATATTGTGCTAAAACATATTTAAGAATGCAAGCCGGAGCAGCATGTAGTAAGGGCTCTAAGGCTGGTCTATGAAGGCAACATTGCAGTGACTGTTTTAAAGCACAGGCGGCCCTCGCCCTGACCTCACTGGACGACTTTGGATTAGTGTATAACTAAAAAAATTTACACATAATATACAAAGTTTCTTTATATATTATACTGAGAATTATACTTATGCTATATATTGAAATTAACTCAATTTGTTGACATCTAATTAAGGTTTATTATAAGGTTAATGTAATATCAATATGTTTACAAACTTGTAAAAGTCTAGGTAATGCGTTTGCAACAGCTACAGCGAGGCTATGTTGTGGTGAATGTTTTGCTATGTGACCCAGTGTCCAAGCTGCAGCACAAAGCTCTGCATCATCCTCACTATTCTGTAGGATTTCTACGAGTACCACCACAGCCTTTAGAAAATATCAGTTTAATAGCTTTTTATAATTACTTAATGCTTCCACCAATTCTACCTGTATTTTTGAAAAATACTTTTTTTTTATATATTTATGTATATACTAATATGCTGTGACACTTCATGAAAATCTATTAAGATATTCTTATTAGACAAGTAATAAACCAAGAGCAATTCATCCTCCCATAGTAGTTAATCAGTTCTTGACATAAGATATTTGAGTTAAATGCTTTTCTATTGTAGTTATTAATTGTAACCTTAGATTCAATGACAGCCATCGCCAGCTGGTCTGACTGTCCCGCGATGTAACCAAGGGCCATACAGGCGGGAACTCTCGTTCCGCCGGTGTTCTCAACCAACAATTCCACTAGGGGCCCACACCCACCCGTATTCACCACCAATTGAGCTAACTAATATAATACAAATAGATAAAGATCTCAGCCACAGTCTGTTTTATTGTACAGGACTGTTAAATCAAAAATAGATTTATCGAAAATTACTTGTTGAATAAATTTTGCAAATCAATGCTACTAATATTATAATTGATTGTGAGTGTGTGTATGTTTGTTACTTCTTCACGCTCAAACGGCTGAACCGATTTTGATAAGATTTTGTATACAGGACGCTGACGTCCAGAAATAACACATAGGCTACTTTACATCCCGGAAATTCTTGGGTAACACTGCGGGGGGCAGCTAGTAGAATATAAGAGAAAGACAATTTTGAATTTGATTAAATAATGGAGTATAATTTAAAGTGGACATACGTCTACGGAATGTTTGACTATATCACGTAATAGACAGGCGGCGGCGCGGCGGACCGGTGCCGTGTCGTGGCCGGCGTGGAGCAATGCCGGCGGTAGGGCGCCGCCAGCGACCACAGCCTCGGCCAAAGACGCACGTGTGCCTGCCACAGCGCTCAATGCACAAAGTGTGCTACGCTGTCGTTTTAATGACGAATTCAACACTATTTCAATATATTATTATAACGCCTGATGAGCTTCGTATAGCAAGGATTACATGCGAATTCATATGACGTGAGACGAGAATAGAAATATAACGAAATTGACACGTTTGTTTTAAAAGTAACATAACTTAGTACAATGAAAGTATCTTCAAGTTACACTTATGAATAACAAGCGTTTATTTATATTTTATCATTGATAGTCATTGATGTTATTAATATATTTAGTTTAATTTTACCTTCAGTTTTGGGTCTTGGTTTTCCAAGCCGCGCACTAAATGACAAATAGCTCCTGCGTCGACCACGGCTTCAGGCTTGTGTTGTGCTAAATCTACCAAAGCACCAGCAGCTATCTATTAATTTAATAAAAATTATCTCTTCTATATATGAATTTTTATTTAAATATATTTTTTTAATTTTCATCTTACAAAGGACGAAAACGTTTAGAAATTATTTAAGCTACTATCAAACATATAAATTCGATTCATAGAACGTAGAAATTCTTAACCGTAGAAAAGTTTTGACAAATACACGGACGTGCTTTCATCCCGTAACAAAGAAAATAGCAACATACCTGTTTCAAACTCATTTCTGGTTCTTGAAAAGCTAAAACCAATAACGGGAGTGTCCCAGCATCTACGACTAATCCTGATAAATGTTCGCTATGTTTTCCTATGTAACCTAAAGCCCAAGCCGCATTTTCCTTGACCTTTAAATAACCAGAGTTGTGGAAACATAATATTTATAATGAAATTTTTGTTTAAGCAACTCTATTTTTCTTTAGTACCTAACTCATCAACAATTTCATGATTTAAATATTGTGTCTATGTACCTGCGTGTCGAAATCTTCTAAGCAAGAAACAATATGTTCTAAGGCCCCAAGTCTTACAATAGCCGAAGCTAATTCTTCGTTATGTCTGTGAAATACGCACTTCCTCATTATAATCAGTTACAAATGTAGAAAGAAAAATTTGGTAATTTTCATATCTTACTTTGCAACCGCCCTCATTAAATACAGTGCCGACCGTTTATAATACACCTGTGACAAACTTATAATTATTATTTATTTCAGATTTATTTGTCTACACAATATACTAGAAATACTTAAACTAATATACACAGATCCCTTTAATGTGTTCATACATCTGTTAACACTATGTATAGGTATATATTTTGAAAATGAGTAGGTATCTCCTATTTTATTTTTACGTTATGTAGAGTGACTATATGTTATTAATCAAATTGAGTAAAGACTTTAATGTCGTACATTATATTTGTTGAGGTTTTCCAGCGTTATGGTAAGCATTCCACCGTTGAGAATTTGTCTAGCAACATTTTCGTCATGTTCTGCAAGTCGTGCTGCAGCCACTACCGCACATTGTCGTACCGTACTGCACGCATCATACAACAATGGCCGAAGTAATTCTAGTAAACAAAACTAATACTTCAAAATTCTGTGTTTCTACATAGTTAAAACGAAGAACCTACTAAGACTAAGATGTACGTCTGATTAAAAATATTGATAGACTACGACAGAAATTTTTAAGAAACAGGATTCATTTCAAGTTTCCTATGTGAATTCTTGGACCTAAAATTAAAATTCTATGTTGTTACTAACCCAAAACGCCAGCACTCTCCAAACATTTAACATTAGTTGCTCTTGTAGCCAGTTCAGCCATTGTCTGAACAAATACCAATCTAGCTTTTTGATAAGTTTCAAAAACTGTAAATAAACAATAGAGACAAAAAAGTTAAAATGTAAATAAAGAAAATTAATTTATCGTTATCGTTAAGTGTAAACCTACCGAGTTGAATATTCCGCGGGCTGCTCATGGAATGACTCATTTTGTAAAAAGATGTAAATATAGACAAACTTAGATAAAGTTAATTTAATATTGTGTATGTTTTCGTTTAAAATGCTTACAAAACTTGATTAAAGTCAACGATGTATATTTTTTAAATTTTACTTTTAACAGACGACTAATGTAACAAAAAGTTTGTAATGAATTAATGCATAAAACTACTTTACTACCACGCTATTTTATATGTGGCTTATTACATAGAAATGGAAAAAATATAATTAATAAAAAATAAAATTTATAACGAATTATTATTTTAAAAAAACTTTGGGAGCATAAAAATAAAAATTGACATTTGTATCGATCTATAAAATGTTATGCTTTTGATAAACACATATTGTGTCACGATACACAGTTATGCACAGAATCTTCTTACCGACTCATCGGAATTTTATTTTAGGAAATATGTATAGAGAAATAGTCAAACCGAAAACATTATTCTAACTCCCAACCTTATAAATTCTAAGCATATTCTACACACATAACATCGTTCTGCGGGGTTTTCGTGCTTAATCATTTGTTTACTTTTATAATTTAAAGCTACCGTAAACATTTTCGCTCATTATATAACACCTAAAATAAAACATTTCGCAAAAGAATATAAAATCTATTACATTGTTTCAGCGCTCGCTGTATAGCGAACGTGCGTGAGTGGTGCAGGGAACCGTGAAGGCCATGTGACCACCACACACGCGTCATCTGAAACACACATACATATCTATTGAGAAGTTAGAACCACGTAGCCGTTGCCTACCTGGCAAGCTCTCAGAGTTCACTCACACACGAGGACACAACCTGTCGCGACTGCCGCGGCTCGCTTACATTACTTTATAATTTTTTTAAGTTGATTTTTAAAAATCTGTTAATAGAACCATTGTTAATAGATGATAATTGGTTTGAGGCATATTCGTAATTTTTCTGAACCTGGTTAGACCAGCCAGTGATCATTGTGTATTTTAAATAAATATATTCATTATGCCGTATATAATGGTAATGGGCAGCTTGACTGCACCACATCTTTCCAAAGATGAAGGAGCTACTGTTTACGGATTAAAAAGTGAAGAACGAGTGGAACTAGTAAGGGTATGTTATACTTTTTATTTAGCAAACACAAGATTTCTATTGTTTAACATACACTACGTACCTTGCAATCTATTGTTCGCATTTTTTCATATTGCATCATTTGCATATATGACTAATTAAACTACCTATGTGTTTTGTTATTTTAAACAAGCCACTCCATAAAACGGTGGATCAAAACACAAACAACCGGATGTTTTCTTGACGATAACCAATTAACTTATAGAAACTTCATGCCGGTTTCTTTCTTTGATGAATTTAAAAGAACAACAATAATTGACATTTATACATTATGGGCATTATGAGTGTGTAATTATAGAAAATTAAAAAAGTCCTTGTTTTATATTTTATAAAATCAAAGATAATTACAATACAATAAAGTGTTTATAAAATAACAATTGCTAAAAGCGACGTCTGTCACGATTAAGTTAATTTTTGAGTATAACATTCAATAATAGTACAATTTAACATTTCAGGAATTAAACTCGTCATTCGGTATAGAAGTGGCGACTTCTTTGGATCTAGAGCGGACTGTGCGTGTTACTCAAAAGGGTGTCACTTTGATGGTTGTGAATCGAATCCACGGACTGTTTGGTTACGATGTTGTATCACATGCTATGGCAATGACAAACGCAAACCGTGAATTGATTTCATTCACCATGTACAAGAAGACTAATAGCCACTCACACGGACATAGCCACAGCCACAAAAGCCACTCACACAACAGCGTTGTCACGCTTTGACGACCATTTGTATGAACGTGACTAGATGAAACCTTTATTTTATGATAATATCGTGATCTTAAAATAATTATGTAACTATTGTGTATTATTAATTATAGGGTACAATAAATATAATGTATTTCGTGTAAACATTTTTATTTATTAAATCTTTTTTGAAAAAATACATAAACCATACAAAACATATATCAGTCTTAACGTATTTTATGGAATGCAGGGCATTGTTGTAGCATGAGGTCTGCACGATATTTTATTTATGACTATTTCATAGAAACACTATTGTTAATATTCAATAATTTCTTATAAACACTAAAGGTTATACACAGCTACAGTAAACAGTACTATTACAATGTGTGTAATAATATTATAGGCAGGCAGTTGTATTATAGTTTACAAAATAAAGTCAGTGTAATGTTGAAGTCAATTCACAAACCAATATTTTTGGGAAAAATTAAAGAAAATATGCTATCAATAGAAATATATATTATAAATTGTTTATTCAATATTAGTTATATGAGAATCATATATTCTGAACATTTACGATCTAATCAAACACATATCATTCGGTGAAAAATGGCGTCTTTATCTACATGTGTATGTATGAATGTGACGCCAATAGTAAAAATGTTTTTGTTCACGATAAACAATAGACTATTAAGAATGCACAAAGCTAACGGCTTTGGTTCTGGATATTTGGATTTATTCAGCATGTGTTTGTAATGTTCATATACTTTTTGAACTCATAATTTATATACTAGTGAAAGGTTAATGGATTGTGGACTAGAAAATAATAAATATTACGTAACATAAAAATTACTACGATTGTAAATTCTTATAAGATCGCGTTAAATAAGTTGTGATAGCAGAATTGTAACATAGCGTAAATATAACAAATAATATGAAGATTTTTTTATAATTTGGTAAATATGTTGTTATAATGTTTTTATAATCTCTCTTCCTTTCCAAACTTGTGTCTTTCCGCTGCTAATTTCTTCAATGCGGCTGCGTACTGTCTTTGTACTTCCATTAATCTAGAATATTCTCCATACAAAGCCGCCTTTTGTTCCTTTTCATTTTTATATTTCTGTTCAACTTTCTTGACAGTTTGATTCACCCATTCCACTATCGATTCAAATTGTATCATGAACTCCTCGCGTTTCCTTGCTGATGACATTACTCTAAAACAGATATAAAATACATAATATTAATAGTTTGATGTAATCTGTTTGCAAATCTATACTAATATTATAAAGCTGAAAAGTTTGTTTGTTTGTTTGTTTGTTTGAAATCGCTAATCTCCGAAACTACTGGTTCGAATTGAATAATTCTTTTTGTGTTGGATAGTCCAGTCATCGAGGAAGGCTATAGGCTATATAACATCACGCTACGACCAATAGGAGCAAAGATATAGTGGTAAATGTGTAAAAAACGGGAGAAATTATTTCTTAAGTTCTTTAAAATAATTAAATTTACTTTTAAAATTGTACAGATATAGTTTGGAATTCGAAAAAATAACATAGGTTTTATCCTGAAAATGGTGGAGCATTCCGAAAATCCCGCAAGAACGGGCACTATGTGGGAAGAACCAAAAATCTGGCGGAAGTCACTATTCCACACAGACGAAGTCGCGGGTAAAAGCTAGTAATGTTTATAAAAATAGAATTTGATCCTGTACTTATACTTTTTTGTGAATGGAAAGCACAGTTAAATTAGAAAACACAGCACAGCACAGTTAAACAAAGTTAAATTAGAAAATATTTTAATAAATATTCTTTCATAAAGGAATATGATAAGTTTTGTTCGCTTAAAATATAAATTATTCATATACATACAAAAAGTACAACTATTACACTATAATAGATATGATTTTAACTTTGATATGCAAGATGTATTTGGAAATCACTTACTCATCATAATTATCTAGAATGGAGTTAAGAAGACTCAATTCCTTGGAGGTATAAAGTTTAACTTCATATAAAGTATTATGGAATATATAATACTGTTTTGTTTCTTTGTGTTTTGAGGCAACTGAAAAATATATTAAAATAATTAATATAAATCAATGAAAATTAATATTCAAATGGAAATATTAAGTAACTTACATATCATTATAATTATTTTCTTTTATATAAAATGAATATTCATGATGAATCTAAGAGTATGTATTGAACAATAATAGTAGAGGAATTTTTTGTACCTATCTCAATGTTATATAAGATCTGTAGTATCATATTTGTAACTAGATTCTAAATATGAAAATGAAATTCTACCTTGATTGTATAGTTCAACAAATCTCTTCTCATATTGCAATAGTTCTGCTGTACCGGGAACTTCATCGATGGCCACTGAATATCTTAACACCTGTCTGTTCATATGACCGAGTTCAACTCTCATACTGCTTATGTAATCTTTGAGTTTCTTCTCCCTATCTTGGAATTCTTTTAATTCTGCTGCTGACAATGGATCCTCCTCTATTACTACATCTGGTTGTTTTATTAATCTGTAACAATTTTAAAATATGGTTTGTTATGTAGTAAATATATAACTAATTTTATAGTGATTATTTCAAATAATCATACCTGCATGTCTCTTTTAATTTGTTATTCTCTTTTTCTCTATGTTCTATAATTTTCAGTAACTCACTTCTCTCCTTAGCCAATTCTTTTAGTGATTTGTAAAAATCTTTCAAATTCTTATCACTGCAATGTAATTGAGGAATTAATATAGAATTATATATTTTAAACAATGTTTTTTTGCAGTTAAGTTAAAAAATACCTATACTCATCACTTTTCATTAATTTCTTGGTAACCTTTTGCAGTTTTGTTACAATACTACTGTAATCAGCCTTAGCTGCCTCCAGTTTCTTCTTATGATCCTGTTTCACCAAATCCATTTCATTTTCCATAGATTCAATGGATTTTGTTAATTTTTCTATATCTTCAGCGTATTTCATTTTCTCTTTTTGTTCAATTTCTTTTGGAATGTCACCCGTTAGTTCTGAATGAAGGACTGTGTAATGCATTTTTGTATTTTCAACATCTTCTCTATTACTGACATTGTGGTAAATTTCTGTCTATAAAAAGGAAAATAATCAATACCAACTCTGAATTTTACTAAACTACAAAATAAATTATATTTTGTACTTACCTCAGTAGTGATATCTGATGGATCAGCTAAGCTTTTTTCATAATCATACTAAAAACAAAATATATTTTATTACATAGAAAATATTATACTATTCTAACATATTTTGTAAGTGCTATAGTTTTAATATTAAAATAATCATTTTTCATATAAGACTGTAATATGTGGATCGCAATAAATAGATTTTAGAAGTATAACAGTAATGTTGATTATAACAGATGAAACTCACTAAAAAGTCCAAATCCTCTTGTTGTGGATCATCTTTGTTGTTGGAGACATGCATCAACATGCGTGTGTCATACTCTGAGAGAACAGCATTGACTTGCTCCAATTCATTTGAAGATAAACCACATTTCCGTTTACGAACTCTGCATGGTTTATATAAATTCTTAAAAATATATAAGTCTATTAGAATAACGATAATTTTTTCTATAAAAAGTTATAATTAAGAATAGTTACAAATATAATTTATTATTACCTGTACTCCAGCTAGATTTTTTAATAGTTTCTCTGTTTGTCGGAAATGGTTACGATCTAGTTCGAATATATGATCTTTATTATACTGCTTCACAGCAAACTTACGTAATTCATCTTCTTTTGCCTCCCGGAATTCACTAGAATACTTAATTAACCATTGAACTAATGGATAAATATTAATAAAATCTAAACCTTGTATTTGATGAGGTTCAATAATGTAAGGACACTTCATGCTCGGCAAAACTTTAACAATCTTTTCTGTTAGTGCTCTGAAATAATAATAAATAAATAATAAATAAATGGAATAGTTATAACAAATAAATAATGAAAGATAGCATACATTTTTTTTCCAATAGTAAGATTCTCTTCAAATAACAAACTGATGTCCATGTCAATATCACATAATTCAATACACCAAGATAATCCTCCAACGATTTTATCGAATGCTGACAGCCCTTGAAGTTGAGCTCTGTAATAGCCCGCGGCGACGAGGGCATCAGATATTTCATGCCATTTAACAAGCTGTTCCGCATCTTCTCGAACTTCTACCTACAGTGAATGTAATATTATACAACGCATAATTTAACCGTAATAACTGCTTTATCATTAATTACCTCTTTGCCCTCTTGGTCTTTACCACTGTATATATGCATCAACGGTTTACTTCGAGTAAAAATATTTTTCTGCTTAGCAGCCATCGTTTATCTTGTTATTTGAATATAAACCAATAAAATCAAATAAAATCCACTTTTTTGTCATGCAAAAAGGACCGGCGACATAATGATTGATTAATTAAAAAGAATAATAGTTCTGAGATTATTCATATCTTCACTACATTGAATACTTAAAGCCATGAATCGATATTTAATATTCATAAAAAGATCAACTCTTTAATAAATTATGGATATCTTAAATAAGAATAACATGAGACATGTAAGGATATAACTATTAATCTAATAATATATAAATACATGACGACGTTGACATTAGGTCATAGAGTAAACTGGTTTTCAGAATACCTACTGAAAATGTCAATAAGGTTGTACATTTAAACGATTTGATTATTAGTCGTTTGTCACAAATTATATATTTTTATTAAAAATATAAATATTTTTTTTTACTTTATTACTTATTATTATATATGGTTAAGGACTTTTACACATCTCATTAGTTATAAGCAGTCGTTGTTGTTGTTAATTTCTTGTTTACTTAATGTCTCCTATTCTACTATATATATTCTATGTATATATTTATGTATGTATGTATTTAATATAGTATATATGTATATTTATATGATATATATTTATTGTTATTTGTATTTAAAAGTTACTGTACCCTTCCACATTATGATCCTCTACCCAAAGGTTGCCTGGAAGAAATCGCTGCGTAGCGATAAGGCCACCTGTTGCACATCATGCAAGTAATATATGTATAACGAAAATGTATTTTTTTAGTTTTAGTATGTTGTGCAATAAAGAATAAATAATAATAATAATAATTACAATATGTTAATAGTAATAATTTGGATTTTATTTTACTTAAGGACAAGACAGCAATTAAATCTAAATTTTTTTTTGGTTCATTGGTACGAAGAAGTATTCTGCTGGAATATGAGTTTTTCCTTGAACCAAACCTCTTTGGAATATTGAAAATATGGAATAGAGGAATGCCTTTATCATTACTTAATATTTTAACTACACTCGATTCATGGGCATATTATAGTACTTTTAGAAGATTTTGAGAATTGTTTTATTTCATTTTCTATTAAAGTTTTTGTAGCAATTGCTTCTAATACAAAAATGTTACTAAAGAAAAAATACTAATGCTCTAAAGCCACATTATTATTGAAATGTATTAATTATGTACGTATATTTTCCATATTTTTGGTATTGTTTAATTTTTTGTGCTTCATACAAAATTACTGTTTGTTGGTGATGTACACCAGCTTTAAACATTTTGCAATTCGTATAAACGTAAAAATTTCAAGGAGAGCAAAAAGTGACATATGCCATTGAGTAAACCTATGTTCTTAATTTTCATATTCTGACCGATCTTTTGTCTACGAGTTTTATAAAGAAAAAGCAGGAAAAATATTTTACACGGCTATCTTCACTCACATAATATCAGGCGAAACATTTCGCTTGCCCTAAAATTTTTAAGTACTGTATATATAATGAATAAGTTACACAGGGTTATTTACTGTAAGTAATTTAGGACTCTTTATATATTTTTTTCTATATTTTTGATTACCGTACGATAATATATATGATAAAATTTTTATCCTTAAAAAATAAAATATTAGTAATACGGTTGTAACAAAACAGGACAAATTTCTGAATTCATGTGAAGGTTGTGGCTTAAGAAACGAAGAAACTTGTTCTATTCATTAAAAGTGCTCTAACGATTCAGGACCTTAATTTCAGAAATTGGATATACAAAAATATATAACGAAATATTATTTATCATGGCGCAACTTGAAAATATTGATGTAGTGGATTATGTTTCTTCATTATTGGATTCTGAAAAATACAAAGAAGCCCTTAGTGTAGCTGTAGAAGAGAAATATATAAACAGTTTTAAGGATAATTGCTGGGATCTGATATCCATTATAGTAAGCAAGATTGACAATAATACAATAACAATCAAACCATCTTTATATGGAACTTGTGAAGAACTATTGTCTATCATTGTGCAAACAGCTACACCTGAAGAAGCTTTGCTTGAATTTATTGAACAAATTGAAGTTGCTAAAAATGATTCTCAGTTTAGCATTATACTGCAACCTCTACAGCAGCTTTTATTAAAGCTTCCCCAAAAGAGAGGCAGGTCATTAGAATGGTGCCTTAATTCAATAAGCACATATATAGAAGCTATACCAGTCAAAGAACATCAACTAGAAGGAAAAGAACGGCTCTTAATGGATTGTGATAATAATATAAGAAGAGTAGTAAAAGTATACACTCTATTACCACCATTCTATAGTCCTTTTATAAGAGAAGTAACTGTGCAGGACACTAATTTGAAAACAAAGGAGATTATATCAGCGTTTCTTATAAGCTTACTTGGAAAACCATTACTTTATGTAGATTTGGATCCAGAAACCAATAAAAATAGTGAGGCGAGATCCTGTGTTGATATAATTGTAAAAGATATATGTACATTGGTTAAAAATGTGTATATATTTTTGCCATATGTAGAACTTCATCATAGGGAAAACATGAAAACAAAACCTAAGAATACCCTCATGGACAATGAAGAAGAAATATCTCCATATGATCATAGAGAAAAGATAAACTTAACAACTTTGTCAGGATTATTTTATGTAATTCTTTCCAAACACTTTGAAATACCAGACTCAGCAATTCCACTTGTCTACTCCAACAATTATGTTTGTCATACTGGTTTGCTTTGTGTGGATCATCTTTTAAACTATACTGAATATGGTCCACTCACCAAAGGCATATCTTTACTCAAGATAATGTTAACTTATTTACCCAATGGTTTATCTGAGTCACTCCTTTCTTTACCAGTGCATTATAACTTGTGTAAAAGTCTCATAAATATAGCTATATATTCAAGCTATGAAAGTGTTCGGAAAGAATCAGTCAAACTTATTCGTGAGCATATATATAAATTTGATTATAAAGGCAGATCTTTGCTGATAAAACACATGTTGCAGTTTTCTAATCACTCAGGAATGATGGGTTATGCTATAACACTTTATAAAAATTCTCTTGATGAAGCTTTTAATAAGCCTGAACTGCCTGAATGTTTCACTGGGCCGCAATTGATGGGCATGATAGAAAAAATGTGTCATTTACCACATGGGGCTGAATCTGACCTTGTGGAATTAGCTGATCAAATAATCAGTTCACTAAACTTCTTGAGATATTTGGTAATAAAAGATTCTACCAATAAGACAGGAATTAAGGAACAGTTTTCAAAAATAGATAAAGATTATTTAGATGTGCTAAGAACTGGTCTGAATATGTCTAAAGCTCATTATGAAGTAAAATTAAAAGATATTAAAGAGGAAGTTAATAAGAAACCAGAAAATCAAGTGGAAATTTCACTCAATGTGGGAGGAAATGTATTAGACAAAATACCAACAGAAAATAAGGAGCAAATAATATATTCTGCTCTTAACGCTTTTCATTTGATAGAAGGTTTAGTGGCTAGGCTCTCTGAATGTATAGCCATGAGTAAATGAAAATAAAACATTTGTAAATCATAAAAAATATATAGAAATAAATTTTGTTTTCATATATCTGCATTTAATTTATTAAGTCTATAACCATACTATGCCTTTAGAAATATTAGATATATAATAATATTCTATATTTGTCAACAGCCTTACGGAATAGTCGTAAATTAACACCGCCCCTTCTAACAATTTCAATAAATACTAAACAAAGAATTATAAGAAGTTACAATCAAGGCCACGATGATAAGGAATTTGTGAAAGTCCCTGCAGTTATAAATGAACAAGATGACCACAAATATGAGGAAGATATTAAAAAGCGTATTATATCGAAAGCTTTAGATTTTGTTCCATCAAAAGGGTGGTCAGTGGACGCTCTAGCTCAGGGGGCTGAGGCTGCAGGATATCCTGGCGTAGCTCATGGCCTATTTCCTAACGGTGGAGGGGATCTGGTACATTATTTCAATGTGTCATGTAATGAAAGACTGGTCAATGAGATGAAGAGCGTAAGTTATTGATATAATTTGTTTTATTAAAGTACTTATTTTTTTTAATATGCTGTTTACATATTTTATAGTGGCCGAAGGAAGAACTAAAAGGAAATAAAGTCCCCGCGCAGATGATAGAGAATGCTATTATATCAAGGCTTTTGATGATTGAACCATATAAGTAATGTTTTTATTATTCAGTGTTATTACTGGTTATAAGTGGGATGTTAATGAAAGACGTTTTTTAGGAGTACATGGCCTAAAGCAATGGCTATCCAAACTCTACCTAACAATGTACCAAATTGTCTAGCAACATTGTTGTCTTTAGTAGACGACATATGTTACCACACAGGTGACCGCAGCGTGGATGTAAGTTATTTAAAGTAATATATTTGTAATAACCTATTTTGTGTTTAATTCGTGATTATCTTACAGTTCAATTGGTATGTACGTCGAGTGGGACTTGCTGGTATTTATAAAGCATCAGAGTTGTTTTATTTGACGGATAACAGCCAAAATTGTACTTCTACAAGAAATTTTGTTAAATCTCGCATCAGAGACGCAGAATTTATACAGATGGCGCTAAATATGAATCCAGTGGCTGTTGCACCACAAACACTTACAGCAGCTTTTGTAACGGTAAATAAAAATAAATCTAAACAAATTGATTCCACAATTTTTAACATTATTTTTTTATTATCACTGGTTAATAATGTATTATTATTTCAGGCAAAGAATATATTAGGAATGAACACAGTTAAATGAATTCAGTAACAGTATGATATAATGATACAGTATTGTTATATTTAGCTGTAGATTAACACACAAAAATGTGTAGTTATAATTTTCAAATACATAATTTTACACAGAAAATTGTGTTTTATTTTAAATAAACTTTGTATAAAATTTATAAACACTTTACATAGTCATATATGATATGTCTTAATAAGTATAGAGTTAAAATATGATGCATTGATTAACTTTAAGGCACAATATATCTGTGTTGTGCTTATTTATACAGGTGCAATATAATCACTACCACAAGATACATAATATATTAAATTTGGAGGAAGTGGCAGTTTATCCCATAAATTATCCGCAACTGTTTGCCTTATCACAAATCTGCAGATCTTTTGTAGAGAGTCTAACTTTGCAAACCTGAAAAAATACATTTAAAAGTTATCACCAAACACACATACAGATAGAAACTTACTTATAATAAAATTAATCTATATCTTGAATCCTATTACCTGTTTAAAGGTCTTGCTAATTTCACTGGCATTTCAAACAAATTGGACTTTACATCTACAGTGGCACAATGTTCCGATATTCTATTTGCTGGCACAAAAGTTTCATTGTTTAAAGAAAAAAGACCATTGGCATGCCTAAGTCGAGCATGTAGAGTTCGGCCAACACAACGAAATGACACACAGAGAATGTGTCTTGAGTCATAAGAATCTCGAACCAAGAACACATTATCATGTTGGCCTGCAAGAAGCTCCTCAGCCTCACTGGATGTTATTCCTCCCCAATACCAGCCATGTCTGAAAAAATAATCAACAATTACTAATGTTTTTCTATTGGTAAAAAAACATTTCTTCATTACAAGATCAAAAATGTAGTACCAACTTACTTTGAGAGTTGACAATATATAGCACAGCTTTCTACTGATACATGTTGATGGTGCCCTCTAAGAACTGAGTGGCCATCTGAATGCTTACATTCCATAGTAATATGGTCTGCTAAAATATCTTTTTTCACTTCATTCGTAACTGTTATAATTTGTCTTGATGTGCATGGATCCGCTGCTTTGTTAAAATTACACATAAACTCTCCATCACGATTTTTATTACCAAAGTATCTTTGTAATGAACGAACACTACCAGTGATAAACAATTTATTTTTCCAAAACTTGATAAATTTGTTGGTATTACTGGGCGGTTTTCGATCAGGTAAAAATACACAGTTCACAATGTCTGTATTACTAAAATCTCGTTTGCTATCAATACTTCGTTGTAAGTGTTTACATTCCATAGGTTTTAACCATTTTCGTAGACAACCAGTAGCCAACCACTTGCGCCTGTTACAATGGGTACATCGTTCATAATTTTTGTTCATTTCTATTAATAACTTCTACGACAATATTTTCTGAGTTTATATGTCTAGGACGTTCGTTTGTAAAGATTACAATATAATAATTATTTTACATTATTAACACTCCAAAGCAGCTCAATTTTCAATGAAATTGTAAATTATGAAGTAGACAACAAAACAGGTGTTTATTATTTAGTCTATGGGGCTACAGACAATATTGTATAATAAAACAAAAGGCACCATAACTAAATAGATGCTGAAGTAAATATATTACTGGAGTTGTTTTATTTATAAAAGGGCATTAATAACACTACCATTTTTACAAATCTTTTTATGTACTACAAGAAATATATATGGGTTATCTTTAGGTAATCAACATAGACAGAAGTACAGAACATTGTTACTTCTGCTTTCATCACAATTCGTGTTATCTGTGAAATGGGAATGGACTTGTCGTGAAAAAAGTGGTGATTGGTGTTTGTGAATATAATTTAATATTTTTTTAAATAATGAATTGAAATGTAATCGTGTTTCTTCAATGAATTAGAAGTTGAACTGTCTTTTTCTTATTTATAAATATTCTGTTAATATAAGAATGAATTCAGAGACCTTAAAAAATATATTATATCTTTCGTTAGAGTGATGACATTAAAGAAAATCGTGAAAATGTCAACAAAATCCCAAATAACTACAGAATTAAGCGGTATGTTAAATTTTAAAAGAAAACAATTTTGGCGGATAGTAATAATGAAATATTTAAATTTTACTTTGTGAATAATTACTTTGGATTTTAATTTTTAGAGAGCATCGGAAATGTATTGGGAAAAAATGTTAAAATACTCTATAAGTCACTTATTCGTATGGAATCAAGAGGGGATAAAGTGGATAACCGCGTTTTGGTGAGTTATTAATATCAAATAAATTATACGAAATATTTGAAAAATTATTTATATTTATAAATTACATAATTTCGATACGTTTTTCATTAAAGTAATACAAATTTTTTATTATATGTTTGGTACTGATAATGGAACAGATACTTTTACAGTCATTACATATATAAATAAAAAAGATAGATAGTATAGGGAGTATGAACAGAAATGGCTGTTGATTAATTTAAACAACCATAACTGATTAGATTCTGGACAATAGAATGACTCACTTAGGTGTGTCTCATGATCAGTACACAAATAGCTATCCCTGTGAACCCAACACACAATAGGTGCTGTGGTATTTTAAGATGATAATGTCCTGACCTATTCATGGAACACATCCTCATAGAATTTGTCTTATCTTCTGTATAAAACTATTCTTTAGACCTTTAAAGATTATTCTATCTAAATCCAATACATACAAAAACAAAATATAACAATTCATTGAGATTATTGATATTTATTAATATTAATTACTTCTAATCTAAGTTGTCATAAAAACATGAATAAGTAATTAATTGATAATGGCTTCAAACAATTAAGAGTTGCAATTAAAGTTATAAACAGAAGTTTGGACACTTTGTAGAAAATCTTTGTAAGGAATTATGTAAAAAAAAATACATTGAAATAAAATTGTTTTCAAAGGTGAATTTTTACTAAGAATATTCACAATTTATAAAATTACTTCTTCATAACTCCCTATTTATATATTTTTTTATTTGTTGTTCTATTTAGAACTCCCTTACTAAGTTCATGTTTTATTTATAATATGATCATTATTGATATATTAATTAAGTCAGTATAACACAGAAGTTTAGACTCTTCATATCAATGAGATTAATTAATCAATTGTAATTTATGGCTATCACAGATTACAGTCTGAATGCATATTTAAATTGATTTCAGGTAGTAACTGCTTATAGAGTATTTATAACAACAACCAAAGTGCCAACGAGGGTAAGATTAATTAACTAAAATTGTATAAGAAAACAACATTTAACGTAGCAGTTGTGTAATTTAATGGTTCTATTTGTATTTTTTATATTTAAGATTGACAATGGATTTCACTTAATGGAGATTGAGGCTCTCGAGAGCAAGAAAAATAATCATTTGTCAATAACTCTCATTCATGAACACAAGCCCGTCTCAATCCTCATTGGTAAGTTTTTTATTACATCTATTGTTTGTCAGCTCACTCTTTGTGACCTGTAACATTGACACAAATGCAATTCATGATTAGAATTTAAATTTATTCTCCTCAATCAAACAATATCCATGGTTTGTTGTTTTTCATTTGAATAAATGACTCATTCATTTAGGAATATATTCAAAAATGAACTCTAATCCATTCTAATAATAATCTTTTTTCGTAGAAACCTGTAACCACATAATATAGTAGTTAGGATATTGATACAATGTTAAATGAAAGCGAACTGCGAAATTTCAAAATTGATGGTTATTATCTTTATTGCAATAATATAATAATTATTTTCAGGCGAAGAAGGTTCGTCGGAAGGAGTTATTAATGCTATCCACGCTTTGATCGCAGCATTTGATGACTTATTTCCTAATGTTGCGATGGAGGACATTGTTGCCAAGGTTTTTTTTTTTTGTGAAACATACCTATATATTGCGATGCTTCTAATTTGTTTAATTAGCGCTTAATTTTCTTTCATTATTTCAATTGGTTATAACTGTGAGGATGGACATCTGTTTATGTCTTCCTGTTACGGTTTTGTTAGTCGCTTTAAATAGAGTAGAAATTAATTTTTGCTATTTGGTTATTTTAGGTAAATTTACCATTTCCTCTACATCCCATTTGTGGTACAAGAAAACATTCAACATGTGGTGATTTCTCTAATCAATACGCGGCCATGTGTGACCTATGTCAGACGCCATTTAGGTAACACATTATATATTTATTGAACTACTTATTCATATATATATTTTAAATAATCAATTTGTTTTGTATTCCAGAGCCGAGGTTGCTTGGGACATTGACACAATTTATCTAGCACATGACATAAGAATGCTGCATCTCAAAGATTTTGATCATTTAGATCAAAGGTAATTATTTGTTATCATTATAAAAAAATCACAGGAGTTATAAAAAACGTTGCATTTAAAAGTATAAAATAATGTCGTCTAAAAAATTAACATTCCAATTTATTCTAAAATGTTTGCAAAATTATTAAGTTATTAAAGTTTTAAGAGGCGACACATCTCAATATAATGAAAACGTGAAAATAACATGAAAACATAGTTACGTATAGAAAAAGGCAACGAAATATTTCTGTTTAATTTTATTACTGCAACCGAACATATTGCTCTATATACAGGGTGTGAATATAATGTATATACAAGTTTAAATCATCCACAGAGATCTGATCCCTTTGGTGATGGCGCTCCAACACAACACGTGGTTCGAGGGTGTGTGCGGGGACGGCGTGCGTGTGGGGGGGGAGGCGTGGGAGGCCGTGGGGCGCCTGCTCCGCTCCGCTTGCCCCCCGCCGCGGAGACTCTCCTGGAGGGGCGCAGCCCTGAGACACGACCACGCGGCGCGCCTAGGACACGCGCTCGCTCGGGCGCCGCGACCACCAGCCCTACACACCATCGATCTATCACAGAACCATATCGAGGATAAGGGTGGGTTCACACTGGTTCAATCACTAAATGAGATTAGAACACACTAGATACTTTGTATTCAAATAATAGGTCTACTCGTATTTTTGTTATTGGATTCTGAAGTTCAGTATGTTAAGTTGGAAAATATGTTTATATTTTCCTCTGCCATGTAAACCATGTGCTGCGTGTATGAATTTTCATAAGTCAATTGATATTGCAACATAATATAAACAGAGTACATATTTTTTGATTTATATATACATATATAATATGTTATATAATTTAACCAGGCGCCATCAGTATCCTGTCGGGTCTGTCCAACAACCCCAGCGGTCTCCGCTCGCTGTCCCTGTCCCAGTGCGGCGTGACGGGCAAGACGGTGTGTCAGCTGGCCGTGATGCTGAACGACGCGCCCGCTCACCTCAACACACTGGCACACCTCGATCTCTCACATAACAACCTCAAAGATGACGTTCATGTATGTACAAACATCTATGACGTTCATGTGTGTACAAACATCGTAAATTCATCGTCATTTACTCGTAATATCTGTTGTTGTTAAGTCAGTGCCGTACCTAGTCTTTTATGCACCCGGTGCAAGCTTTCAAAATTGCGCCCATGAAAAATGCTGTAACCAGACTCTGAAAATAGAATGGACAAATTTGCATACAAATAAATCTATCTATTGTTTACCAAAGTATATAATTATATAGCTACCATGCATGAGATAAAACTAGATACTAGTCTGGTCACTTCTGCGCCCTGTGCCTTAGCACTGCTGGCACCGCCCTAGTTACGGCACTGTGTTTAGTTATTCTCTATTATTATGGCTGCAACAACAAATCCTACTCGTGTCGATGAAAATTTTATTCTGTGTTATTTATAAATAGTTTATTTAAGTATTACCTAAGTATGACTAAGTAATATACATAATTAATTATATATATGTACATGTTTATTATAATCAGTGCATGCCAAGAATTGGATTACATCTATACTCCTATATTCGTGTATTTACATCTTATAAAGTGTGTTAGACCAGTGAGGTGTTTAACATAAGTATCTTTACACCCTATATATAAATAATTTTCATCTATCGCCTAGTTTATGTTGGTCTATCTATCAATATGAACACTTCTATTTATAAGTTCATAATGTTACGGTTAATTCTACTTGTATGATGAGTTGTTCTTTTATTTTTCATATACAAGCTTTATAACATTTTTGTATATGTATATATAAACATATTATTATAGTTTTGCATATCATGAATGTTTTTTTGGCAAAACAAAAACTCAAGATTCAATATTGTTGGTATATGACAAGATTCTCCATACATCTTCTGTTATTGAATTATAATGCATCAATTCTCTTGTTTCAGAATTTATACAACTTCCTTGCACAGCCCAATGTATTGACACATTTAAATTTAACTAACACCGAGACGACGTTAGAAAATGTAAGTTGATTAATTATAAATATACAGGGTGACTGGTGAATTACTATCGATACTTGAGGACGTGATATTTGACGATCATATAAGACAAAATAAAAATTAATATAACATAAATATTAATAAACTTCTAAGTAAAGTTAACCAAAAGTTATGTAATTAATTACGCATCGTGTGAACACCCTACAGATTAGGTATACACTCACACACACATACGCGTGCGGCGGCGTAGTGTTGTATCAGCACGCCGCCGCACGCGTCCACACTTGGAACGTGTCAACACTTTATTTATTTATACGGAAGTTTTGTCAAAACTTAAGTGCCTATTTTTTTTACATAATTCGAATGAGAATCATGTACCGAGTATTCTCCTTAAATATTGATAGTAATTCACCAGTCACCCTGTATATAAAATATTCAACATTTCATATAATGTAAGATATATACCAAGGAGGTATACTTTTTCTATACAACTTTTAAGAAAATATGTATTTCATATATTTGATAATAATTTCAAACATTTACGTTTGTATATAGAAATATCGGCATATTTTTTATTTATAAAATTTTGTTTTCCGACCACCCCGTTATTTAAGGACTGCAATCATGTAATTCTTGTATGAAATCATCGTTCATATTATATTGGGTAACGGAAACTGTCAAGGATATCGTTGATTGACAAAACGCTCTAGTCGTTATATTAGCAGTGATTACTATTATTCGTGTCATTAAAAGAATTGAGCTGGATTTATACCAAGAAACGGGATCGAGGCTATTTGACAAGGTTTGCGGGAATTTTAATATGTCCGCAGTTGTACTATCTATTGTAAGAAGTAAAATTTTGAGTAAAGAAAAATAACACTTATTTATTTTAAACAAAAACGTAAAACTCGTATCATAACATAAAACATATCAGTGACTTAATAACTGATATTAAATCAGATAGATAAAATCTCAGCATAAAATTGGATTTAAAAAAAAAGCAATAAATTTTTCACCACCCTAAAAGTAATTCTGGTAATTTTGCATCAAACATTTGTAAAATTATTGCTCAGTTAGTAGTACCTTTATTACAAACAAGCAAACAAACAAACAAACTCTTCAGCTTTATAATATTAGTATAGATTCGCTATATCAAATTAAATACTAAACATTTACGGTTTTCCATTTGTATACAACGTTGAAACTATAATATGTAAAGATTTATAGATAACTAGAAAAGTTACGTATTACGTTTGACACCACTATCACTTGGTACGTATTGAAACGTCATTGGTACTAAATTAATATTTCATGTTTAAATGTATATCTCTTTAACTATACTCCGGCCGCTCAGTTTGAGTTTTTGACACCTGTCAATGTCATAACTAGTGATGTACTACGAATGTTATGAGTAATATTTAATAACATGTGTAAATACACATGTAAATTCACACACACACACACACACACACACACACACACACACACACACACACACACACACACACACACACACACACACACACACCGACAAACACTGCTCACAACGTGCATAAGCCAACACACTCACAAAAGCACATGCTTAGACTTACGCCTCAGATACCTACTCTCACATCCTCACGCCACACATATAAGGATAGTTAAGGAACTATACTGTTATAATAATACATATTTCAGATAAAATTTGTTTTTGTATTACCATGATTGTTATTATTTAAGTTTAAGTATGAGAAAATTATTATGTAAAGTATAGTATATTTTGTAACTGCTGTCTCGTAGTACTTACCGCTGATTGCATAAGGGAAGAGCGGGACCTCCTACAGGTATTGATATACTTAAAAGGGGGTACCCAACGATGTATAAACAAGTGAAAAATGAAATAAATTATTTATATTTATTTATTTTTTAGATATGGGGTGCCCTACTCCGTGGCTGCGCTGCCCGCCTGTCGACTCTGCTCCTGGCTCGCAACCCGTGGTCCCAGAGCCGCCGCGCCAAGGACCCGCCGCCGTCCTTCAGACAGTTCTTCACAGCCTGCCTCGCGCTCACAGATCTAGATTTCTCATACTGTAAGATGCCGCCGGACGCTCTCAAGTGAGGACATTAATTGTTATTACGGATAAAATTAATTCACTTCAATATTGTTCTAGTATTTCATTATCTATATATATAAAAATGAATTGCTGTTCGTTAGTCTCACTAAAACTCGAGAACGGCTGAACGGATTTATCTTATCTTAGTCTTGAAATGTTCGTTGAGGTTCAGGGAAGGTTTAAAAACTGAAAAAGAATGATTCCCAAAATCCCTATAAACAGCCCTTTTCTATTTACCACACAAACGTTTTTTTTACATTAGATTTGACAACTAACTAATATGAAAATCATTCTGTTCAATTGAAACAGGAAAAATTTAATAAATACCAATACCTGGTTATTTAAGACGATATAGAGTTCGCCCGGTCAGCTATATATATTACTAATGACAAAATTAACGCGATCGAAGTCGCGGGCGAAAACTAGTTATATCCTAAATATCCAGTCGTTAATATAGAACATATAATAATATTTGTGTTAATTGTATTATATCGTGTTGCAGGAGTTTGTTGTTGGGACTGGCGTGTAATGAGAGCGCGGCGGGCGTGAAGCTGTCTTTAGCGGGGTGTTTGACGTCATCGCAGGCGGCGCACGTGCTCGAGTCGTGTGTACACGGAGTTAGATGTCTCAACACGCTCGACCTGTCCGACAACAGTATGTTTATAACTATTATTATACTAGCTGCGACGCGCGGATGTAAAGTAGCCTATATCTTATTCCTGGACGTCAGCGTCCCGTATACAAAATTTTATCATAATCGGTTCAGCGGTTAAAGCGTGAATAAGTAACAAGCATACACACACACTCACAAACTTTCACAATTATAATATTAGTAGGATACCAATCAATTAAAGACACCGTTTTTATTTAAGGAAATTTGCCTTCCACTCATACTTCTAATTTGAATTGATTTTTGTGTACTATGAGTTACCTTAAACTCTCCGCCTGTCCGGCAATAGAATGTATATAACTATTATTATGGTATATAACATTTTAGAGAGTATTCATTCATATAAAATTAATATATTTCGGATTTACTTGTCGTTTATAACTGTTATATACCAATCAATTAAATTCACTGTTCTTACTTATGATATTTGTTGTTCACTCACAGTTCTAATTTAAATTAATTTTTGTACACTATGATTATTATTACTACGGGTGAAAGTCATAGATTAAATAATAAATTGATTAACATATAATCTATATTCTTTATACGGTAATGATATATTAATGTTACGTTCGTTGTTTGTATAGAAACTTCTTTTGTTTTGTTGCCAAAGAAGTTCGTTAATGAAAAAAATAAAGTCTGAACGCTCTAAATCTAGATAATGTTAAAATCGAACATAGTTCCTAAGATAACAAACGCGTTCGTACATCTACAGTTTCATTTATAGCAGAATAAGAAGAATATATGTACAGGGTGTTCTAAAAACTGTGTCAACCCTCTTAACTGCGTTATCAGTATTGAAAATGGAACACAATCAAACAACTTACATTTACAAACTCTTCAATAAAAATAATAAAATTAAATATTAAATGATTATTATATGTAGAGTAACAAAATGTTTGTAAGCCCTGGTATAACACGATGACTCTCAATGACGTCATCACACCTGCTGCGCTACTAGTGACGAACTCTAATTTAATTTCACATTATTGAAAATAACGATATTTAAAAAATCATAACAATAAATAAATATTTAATATTCATATTATTTCGATACTTATTTTGATATATCAAACATTAGTATTATTTTTAATTGTAAAACACCATTTTTAACAGAAATAGATTAACGATTTATCCTAATAATACAACATAGTTAATTTATCTGAAGAAGTTCCAAATTATAATATTGATTAATAATATTTATTATTTACAAAAGTTATTTTAAATGAAATTATTTTAATGTGAAAAGCATAACTATTTATAGCAATATTGAAAGTATCGATAGAATATTTATCGATATACCAAATTTTTAAACTTGCAAATCTCTATTCGAAAACTAACAAAATAGTAATAATAACGCCGGCGGCCCGGCGCCTGCGGTCAATGGCCAAGCATGCGCCGTCGCGACTATACAGTGCCTTGACCTTGTATGGGTCAGATGTTTGAAACATTTTTTCAAATAATAACGATTTAAAACTTATTTAGCCCATGCACTGTAACTGACCTCTGCTTGATATTTTTTAAGTTATACTATTTATTATAATAAGCTTACACTTATTGGTATACATGCCTTCAAGGGTTGACACAGTTTTTAAAACACCCTGTATATTATTTTGTATTTACATACTGTCTCTGCTTAATTTTTACAATAAATTCTCACACTTTTCTGCATATGTAATGTCAAATATCATATACTTTTTCTATACTTCTAAAATATAACTATAGTTAAGTTATTGTAGAAGGTATACTATACAAAGACTTAAAATTTGTTAAACGATACTTAATCTTTATGTTGTATGGTAGATTATAATTAATGTTTTTTTTCCAGGTATGGAATTCGAATTATCTGGAATTGTAAGGGCCGTGGGGAAGAATCACTCTATAACGCATTTGTCTTTAAGCAAGTTGACAGGGAAACGGTCGTACGCTCCACCTTTAATACAGGTGAGTTTTGGATATCTTCTTCTACCTGACAATTTCCCAGATTTAGCCAGGGTCTGCCTTACATGTTGTGAATAGTTTTGGCTAATTGATTTTATAACCGGCCGCCTGCCTGACATCAACCCTCTTTTGGGAATGCATTAATCAGTGATGTCTAAATACTCTTAGAAAGTACATATGACTCGTAAAAATCACATTGGTACTTGTCCTTGCCAGGATCGAACCCGCGCCCTCGTTCATGAGAGGCGGGCCTTTTAACCACTGACAAATTTTGTTTTTGGATATATTGATATATAAATACACATATTATTATAATGTAATTAAAATATATATTTTCATTGCAGGCTTTGGTTCATGTTTTACAAGAACCCGATACGGCGTTGACTTCTTTAGATCTCAGTGACTGTAAGCTTAAGGTAAATAAATGAGTGACCCAAAAGTTTTTTATACGCGTGATATATTTTGTATTGAAATAAATCTATTCGAATCTCATATATAATTTTACATACTTGCCTGTTTGCTGACGTTAGTGGTTTGACATCGTTTCAATGATTTCAAAGATCGGAACAAAAATAGGGATAGAAAAGAAATGTGACGTCATATCAGTCAGTCAGTTTTTCTATCAGTTGTCAGTCATTATCTATATTAGTAGTATAATGTACAGACATTAAGTTATATAATAATGTTTCAGAGTGATCTATACGGCTTATTGAACGCGCTGGGCGGAGCGCGGAGACTGCGCGTGTTGGACGTGGGAGGCAACCTGGCGGGCGACGCCGGGGCGCGGCTACTAGCTAAGGCTTTACAATGCAACTGTACTCTACACACGCTATACATAGACAGGAACGCGTTCAGTTTGCAAGGTAATATAATATACTAGCTGTGCCCCGCGGTGTTACCCGCGGATTCCCGGGATGTAAAGTAGCCTATATGCTATTCCTGGACGTCAGCTTCCTGTATTTTATCAAAATCGGTTCAGCCGTTTGAGCGTGAAGGAGTAACAAACATACACACACACACACAAACTTTCGCAATTATAATATTAGTAGGATTATAATATTAGTAGGATAATACATATGTACGACACACAAACATAGTGTATCAAAACATGTGTATGAATGATGTGTGTGTTGTTTAATGTTTACAAACTGATGAACAATAAACATGTCAGTTGATATAACAAAATTCATGCACATTACTGAGATCATTCAATGAGAAACATCGGGACAGTAAGTGTATTCAAAGTATGTGAGGTTGATATATATTGATACTATGAATAATATATATATCGTTGGGGATAGTGGAAATCGTCGTTAGTAGCATTGGATTGGAAGCAGATTATCAGAATTAAGTTTGCGCTGAAATATTTTTTATTAACGACTTTTAAGGTAATTATTTTCAAATTAGTAATTATTTAATGTTTAATTAATTAATTGATTAATTGTTCCAGGTCTAACAGACATATCGTCCGCGTTACGTCGCTCGGTGTCCGTTCGTCGCGTGGAGTTCCCCGGCTGTGACGCGGCGGCCGGCGGCCGAGGAGCCTCTGAGAGAGTCGCTGCTCTGTGGAGAGAACTACACGAACGGTTATATATATACACATACTGTTGACATACAAACCTTCTCCAAGTGAGAAAGAGGCCTTTGCTCAGCAGTGGGCTCTGATAGGCTGATGATGATGATGATGATGACATACTGTTTGAATTAAATACTCAAATCATGTAGCTACAGTAGTGATACACCGCTTTACGCGAGGTATACGTTCCGCAAAAAAATAGCATTAACTGAAATTTTAGTATCTGGGGTTTATGATTAAACATAGTCACAATTTAATACAAAAAAAAATATGATTTTGATCAATCACTTTAATTTTAAGAACACTTTATGCAATACATACTGTTAATTTTTACGGAAAAATACATCTATCGTCTTTTGGGTAGCGTTTTGTGTACGTTCTTGTAAAATACGTTCATAACACCCAACACTGTTTTTAACAGTTTGCCACACGGCCTAGTCACTGTCATCATTACTGTCTATCCTCTGTAATATGTCCAAACCTGAATATTTTTGTTAAATTCGCGTTATAGTGAAACCACGTATAAGAGGTCGCGCTAAGCGGGGAGTTACTGTAATTGCAGTTATTACTATTGTATTATTGATGAAATTCTAAATTTCCAACTTCTGAGTGATTGTTCCTTTGACGCGATTAATATTTATAAATATGTAGAAGCAGTTTAATTATGATAATTAAGGAAAGTGATATAATCGCCATCGATGACTTAAATATACGGTAAAGCCGACTAAGTTAATATTTCAAATGTGGCTCGAACTCCTATTATTTCAATTAATATTACATATGTGATTTCTCCTATGACGCAGTGCTAGTCATACGTCCACACGACTTCTGATATGAATAATAAATTCTCTATCAATAATAATGTATAGATTAAAAATTTTATATTGCTGTACAGGTTGATACCATAACAAATTCAAAAGTATATGAAAAGTCTATTATCATTTATTATTCTATTTATTTATTTATAACTACCAACAAAAGATACAATAATTCGTGTACAGCAGTAATTTTAGTAATACATTTCAATTGTTCTTTTACTTACAGGTAATTACAGCATGCAATTTGTTATAGGCAATCAAAGACTAACAGAGTTACATTAATAAAAATAATAGATATTCAATTGTGTAAAAAAATAACATGATTATAAAACACAGGATTTTTCTTAATTTATGTAAAAAATTATAGATAATAATAGATCATTTAATATGTACGTACAGGTTGGCAAGTAACAGTAGCAGCGGTCAGTGTGGTCGCGTGCGGGCCCTCGCCCTGGAGCGTGCGTGGGCGGGCGGGGAGGGCGCGGCGTCCCTGGCTGCGCAGGCGGCGGCCGCCCTACCGCCGCCCCCGCTGCCCGCCGCCCTGGAGCGAGCTGCTGCTGCCGCGCACCACCTGCTGCACCAGTACCTGCAGGTGCTGCACGATACACAACTATATTATGTACACACACACACGCAAATTGTAGTGAATATATTACACTTATAGAAATAGTAAATGTTTCCTGATATTTTAATTACTTATATCCATCCAAAATGACAAAATAATATCCGGTTACCGAACTTTGCTCGGGATGTACAAATTTTTTGTATATATTTTGTGTTTTTTTTTTTTATTTAGTTGAGGCATTTTTAAGTGACCACGATAAGAAGACACAAAACAATACATATCAATAATTAATTTCTTAGTCTATAAACAAGTCTATAACACTCATTGACTTACTGTTACATAACAATTCCATCTGCTGTTGTGTCGTTAAAGCAATTAGCAAAAAGTAGTATTACTATTCGCCAATAGATGTCCGGAATAGTCTAATTTTAAACGCCTCCTTCTTGTTATTTTTATTTTTCATAAAATGATATTTTCTAAAAATGATTCCTAGCTAGATCGATTTATAGCCCCCGAAACCTCCTATATATTAAAATTTCATGAAAATCGTTGAAATCGATTCTGATATTCCAATTATATATAAATATGTATATTGTATATTTACAAGAATTGCTCATTTAAAGATATAAGATAAGATGTACGAAGTATAAAGATAAGAAAAATCTATATTAATCGGAACGTATTTTTTTATATATGAATTGATGGATTTTAAAAAAAGTTTAAGAGACTACATACATTGTCGAAATGTATTTTTTCTTTGTTTATTTTGCATTAACAAAACAATAAACAATTAAAACGATGTTTCTAGTTGAAATAAAAGGATCAGAGATAGGTTCTGGAAGAACATTGGACCCTGAACTACATATAAACGAAATTCGACTTAACAATAATTTATAATAAGGAACAATATTGAATAATTTTTACAGTAGTTGAATATATGCTTCGTATCTTACAAGGCAGGATGCGATCATATCTCAGAACACGTCTATAGTCCTTCAATAAAGAATTAACTCAATGAAAAAACATGTGTAGTCTGTAAACCATATTAGATAATTACATATTCATTTATAGATTTTCGCGAGTTTTTTTCATTTAAATGAAACTAAATTTGTTCGGATTATACTACGCGATATTATTTTTGTAAAAAAACTACACACTCCCGTCGTTTCGGCAGACGAGATGATCATTCCCGTGATCACGGTTGCTGAATAGTATACGAAGATTATTTATTTATTTAACACTTTTTTGTACACCACAATTACAATCACAAATAATTACAAAATATACAAACTAATAAACTAATGGTAAAACAAAAGGCGGCCTTATTATTAGCTATTTCTTCCAGACTACCTAGGGTTAGAAGATTGTTTTTGAAAGACAGTATAGAATATTAGTTTTATATATGTATGTTTTCATGATTCCAGCGCTGTAGTGAAGTGTTCGCGGCTATGGGCGGTTCAGTGGGCGGAGGAGAGTTGGTAACGCTACAGGCAGTGAGGGACGCTATGGCTCCCTGCAACAACACGCTGCAAGACTTACTCAAGTACGGACCATACATATTGTGATGACCAGTTAACACTGACCCTTCGATAAATCTTGACTTTACTTTGTTTGAGAAATATTTTATGATGAAATATTGCTACAAGACTTACTCAAGTACGAACCATACATATTGTGTTGACCAATTAACATTGACTTTTCATAAATCTTGACTTTCCTGTTTGTGAAATATTTTAGGATGAAATATTGCTATGTAATTATATGTGATTTATAACTGTAATTTATTTTTTTAATACATTTTGGTTTGAATGACATACTCTCTACATTAAAGAATTTCTTAAAATGAATTGTCAAAACTAAAATGTTGCTCCAACTATACTTTAAATTATTTTCTTTTAACATTTAAACTACTGAAACAAGATGTTATTTCTCATTATTGTAATTCCTCGCTCAAAATTTTTTTCTATACAAAATTATGCAGTTAAATTATAAAATAATTGAATAAATAAATTGAGTAACTATGTATTCTAATTAATTTCTATAATATTATTTACAGTGAAGCTGTAGAGAGATTGGCTGTATCTGCCTGCGAGAGTGTGGAATGTGCTGAAAATGAGCGAGGACCAGCCGTTGAAACAGACATACCCGACCTCCTCTCACCTATATCACACTCAGGGGTACATACATACATAGATACGTAGATAGATAGATATGTAGATATAATATTGTTCCTATGATATGCTATAACATCCGCTAATATGTAAAAATTATCCGTTTACATGCTGCAGAAATTGGATTATCTGAATTTGGTAAGATATTAATTGTATACCTGACTCTATTATATGATTATATATTGGAGCTGGCTTTAATTATACAGGGTGACTGGTGAATTACTATCGATATTTGAGGACGTGATATTTGACGATCATATATGACGAAATAAAAATTAATATAACATAAATATTAATAAACTTCTAAGTAAAGTTAACCAAAAGTTATGTAATTAATTACGCATCGTGTGAACACCCTACAGATTAGGTATACACTGACACTCACACATACGCGTGTCGTGACGTAGTGTTGTATCAGCACGCCGCCGCACGCGTCCACACTTGAACACTTGGAACGTGTCAACACTTTACTTATTTATACGGAAATTTTGTCAAAAATTAAGTGCCTATTTTTTTTACATAATTCGAATGAGAATCATGTACCGAGTATTCTCCTTAAATATTGATAGTAATTCACCAGTCACCCTGTATATAATCTTCATACATGTCGGTTTGCAATCTCATATTGGTATAGTATTAATAGTACAACTAATATTATTACGGCACGTCATCAGCCTATCAAAGTCCACATCTTAGCAAAGGCCTCTTTCTCACATGGAGAAGGTTTGAACATTAATCACCACACTTGCTCAAGACGGGTTGGTGATTTCAAATTTATAATTGTGAAACTATAAGTCCAGGTTTCCTCACGATGTTTTCCTTCACCGTATGTCAGTGGTGTCTAAATACTCTCAGAAAGTACATATGACTCCGAAAAATCACATTGGTACTTGCCAGGTTTGAACCCGCGCCCTCGGCAACGAGAGGCGGGCCCTTTAACCACTAAACCACCACTGACTATTACGGGACGATAAACATAATTCTTATATATTCTATTAGCAGTGTATATAACAGTATGTATGTTCCCAGGCCACTCCTCTCGGCTGTCGTCGTCGTGAGCGAGGTCGCCGCGTCCGGCCCAAGTCAGTGGCGGAGCAGCAGCAGTGCAGCAGCAACGAGATGCTGTCCCTGCCGCCGCTACACGCTGAGGCGGCCGACGGACTGGCAGACCTGCCCGCGCATACCCTCAGGCATCTAGTGAAAGGTACAGCGAGACAAGATAAATTGTGTAAACATGACATTTTTTACCAAATCCATTTATACTCCAGCCACATTCGATGTGGAATTTTAGTAAACAAACCATGAGTCATCATAATTAGGGTTGATACACTCTTAATAAAAAATAATAATTATTATAATTACAACTATATTCATTATAATACAATTTCCTGTTTAAACACAAAAAAATTAATTTAATATAGAATACAAAAAATTTATTTGGCCGGTCAATACATAATTTATATGAAAATAAGCTTAAAATAAAAGTTTAAAAATCTTTAATTACCACTATAATATTACTACAAAACTAACAACCCTATATATTAATACTGACGTAAAGAAATCGCAAGTTTGTAATATTTGGAGTGTTTTTTAAGCAATTGGCAGATTTAGGAAGGATTTTAATCTAAATGAGTCCTGTCGTTTGGGAGGCGATAGATAAAGTTAGTAAAGCGAATTATATAACTACTAGGTAATTTCTGATATCATTTTAAAATTGGAGGTATTATTTTTGAGATCTACATTATTCCAGATGATCATAAGTATTATAATTATAACCAAGAATGCGCTTAGTCTTTTGTTTTAAATATTTTATTATTAATCATCAGTTTTAATTTTTATTAACTTCAAAAATAATTGTTGTACATATTTTTGAAAATGTTTTGAGCATCTGCCTGACGTTGGTTGCTAAGCAACGCTTTGTTATTAAACATTCCACATTGAATTTGGCTGGAGTATAGACTACTTTTACTACAACGTCCTACTTTTATTTTAGTATCACCAAAGGCCGTGTGACGATAAGTATACCGAATCGGCCCCAGACAGGGATCGGGCTCAAAATTTCAGGGAATGTTTGTACTCATAAGATACTTGGATGCTGCGAGTTTCAGGTCTTTATCTATAACCGATTCTGAGAAAATCAAAAAATACTGAAAATTAGGAAAACATAATTTTCTCAAAGTGTAATTATTCGATTGATCGAAATACCAGAAATTATTTTGGGGCTCGATGGTAGTTAACCGAAGAAAAAATATGAGATATAAAGGCTCATAAGAACTTAAAAAAAACGAGTTTATATTTTTAATTTTCATTTCTAACCATCTTACGGTAAAGACACAGTTTTGAAAATATTTTTTTTGAATTCTCCATTCAATTTCCTATGAACCTATGACCTTTCAGAGTTTTTAAAAACGGTACTACATATTGAAAAAAAATAAAAACCATTTTTTGCTCAAAAATCGAAAACCGAAGTACTGAGGTAATAAATACATCTTTCTCAAATGATTGGATCACTTGATCACAATATTTTGAAACCAAGATCTCATTTTCCAATTGTAATGTCGCTGATATCAACCTGTTAGACTCACCAGTACGTAATTTAAATAAAAATACAATTAGAGCTTGAATGACTGAACGGGAATCTGTATTTCTCATAGTTGTCAATAAATCTCGCATTTCAAGAATGTTTTCACGTTGTAATTTTCAAGTTATTTTTATGTTGTGTATGTTCTGTTTCAAATCAACATCTAGTCGTTGTTCCTCAAGATGCCCGTGTACCTACAATGCTTTGTGAAAAAAAGAATTTTCATTCCAAATGGGAATCGATGCTGCAGTGATCATCTCATAAAAAGCGCGGAATTATATTTATTATACGGAAAATTTAAACGACTTGAAAATTTATTCTAATTGGAGTACTTTAAGATCTTCAGAATTGTCTAAAATAATAGAAAGTTTGGCTGTGGAATGTGATTCGACACTTCTCGATAAAATGGATGATTTTCGAATAACTGATGAACAACTTTATATATTTACTGGATTACAGAAGCGGTTATAGATAAAGACCTGAAACTCGCAGCATCGAAGTATCTTATGAGTACAAACATTCCGTGAAATTTTGAGCCCGATCCCTGTCTGGGGCCGATTCGTTATACTTATCGTCACACGGCCTTTAGTGTATTTTTTTGTTATTCAAAATTATTTAAGTATATAGTGTTTCAAGATTAGTCATTTCTCAGGTCGGCCGAGGAGGGTGAAGACAAGGGCGCCCACACGACCCGTGACGGATCAGTCGCAGGATATAGACGAAGGTTAATATTCATATAGAATGAAATTAAACCCTAAAGTCGATTATAATATTTAACAATATATACATATTATCGTACCTAAAGATTCCTTAAATCCAGTCATCTGATATTTATATCGTATAAAAATAGTACATTTTAAATTTTTACTTATAAACCAGTCTACTATTTCTGTGTCTTACATTTATATTCAACTAGTTTTTGATCGCGATTTCGTCCGAGTTAGTTACAGGATTAGAAAAGTATAGCTGACTGGGCGAACTTTATTCTTCCTTAAAAACAGTAGATAAGATTTTGGATTTGATCAACTAATTTTTTTCATCAACCGGTTGAAAAGTATCTTGTCCTTTTCATAGTTCTATGTTGTCTTTTATATAAACATATACATATTATTTTCAAATAATTGAGCGTTCAAGTATTACGTGACGCAATTTTCGAACATTATGAACCCCCCTTCCCTCGTTATACCGCACAGTAACGTTTTTGTACCCCCACCCCTTCTCTAATTTATATATATTTAGATATATTCAGCTCAATATCGCTTATATACTAATGATAATTATATGTCAGGTTTGGAGGAGTTCTGGCGCACGTGTCGCACCCCGCCGGGTAGTGAGGAGGCGTCTCTATCAGCTCGCACGCCGCTCACCTCCCGCTCGCTACACTCACTGTCCTCGCTAGCGTCCGCATCACCCGCCTCACCAGCATCACCCTCGCCGCTTAGACACTCACCCACACTACGACGGGACGACACAATGTTAGTAAATAATTAATTAATCCTACTAATATTATAATTGCGAAAGTTTGTGAGTGTGTGTGTGTATGTTTGTTACTTCTTCACGCTCAAACGGCTGAACCGATTTCGATAAAATGTTGTATACAAGAAGCTGACGTCCAGGAATAACATATAGGCTACTTTACATCCCGGAAATCCGCGGGTAACACCGCGGGGCGCAGCTATGAAAAAATAAAATAAAAATTAAATTAGTAATTACTAATTGTGAAAAAATTAACTTAAATGTCATTCATTTAGAAAATATGTCAGTTTAAACTTTTTTTCTGAATCTGCTTCCAATGTAGATACGCGGAATTATCCAATGCTAGTTACGTGGATTTGCACTGTCCTCGACGATATGTATTTGTAACGTATACTCGTTTTGTCGATAAAACGATTTTTCGTAGGAAGAATATCTTTTGTTTTAAAGAAATGGTCGCAAAATAAAAATAGCATTGGTTGTACGATATTAATGACCAGAATCGTAATAAATTTTGCACAGAACAAATACTATTTTAGTTAAATAGTTATATGATTACTTATAGCTTTAAACAAAACCAACAAACACTTTTTTTGAATTTGGGTCGATAACCCGTATCCTACCTATTATAGTAACTGTCTCATAATAATCCTAATATTTATAATTCCTACAGTATGTTTTTCAGAGTTAATTTTGGTAGAAATACTATGTAATTAATGACATACCTTTATATCTCCTATAGGTACAGTGTGACGTCCGGTGAAAGTACTCCAGTACTTTTGGAATGTGGTGAGTGTTTTCATAATACAATTAACTTTAGAAATACGCCTTGGCAATTGACATATCTTTACATACATATGTATATGATGTCGCGTCGATTTTGGATAAATTTAATAAAAACTTAATAAGGAATTCAGTTGATTTGTTTCATAAAAATTATGAACGGCCAGTGCTGAATAGGGTAGTGATTGTCACTGAGAGTTAGGACGGCCATTATGCTACGGACAACCGTTAAACAAAGTGCGCAAACCTAATCTATTGACTTAATCTATTTTCATCTTATCATTTGAATGTGATTTTAAATAAAGCTGTAATGAAATCAAGTAATTAGATATTGAACAGTACAAGTGTGCTTTTATTTATGAGTTCCAATCGTTACAACGGCCATGATAGATATGTAAAGCCAAATCCGCCATGAGGCATCCTCCTGACGCTATTATATATATATAAATATTTATATATATGTATATATTTGCAGAGGTATCTCGCTGCAAGTCTTCCGACAACGTGGGCAGTAAGTTACCCACCACGCCGCCGCCGTCTCGCTCATCAGACAACGTTAACACTATGGGTGAGTGGACACACACTGACACAAGACAATGGTTGTGTGCACTCAACACGCAGTTATACAGTGTGGAGCCTTGACATGCACATAAGCTTGGGCCTCTATATCAAACTATTAAGAATATATAGCGTTTTAAACACACTACACTCTGTATAAGTTTTTTGTCTTACACTAACTAATACATTCAGCACTACGAACAGCTAAATAATAAATTAAGCTTCCAGTAGATGATAGGAATATTGTCTATAACGATGACCAGTGATTCAGGATTGTTTGTTTTCTATAGTAACAGAGATCTTGACTTTGTATTAATATAATCGAACTGTAATAACACGAAGATATGAATGCTTCGCTACTGTGTTTGTGATGAAACGAGTTCATACATCCAATATAATGAAAATAATGATTTACATATTATTCATATTAATATTATTGTATAGTTATAATAATACATGTAGTATTATGTATGTGTAAACTCGTTCTACCCAACAGCCACATGCCACGCGTGTGTGTGTGTCTGTGCGGTATATGTATGTGTGCGTGGTGTCCGTGTGCTCGTAGGCGTATGTACTCGTTCGGGAGGCAAGGCCCGGCCGTGGTCAGTGGCGGGGGTCAACGCGGACAACGCGCTCTGCACCACAGGTATTGCACGATTTACAATTACATACGAAGCCAAAGATTCAAGATAAAATGTGTAAACAGCTCTTTAGATTCTCTATTTGTATTATATAATGATAAGTAATCAATTAAAGTTATTTTTTCGTTGTTTATACTAATATTTTAATTGTTTGAATAAACTTATCAATTAAGTTATCGGTGTTGGTGTTTCGAGTGAATAACAAAAAATGTTGGAATGGGAATATATGTTTTTGTGACGTGGAAGCAAAAATTACTTTGAGTTTTATTGAAGTAATTTTTGTAATGATATTGATGGTTGGTCTGTGTGGCAAAATTAATGTTGGTGGCGGTCTCCAGAGGGCGTGGAGGCGTGCGTGGGCGGCAGCATCGTGGGCATCACACCCGGCGCCGCATTAACCAGTAACACACACGCTATACTATACTGAGATGTGCTTAGGTACGCTTCACGCTTATAGCTTGACTATACAATACGATATATTAAAATATTTCGACTTACAGTTATAATTTAAAGTAATAATTATTCTTATTAAAAAAAAAAGTTACAATCAAATTTGTAATATGAAAAATCTAATTTAATGTATGAAACAACGAATTTATATTAAATGAATCGTCATATTAATAACTCGATATTTTCTCTGCTTTTAAATGATGTTGGACAGTTATGTAAGTAAGCTTACAAGCGTTGCGTATTATATGTTATAAACGCAGCTAATAATTCTTATATGTTAGATAGAACTATAGTATATAACACTTGGTACACGTGCACGATATATGTACATACATATATAGTAAATAACATTACATGCATGCCTTCTAGTGAATAACTATTGCTTTGGACCAGAGTTTTGTGAATAAACTTACTTGTAACAACACTATGTTTTTCCATTGTGAGCTACATTTTCTAAATATTATTAGATTTATTTTTTCATATATCTCTGGTTAAACGCGTCATCATTTATAATCTTTATAGCAGATAAAATTATACATTTAATTCTCAAAGCATGTCATTTCATTTTATTTTCACTCTAGTGGCACAGATAATAAGATATATAAACTAATATAGTTTTGTAAACTTAACAGGTTCAATGATGCGGGACCATCCATTGACTCCCGGTAAGATATTTCTCTACATAAAATATTGTAGCTTAAATTATATTTTCACCTTGCCTTTTTTTGTTATAAATGTCAATACCTTTGTTTCAATTTCTATATAATTAATTTATATCTTTTCAGAAGACACAGAAGCCTAAAAATGGCGATTGTGATGAAGCTAACGTGATAAGCTGAGCAGGGTTAACAGAATCTGACTTTGTCTATGCTCACTGATGTGCCAGTTACTCTTAACCATAGACTAGATACTCCACAGTCATGTCATTCATAGATAATTTTATTTCGCAGTTTATGTTTTATAGTATTAACATTAATTTAACTATCAATAATTCCAAGTAGGTAACTGGTATATAAGTATATTGCCAATAATCATTTCGTATTTACTGTGATGAGTTTAGTATTATTTAGTTCTTGTATATTATATAGTAATATATTTAATGGAACTTATATTTTTGCCAATAATTTTTTTATTTGTAACCAATACATTTACAAATTTCGAAAATAGCGATCCAATTAACGATATTTCGTTTGTCGAATTTAATTAATCATTATGAAGGCTTTATTATTAAGTTACATTTTTTTATTATTAATGACAGGAGTATTTCAAAAATGTGCTTTACACAATAAACTGGAATTTGTCACTGCCTCTCCGTTTGTACGTCATACATAAGTCTAGTATAAACCATCGCACGATTTTCTTTCTGGGAATGTCACGACTAAACAAATATATGAAACCTTGGTGTATCGTCATAGAAATTAAATCGTGCATCATTCATTAACTGTAATGATCGATTAATACCGTCATGTTATAACGAATGTATTAATTTCAAATCAATATATAATGCACTCGACCATTCTTAGACTACACTGAAGTCATTAGATTTAGCGTTACTGTTTTGAAGATATATTACCTACATAACATGTATTCAGACGCAATGTTTCCTTGAAGGGGAATTACCTAATAGTGGTGTCACAAACGTGTGCCATATAAAATGTGTTGGTTTTGCTTAGGTATTAATTTTATAATTGGTCTTTCCTAGTCATATATTAAAAAAGGCCTAAAAAAACGCACAATTTTTTCTCCAAGTTACTTCTTAGAATAACAAGTTTTGTCCCGATATCTTCCAATTTTAAACATTCCTTTTTTATTCTGATATAAAATTAATTAAAGTTGGTGACGAGTTCTTGAATAACGAAATATGAGATGTAAGTTTTGTAATTTGAAATGTTCAATTTAATATAACTAAGTGTAGAGATTCGCCCCGTAATGTTTAAGTGTTCATTAGAATAATTTATAATTATAAAAATCTATTAATGATATTTCATTTATCTTTTCAACATAAGGCTGTATTTTATTATATTTTCGAGTAATGAACTACGAGTCGATGTAGATGTATAGACTATTTCTAAATTACTTGATAGTATTTTTATATTCATTCCATAATAAATTTGTTTTCGTCTAGCTCTTTAGTACCAGACTGATTTTAGGTACGTTTATTTTATGGTGCAATTTATGTCTAGAGCGTTGTGATAATCTGTTTTTAATTACATTATATTATACAACATATTTGTCTTTTTTTTTGTTTCAACCTATTAATTAACCCTATTAAGTAAACAATCCCTGTGAAAAAATAAAACAAATGATTGGACACATTCTTATATATTTTAAGTATAGAATAATATTTACAGTGTTGTCATTCCGTTCCGGGTGAAGAATCACAAAATTGTGTCCGAGCTTAAGTTTAACATCAATACAGGAGATGACAAAAAATATATTTAAAGACTTAAACAATTCGGCTTTTCATTTCAGTTTATTTTGTTTAACTGTTATTTGAAAAAAAATATATGACACATTATAATACAATTTGAAATTTTTTCTCACTGCATCCCTATTTAATCTCAAAAGCTGTTAGCAAACTTAAGCTCCCAACATAACATCATTCTTTTTACATACATACAATCATAATTGTTTAGACTCAGTCCATTGTGTCAAAATCAAAAATTAAATTAGACCAGGATATTCTGATTTTCATCCAGTTTAAACATAAATTACAATTGTTTCATATTGTAACTTCACTAATATACAAATTAAAAATTGAGAGAGACGAAATAAATTTAGGCATAAAAAATATATACAAGATAATCAATGAACAAATATTTAATACTATCTGTATATCTTTTATGCATAAATGTATTGTTTAGGATTTTAGATTACACTTACAAAGACCCTTAAAGGGCGAGGAACAAAAATACTACACTGCTATGAATTATTCAGGAATCATAATAATTAGTTAGCTATGAGATACATACTACATATAAAAATAAAAACTAACTATATTTACGTCTCCATATGGTATATTCGTTAAGTCTTAGATAATTAAAAGACAAAACATGTATTGCTGCTTTCACTTACAGGTAGTTCAATGATAAAATTAACATTATTCATTAAGTTTGTCATATAATGAAATAAAGCTACTATACAAATTCAAAGCACATGTTTTTGAGGTGACCTGAGCTTGGAATCCATAAACAGCTTTAATCAAAAAAATACTGTTAATACATAATAATAATTTTATACAAATATAACGGTTATTCAATGTGTTCCTCATGTCACCTGAATCCATACATTGATATGGTCATAGTGTATCGTCACCTCTCAACCTGCCTCGCTTAATATTAATACATGTTCCATTTTTAAAAATACGAAAAAGTTCAGAAGACTTACAAGCTAATAGTAAAATTATTCATGTATAAAAATAGTTTATTAAGATAAACGATATTATATTAAGATCTTAAAACCGTTACATATAATTTTACAATTAAAATATTTAAAAGATTGAAATCTATGATCCTGAAATTATGGCTATTAAGTATTAATTTTACATATATTGATAAAATAAATTTTGTAAAAAAAGTTGTGTGTAAATAAATGCGGTTCGTATTTCTACGAGATAGTATTTTCAATTTGTTGTAATGTGAGCGCGGAGTGAGATCACACCTTACTGATTAATACTAAACACCTTAACTAGAATAACTTACGATAAGTATCTAACAATGCTATGGATATTTTGTATTAGTAAATAAAACTTGGAATTTTACAAAAAAGTGCGTTATCCTTGGGATTTGAATGTGAAAGGATTTTAATATGTATGGTGTCCATAGAGCGAACAACTCAAGAAATGTGATATATAAACTATATGGGATAATCACATTGCAAGCAACAGTAACTCATGAAGATAATTTCTTTATGTGGGACCACAAAAATTTCCTTTATGTTATTTCATAAGTTTGTATGTTAGAGTTCCAAACAAAATTAACTAATGACAAAGATGTCTGTGTTGAATGCGAACTATTTACAAGAATCTTATGACTACAATTTATTTAACATTTAATTTAACGTTTACCTCTTAGACGAGAGGGTCTCGTATTCAGCTTCACTCTTAAATAACCACTTATATTGTATCCAAAGTTATTTCACATTGACGACGTGCTCCAAGATTTTAAGTCAACCTCGAGGTCGTGTCTCAGCGCGTGGATCAGGCGTTCGGCGGTAGTTCTTTCTTTGGTTCCTCCATATTACTCAAGTTTTTCACTTCGTCCTTTGAATCCTCGGCTGAAAAAAATTATAATAAATTGAATAAAAATAAAAAAGATAATATAATAAATTGAATAGAAATAAAAAAAGATAATATAATTTATTATAGAAATACAATTCATGATTTAACATCCTGTATTACAAGAAAACAGACTTCGAATATATGCATTAAGCATTTTTGGTTTAAGATATAAAACAGTACAATCATAATTCTCAGTAAACTAATTCTGCCTTTTCATTAGAAAATAGATTTAAAGGCATTTATATTCTGTTAGTTCTTTTTGATGTCCACGCAATATACTTTAGTACATATACAGGGTGACTGGTGAATTACTATCCATACTTGAGGACGTGATATTTGACGATCATATATGACAAAATAAAAATTAATATAACGTAAATATTAATAAACTTCTAAGTAAAGTTAACCAAAAGTTATGTAATTAATTACGCATCGTGTGAACACCCTACAGATTAGGTATACACACACACACGCGTGCGGCGGCGTGGTGTTGTATCAGCACGCCGCCGCGACTATACTATTAGAAAGTACTGTGATATGGAGCCTCTTTAAGAGTTACTACGTATTACATGGTGGCGCTGGCAAGCGACAAAAAAGAAATTGAATTCAAATAAAAACAAATTAAAAAGAATTAAAGAGAATGACGTTCAGTTTGGAGTGAATACGGCTTGCCATCGCATTAGATAGCATGGATCGGATATAATATAAAAGAATGTTAATGATTTAAAATTAAAAAAATCATAATAAATTGTAAAGCAGTTTCAATTATACATATGAAACGATCCCGAAGGCAACGCGAGGCGATACAGTACAGTACATGTGACTCAAAAATCACATTGGTACTTGCCGGATATCGAACCCGTGCCCTTACGCACGAGGCGGGCCTTTAACTTGTCTACTACGAGTCACGACCCTATTAATATATTGAATGTATGTCACCTTTCCCGTCGTCCTTAGCCGCGTCCTTGTCGAGGCGCGGTCGTTTTCTCGGCGCGCGGTACGACCGGTTGTCTCTCCGGCCATCTCCTTCCCGACCCTCGTCCTCGGAGTCGGACAGCTCGCCATCGTTAGTGATGCGCTTGTCCTGATACATAGAAATATAAATAAATATTGGAGAAATTAACCTTGGAGTAAGCTAATATGATATACTGAATGTATAGATAGATGTGATGATGATATTATAACTTAATATAAGTGATAGAAAAATAATACAAAACATATTAGTATAATTCCATCATTAAGGCAATATTGAGCTAAAATCAGAATTATAGTTGCTTTAACTTATTTTCATATACAATTTTAAGAAAACCTATAATGATTCAAAAGTTTTAAATTAAAATCAGGTGTATAATAGACATATTCATATATTCCAATTCCATGATTAGTTTATATGAGTCGAGGAAACAAAATCAAACATACCTTTTCACTCTGTGGTAGTCGTTCGTCTTTGTCTACTTTATCTTCGTCTTCTGATTCATCATTCACCGCGTCTTCTGGTATGGCTTGAACCTATTGGATACAAACATTTGTATATTCATATACACATTTTATTATAAAAAAAAAACTAGATATAAATAATTAAAAAAAATTATCACATGTTTGATAAGTACTTTCTAAAGCGCATATTGTAATTTTAAGACATTTTTGAGTAAATTCATGCATAAGTGTGAATTCGACTCACTTGAACCCCGGGTGCGTGAGGCAGCATGCGAAGATTCTCGAATAGTCTATTCTTAATCTTCTCCAAATATTCCAGTGTGTTTTGATTAGACATGTTACTAGGAGAGATGTGTAACTTGAAGTCCGGACCAAAGTATTCAAAATAGTCATTGTAGGGCAGCTCATTAGCTATCTCCACGCCGAGTGCCACTGATGTTTCGTACGTCCAACATCGGGATACGTTACGTATTGTGTACCTGTAGAGTAGATCATGTGAAATTAATAAAATATACTAATCACTACTAATATTATAAATGCGAAAGTAGCTGTCTTTCTGTCTGTTACGCTTTCACGCCTAAACCACAGAACTAATTTTAATGAAATTTGGTACAGAGATAGAGTTGACCTTGAGAAAGAACATAGGATAGTTTTTATCCCAGACTTTTGAAAGGTTCTCTTGGAAACGCGATATAACCGAACTCCACGCGAGTGAGGCTGCGGGCGGAAAGCTAGTCTCAAATAAAAGTGATAAATAAAATGATAACTCACCCTCCGCCTCCAACCAGAAGGAATGGTAAACCAAATCTCTTAACAAGTTCGACACAACGTCCGTGACCGCGCACTGTTAGATTGAAGCAGCCGAGTCGATCGCCTGAGAAGAAAAATTGTATTGTAAAAAAAAACTTACAACATTTTAAAGAATACATTTGTTTAACTATATATATAATTTTGTTTACCTGTTAATGAATCCGCACCACACTGTAGGACAACAGCGCTAGGTTGAAATGTCTCCATAACTTTAGATATGATAGGTACAAAGATGGACTCATAGGATTCATCATCCATACCATCTCTCAGAGGAATGTTTACAGCGTAGTACTTTCCTTTACCAGCACCTATATCTCTAAGGTCACCTGTAAAAAGAATAAAATGTACTGAGGATAGGTACAAATCAACACATATAAATTATCATTTATAAAATATCAAATTATATGTAGTTTAGTCTGTGTGGAGCTGACAGAAGCTATTTATTTATTAAAGAAACTAAAATGATACACTTGAAAAGTTGATTTAAATAAAATTACATGAAAACTTAATTGTTATTAACTCATTCATCATATTTAAAAATAAATATGATGGAAGGAGGAATCTTTTTTTATTTACATACATGTACATATACATAAATGCAATTTGTTTTAATTTAGAATACTTTGTTTTGAGTTAACTTACCTGTGCCAGGGAAGTATTCCCCATACTTGTGGAAGGAGACTGTCATAACTCTATCTGTAGTGTAAAAAGCCTCTTCGACCCCATCCCCATGATGAACATCAATGTCAATATAAAGCACTCTTTGGTGATACTTCAGTAACTCAAGGATTCCCAGAACAATATCATTTACATAACAAAATCCTGACGCTTCAGATTTCTTAGCATGATGAAGTCCACCTCCCCAGTTGATGCAAATCTCCGATGCCTAAAATTAATATTCAATATTAAAATAATAAGTATAATTACAAAACAGCTTTAAAGAAAAATAATTTTGAATTCCAGATATTCTTATGAAATAAAAATGAAAGCAGTAAAATTATCCTTAAAAAAGAAATATGAAAGAGCATTTTACCTGTCATTATATAGGGGCAACACAATGTATTAAAATTTATTACCCAACAATAAAACAAAGCTAATAAAAATTATAGTTTTTCTTAATAGTTATATGTGCCTAGACAGACAAAGTCTAAAAATAACCCTGAATTTAAAATTTTCATTGTTATTCTGTTATTAATTTTTATTTATTCTGTTATTTTATTTTCTTAATTCCACTAAAAGCCTATACTACTCATAAAGAAAAAAAGAAAACATTCTTATTATTTGTGATCAACAATTTTTTTTTAAATTTATATATAACTATCTGTTGAAATAAATATAGTGGTTTGGATTCATGACATAAATTGTATAAATTTAATTTTATATTTTTAATGTTGTATTTTCTATCTATCCAATACATGTAACAGTAAATGGCAAAGGTTTTTCATGGGCTTTCATTAATTTATTTCACATATATAAAATTTACAAAATTGTTAAAGTAAAATAAACTGCTAGCATACAATAATCAATAAACTGACATCATGTACTTAATACTTATATAACAACAGTTCTAACAAAATATTCATTACAATAAAGTTTTTAGAGCCTACAAGATATATGATATAATTTTTTTGTAATCTGATAAGTTTATAATGCATTATATCATCCAAACAATATATTAATTTAAGGATAGCAATATTTTTGTCTGCATTTAGATTTTACATAGACAATGAATGACCATGGTTATACAGACTCTACTGAATATTTAATTTAAATTTGAAGTCATAATTTACCATTTACGATTGGCAAGTAAAGAGATGTCATAGCTGTGGAATTTCACTTTCATACCATATTGTTGTTTATAAGTGCCAATAATGTATATAAAAATTGCAATTTACGTATTATATTGTAATAAATATTCCTAAAAAAATGTTGTCTAATAATATAGAAAATCTATTTTAGTTTACACTATTATGTGAAAATCTTTGAACTTTGTTATTTCAAACAAAGTAACATTTGTATAGTTTTCATTTCTATAATTAAACTCTTAACATATCCCATTCATATATTGCACAGAAAAACAACAATCATATAAAAAAAATATCAAAAATGTGTAACCTGTTTGTTTAATTTGACGGCAGCAGCTACTGAACCTCCCGCTGATAGTTGGCAGAACTCATAAAGGCCATCAAAAACGGGACAGTCTTCACCCACATTGACTGTATGGAATTAAACACAATTGTAATTTCTAGTAATTATACTATGAATAGATATACTACTTAATGAATATATTGAAAACTGTTTGAGATCAGCACATGTCTACTTCTATATATATATACCATCATAATTTTCATTTTCTCAATCTCTTATACTCTATTTGACTGTTTGTACCATCAAAGCTGACAATAATTACTTTATTCACAATTGTGTATACCAATCTAATGCTACTTTTTCAGCTTTTCAATGCTACGATCAAAATAAATTTATCATATCATGTTTGATCTAGTCATTTTCATCCTTTTAGCGTAAGACTCACTTCCATGAAATCTTATAGAAGCCTTATGTATAATATGCCTCAGTTATATCATAGTAATGTGGTATTTAAAAGGCAATACTAAACATTATTTTATTAATAATGAGTTGTGCATGATACTAATAATGTAAAAAGAAAATATTAATGAACACTAACATCTTTGCATCTGTTTGTTATATTCTGACATATTATCCGGTCTGATGGATCTTAAGAAGCGGATGTAGTCGTCTGAGTGGAACTTGGTCATCTCGTCAGCAGTCGCTTTGTGTGGTCTCTGTAATATTTCTCAGTTATTATTTACTATACGTAATTTTCATGAAATAAAACTATCGCAAAATAAATTAATTAGACTATTTTTATAATTTCCAAGTACTTATTTCTATAAATTTAATAAAAATTGTGATATAAAATGCTTACATAGATTTCCATTTTCCTGTAAAGTCCATAATTTAACAATAAATTATGAGTCATACGTATACGATGAGGCTTCATGGGATGTCCCTGTCCATAGTAGTAATTACCGATATCACCTAAACAAAATAAATAAACATTTTAATATAATTAATTAAGCGCATATCCAATTTCAAAATTTTATCGTACTGTTACTCAGTTCATTTCTACGCTTGACATTTTCGAACCTGTACTATACACAGTAAGAAAAGTACAAAATCGTTCGGACCAATAGCGTTACAGGATTGACTACAGGCGCCATTGGGTGACTTGATACACAGCGTTATAAAATTGTTAAGATGGGTACCGCTAGATATCATAATTTAAAGTAATGTAAAAATAGATTAAAAACCTTACAGAAATGAAAAGAAAGCTTAATTAAATAGTATTTTTGTTAAAACATTAAAATTTTAAGACAAATCGATTGATTGGCGGGTAACAAAGTTTGATATACTTACTATCGTAGTAATAGCACACTCTTTTCTTGCTATGGGGTTGCATAGCCATTTTTCTAGTTTCTAAGTAGCGAGTTTCTTATATGTATTCACAAAGTTCAACTTTTTTTGATAATAATGATGATAGTTAATAAATTAAACAAGAAGCTACAAGACACCGTTTACTTTCCTCAATTCGGAATTGAATCAACTTCACTCTAAACACAAGGTTGACGAACTTCAATTCATAAGTATTCGTTTCATTCATTCCAGTCTCATTCGTAACCAAAAATGCAAACTTTATTTTGTCTGTATCATTATGAATGGTAAATGTATTAATGTTGAAAACTACAAATATAGGAATTTCACACATTTAAAAAATTGTGATAAATACTGTGTTTTATATAAACTTTTTTTAATTCCTTTAATCATACAGTTTTTAATTCTTTTTAATTCTTTTAATACATAAATATGTAGTGTAATTATGGAATAATATTTATTTTAACGATTTCTTATAACTTATGGTTTTAAAAAAAGTTTTACGACAATTATACATAATATATAATTTATATGCTTCAACCTTAAAATATTATTAAAGATCTTGTAATTACATATGTGAATTAATTTCATATTTTCTTCAGAAAATAAGAGTAATATTATATTTTGTGTCGTGGAAAATACATAGCTTACGAAATACATATATATACTATACTCTAATTTTATCAATTCATACATTTGATAAATAATTTTCAATTTAAAAAATGGCAATACATGTTAAACATTCATTCAATAAAAGGCTCATTAATTCTGAAGCCGCCATTTTAATCTCTCTTGCAAAGGCAGTGGTCAAGGTGAGACGTGTGTTGAATTTAACTTATGGTGATAAGTAAGAGCAACTTATAATTTTAATACTAAACCATTTTTATAGTGTTAATTATATTTTCACTGTTTAGTATATGAAATTATTTGTTTTTTTAATTACTACTAGAAATACGTAATCCGTGAACTTGGCTCAATAGTTACCGTGTTTCCAGATCGGCCCTGCTTCAATAGAAAAAATATCCATTAGTATCTACAACATCTTTACAACAAATTAAACATCAAAAATGTAAGTATTCCCCAATATTGTTATATTTTCTGTTACAGCTTTTATTTTTTTTCGATACTTGTACTTTTCTATTTCTTAGTATTGATTTTTTTCACCCGACTCGCTTCGTTTCTCATGAAACATATTTCGAATTAATTTGATTGAGTGAGAATATATATTGAAATTATACATCATGAGAATTAATTAATTATGTGTGATTTAAACTCTAAAATCTAAAAAAATCCTTTTAAAGTTATCTTTGAACTCAACACGCATGACTGTTAGTTATGGCGTCATAGCCATTAATCGATTTATACACGTAGCGGTTTTGGTCTTATCGCAATAATGTATAAATGTTAATTATTTCTGACATTCTTCTGAGTTATGTTTGTTTCTTCAATTTTTATGCAAATATTTGATTACAATAAAATTTTTTAGGTCAAACAACCATTGGAACAATAGCCGTGGTGAAAACGGTGGTTCCAAATTCGGAGGAGGGGGCAAGTTCGGAGGTAATGGAACATCACGATTTAATCATGGAGGATCTAAATTTGGCGGTGGTGGCGGAAAGTTTGGCGGCGGAGGAAAGAAAGAGTTTTCCGGAGGACAGAGTATGAGACGACCGAACTGGGACACTATGTCCTTACAACCGTTCAACAAAGATTTCTACAACCCGCCACCATCAGTCCTAAACAGATCGCCATATGAGGTCGAGGAGTACAGGAACAAGCATGAGGTCTCAGTCAGCGGAGCCGATGTTCCTAACCCGATACAGCATTTTGAAGAAGGAAACTTCCCAGACTATGTTATGAAAAGCATTTCAAGCATGGGTTACAATGAGCCCACGCCTATTCAAGCTCAAGGGTGGCCGATTGCCATGTCCGGAAAGAATTTAGTTGGTATTGCTCAGACTGGATCTGGTAAAACATTGGCATACATTCTGCCTGCTATTGTTCATATCAACAACCAACAGCCCGTAAGAAGGGGTGACGGCCCAGTCGCACTTGTATTAGCGCCAACTAGGGAATTGGCTCAACAGATACAACAGGTTGCCACAGATTTTGGTAATGCCGCATACGTGCGTAACACGTGCGTCTTCGGTGGAGCACCTAAGAGGGAACAGGCCCGTGATTTGGAGAGAGGGGTTGAAATTGTGATTGCCACCCCTGGAAGGTTAATTGATTTCTTAGAAAAGGGGACAACAAATCTTCAAAGATGTACTTATTTAGTGCTCGATGAAGCTGACCGCATGTTGGATATGGGTTTCGAGCCTCAAATACGAAAGATCATAGAACAGATTCGCCCTGACAGACAGACTCTCATGTGGTCGGCCACATGGCCTAAAGAGGTTAGAAAACTAGCTGAAGACTATCTTGGTGACTATGTCCAAATTAACATTGGATCTATGCAGTTGTCTGCTAACCACAACATTCTACAAATTGTTGATGTGTGTCAAGAACATGAGAAAGAAAATAAGTACGTAATTTATAATTTTCGTAAATATTTAGCTTCCTACATGATTTTATTTCATAAAGCATTTAAGTGATGAAAGGATTTATGAATGAATTGGTGTTGATTAAATTATAAAATCTTTTTTCCTCTAAGAAGATCTGATTTCATGTATAATTATTAAAATCAAATTAAGTGATGAAAAGTTTTTAATAAAGAAATATTTTTTAGGTTAAACACTTTACTACAAGAAATAGGTCAAAGTCAAGATCCAGGATCAAAGACAATTATATTTGTCGAGACTAAGAGAAAAGTTGAAAATATCACTAGAAATATAAGACGTTATGGCTGGCCAGCGGTTTGCATGCACGGTGACAAGACACAGCAGGAAAGAGATGATGTGTTATATCAATTTAAACAAGGAAGAGCCAACATACTTGTTGCAACAGATGTTGCTGCTAGAGGACTTGGTAAGTTCTTACACTACAGCTGTTATAAAGTTTCTTAGACATTTGAAATATTTCAAGGATAATGGAAAGGTCTATAAATTTGCATCACAGTATAAATATATAATTGTATTATGTTTTATACTTTCAGAGGCACTGGCGGAAAGTTATTGTGTTCTGTCTGAGTACTATACCAAAATATTGAACAAGTTACTGCACAGGATTTGTAGATAGATAGGACATTTGTCTTATGCAGTGGTAATTTTTTGGAGAATGCAATAACTCGTCATTTATATGGTGCCTCATGTGCCTTTCACTGCAATTGGACCCGAGGCCGGAAAGCTGGAAAGTATGTCCGTAGTTTCGGATACACTTGAAAGTTAAGGAAAACCTGGTGATGCACTACAAATAATATTGAATGATTAAATTAAGAAAAAGAATTATGGAGTGCATTGTTGAAAAACTTGACCGCAAGTTGATAGATCGGCATGGTCAAGGGTTTTCTGTTTCGGCCACATTGGAGTTTTCAAGAGGGCAAGAGAATTCAAAACCAAACTTAAACAATAAAAAGCCCTTTACAAGACTCCTGGGTTCAAGAGTGAGAGGCAATGTTTATTTCAGTTCATTATATATGTAACTCATTCATGTAAGTAATACTGCTATGAGTTACTTTACTTTTAGGGACCTTTCACAATCTAATATCAGTTTACAAGCAATAATAAATGGTATAATGGATTTTGCATCTATTTTACAAATTCCTTTTTACCTTGATCTTATTATTGGCTACTCACAACCGATAACTGTAACTATTTCCTAACATAAAATTTGCTTTTAGACGTTGATGGTATCAAATATGTAATAAACTTTGATTACCCAAATTCATCTGAGGACTACATTCACCGAATCGGAAGAACGGGGAGATCTAAATCAAAAGGCACATCATACGCCTTCTTCACACCTTCAAATTCCCGTCAAGCTAAAGACCTTGTATCAGTGCTTCAGGAAGCCAACCAGGTTAGTGTGAACATAGATTGCCTTTCCTCATACCTTTGGCATGGGTACGTTCTTCATAGCGTGACATGAATGCAAGTATGAGGTACATTAATGACAGCTACATGCCTTCGGTGTCCACATATATCTTGTCTGGATCCCATCCTCAGATGCTGTAACATAACCATTATAACTTTCACTTATTTATTATACAGGCACATTGTCATTATTCTATTATATTTTGAAGATGATTAAATAGATCACATTTTAATTTGAATATGTATTTTGTTTAAAGGTTGTTAGTCCTCAATTGCAAACGATGGCCGACCGTTGTGGAGGCGGCGGTGGCGGTGGATGGAATAGAAATAGGTTTGGAGGTGGTCGAGGAGGTGGATCATTCAAGAGAGGATCAAACTTCGGCAGGGGCAGCGGGGGACAGGGCGGCGGCGGACACAAGAGATTCAATAATGAATATGATTATTAAGTATTAATGTAATAGTTTAATTAAGCTAATCCTCATAGGAATAATATCTAAGTGTGTGCATGTCCGTTGTTATCTTGAGGAAATCCAAATCAAGCTTTTATTTTCTGGATAAGGATTTTTACAATCCTAACTTTAATTTTAAATAGAATTTCTTTTGTTAAATGGTATAGTCTGAATGAACATATGTGTTAATTTAATTTTTACTGTGATATTTTGGTGAGGATGAGCTAAATGTTATTTATTTCTTAAACCGTACACCTGCCCTGCAATTTGTCTTTATTCTTTTGTAAATTATTGACCTGACCCAAGTTTGTCATTCCAAAAAGATTGAATTGGTTAATAAACCATTATTATAAATAATAACTTGTATTTATTCTTCCTATAACCCTTTCTTTTTCCTGACCTGATTTAATATTCTCACCTTTATGGAAAGGTTGTAAAAAGGATTAATTTCAAAGAATTCTGCTTAAGTATTTTCATATTTATGTAAGTTCGTAATTTTATTGAGTTTAAACGGCCTTGTGAAGTATTTTCATTGAATTCTAATAGACTTGTGAGTATGATAAATATATGGGTATTAAGAGATGCCTTTTTGATAAACTACGAGTTAAATTTCATACAATACGCAGTCTAAATATAAATATGGATGTTATGAAATTACAAAAAACACCTTAACTATTTTTATCTCAATTTCGCATTAACGGTTTGATAAAAATCCGCTGGACTGGATCATTATAAATTATTTATACCTAGTTATAGTAATATCAATAGATATTTTGACCTGTTGATGGATAAAAACTAAATATATGTTAGATAATATTAGGTTTAAGTCTCTTCACGTGATCACTTGATACAAAAGTGGAATTGAAAATTCCTAAATAATTTCGACTGCAAATTGTACTAGGTCTTGATAATTTGATTTTTAACATGTACCTAAGGTTTATGAGTTATAATAAGAGGATTAAATTTTTATTCCTAAATCTTCATACATATTTTTCTTGCATTAGCTGCAGTTTGTTTCATTTAACTATACCTATAATGCTTACTTACAACCCTAGATTACTCAACCAGATGGTTGACTAGAGAATTTTGAGCCGTAATGGTGAATACGTTCTAGATTAGACTTTGGTAATGTCTTTTGTAGGACTTCGCGAATTGCCTAAAGGTGCTTATTTTGGAAGTAATCGTTGGGACTTTATAGTTTCGATATATAATAGAATAAAGTACATAGGCATGAAGTATCTTGAAAAAATGTCTTAACGATATTCGTATTGCTTGGCAATAAAGACATCTACTGTTTCAGCTTAGTAACAGTTAGACCATAATCACCTTTTGTCTTTTTGTTACCTTGGTATGTATATTTAGCTCTTAAACTTTCATCTGGACTCAACACATCGAATAAAGATTTATTGAAGTTTATTTTTATTTATAAAAAGCTTTAAACTTGCTCCTGACAATGTTACAGGTTTCAATTATTATTAGTTTTTAAAGAAAAATAATTTACAATGTTTTATGTTTTGCATAATAAATTTTTCTTGTAAGGAATGGTATGTGTTGAATCACTATAAATGTTTATGGATGTGTAAAGAGCTTGACACAGATTTTAGATCTCGGTTCTCTGGATAGTCTAACGGTTTGAATAAGAAATACAAGTTGAATTTAAGAATGTAAAAGATCAAAATAGACAACTATTTGTGTGATTCTTCAAATATCCGTTGATATAGAACTTTAAGATTTCCCTAGTTAACAATAATATACAGGGTGACTGGTGAATTACTATCGATATTTGAGGACGTGATATTTGACGATCATATATGACTAAATAAAAATTAATATAACATAAATATTAATAAACTTCTAAGTAAAGTGAACCAAAAGTTATGTAATTAATTACGCATCGTATGAACACCCTACCGATTAGGTATACACTCACACACACACACACTCGCGCGCGGCGGCGTGTTGTTGTATCAGCACGCCGCCGCACGCGTCCACACTTGGAACACTTGGAACGTGTACACACTTTATTTATTTATACGGAAATTTGGTCAAAAATTAAGTAACTATTTTTTTTACATAATTCGAATGAGAATCATGTACCGAGTATGCTCCTTAAATATTGATAGTAATTCACCAGTCACCCTGTATAGTAACATTTTAGAAACATAATAAAATTTTAATTATAATTATATTTTTGGCGAACTAATAAGATTTCCTGTTGATTCTATAAAGGGTGACTGGTGAATTACTATCAATATTTACGGAGCATACTCGGTACATGATTCTCATTCGAATTATGTAAAAAAAATAGGTACTTAATTTTTGACCAAATTTCCGTATAAATAAATAAAGGGTGGACACGTTCCAAGTGTTCCAAGTGTGGACGCGTGCGGCGGCGTGCTGATACAACACCACGCCGCCGACGCGTGTGTGTGTGTGTGTGTGTGTGTGTATGTGTGTATACCTAATCTGTAGTGTGTTCACACGATGCGTAATTAATTACATAACTCTTTTGGTTAACTTTACTTAGAAGTTTATTAATATTTATGTTATATTAATTATTATTTTGTCATAATATATGATCGTCAAATATCACGTCCTCAAGTATCGATAGTAATTCACCAGTCACCCTGTATAAAGCTGGTAGGTTTAATCGCCGTACTTGACAACATCTGTGACTGGAGCAAAATAGCACTTCTGTTGTACTCAATAGTATTATTACATTACATACATTTCTAATCTCAATATATATAATACTAGCTTTCCGCCCGCAGCTTCGCCGCGTGGAGTTCGATTATATCGCGTTTCCAAGAGAACCTTTCAAAAGTCTGGGATAAAAACTATCCTATGTTCTTTCTCAAGGTCAACTCTATCTCTGTACCGAATTTCATTAAAATCAGTTCAGTGGTTTAGGCGTGAAAGCGTAGCAGACAGACAGACAGACAGACAGACAGAGTTACTTTCGCATTTATAATATTAGTAGGGATAATTATAAAATATATGTTTATATCTCTGATGATGAATCCGTTTACAAGTTATAGAGGGAGAAAATAAAAAGAAGTAAAACGGTATTCAAGAAAAAGTGATAATTTAATATATTTTTTATGTTTTTAGTTTAAGAAATGCTATTTCTTCTTCTTTCATTATAAGGCCAAATGAACCCAAGCAAGAAAGGAAAAGTAAACTATTTAATAAATTATCTTATTTATTTCTAAAATAATTGATACACCAAACATGGATGTATGATTTAACGCTTAGCCTACGACTGAATAGATTAAAAATAATTCAGAGCAACTTCAAACTTGACAGTTGATTCTAATTTGTATTTAGTAATTTGTAGCCAATTCTTGGTGAGGTTATAGTTACTTGAGGAAAATTATATAAATGTGTACGGTGAAAAATGGCATTAAATATCATAAAAAACCAGTTACGAAACACTGCTGTAATTAAATTGTGAGTAAATGAGATTGACATTGTAAATTTGAACTTAATAGCGATTACCATGCTCGAATAGGTTAGTAGTTGTTATTTGTTAATATACAAATGATATTTTGCACTTTCAGGTGTTGCAGAGATATTACTAATATCTGCCTTAATAAAACCCATTTTTCTTCCAAAAACTGTCGAATACTTACCTACACAACTTTTTCAAGTTACCAAAAACAACAATTTATAAGATACTTTTCGGTACCCACTGCTCAAAGTGATGCTGATTACTGCCGTGAAAATAAAATAACAATAATAGGCGATGACATTCCCAGTCCAGTAAGAGACTTGGATAGTGGAAACTTTCCAGATTATATTAAGAATTTTCTACAAAAGCAGGGCTTTACTAAGCCTACATTGATCCAATCTCAAGGATGGCCGATTGCTATTGCTGGCAAAAATTTTGTTGGTATCGCTCAAACAGGTACTGGTAAAACTCTCGCATATTTGCTGCCAGCGGTAATTCAATTGAAAGAAAATAAAGGACGAAAGGGTAAGGGTCCTAGAGCTTTAGTACTAGCTCCTACAAGAGAACTTGCAAGACAGATAGAGGAAGTTGCTAAGGATTTTGAAAGGCTTTTGAATATCCGTTGTCTATGTATATATGGAGGAGTGAGCAGGTCCAATCAAGCTCAACAGTTGCGACAGGGTGTGGATATTCTTATTGCTACTCCTGGTAGATTAAATGATTTCCTTAACAGCAGAGTGACAACTCTAAGCAGATGTACATATGTAGTGTTGGATGAAGCAGACAGAATGTTGGACATGGGCTTTGAACCTCAGATCAGGCAAGCATTGGAAGATGTACCATATGAAAGACAAATCCTGATGTTCTCGGCAACATGGCCCAAGGAAGTACAACATTTAGCTAAGGATTATCTAGGAGAGTTCGTACAGGTTAATGTGGGGTCCACAGAATTGACGGCCAACCATAATATCAAACAGTGCATATATGTTTGTGAGCAAGACCAAAAAATGGATAAGTAAGTATAATTTTGGCTAACTTTTATATGTCAGCATTATTTCGAAGGAACAACTTTTATTCTTTAACAATATAGTAATCAATAAAACAATATTACCTTTGTCATGTATGTATTGTGCTAAGTAGCAATCTGAATGACAGTAACTAATAATATAAAGTAATCTACCTTACAATTTACACTTGACATCATATAATTATTTTAACAAAACCGAGCGACCATCACTAATACATAACAAACAATTTGTTACAAAATAAATTATGATTTTATTTTCAGGTTTAAATCTATCATGCATGAAATATCCGGTGAAGGTTTTGGTAAAGTTCTGGTGTTCACAAATACAAAGAAATTTGTAGATAGCTTGACACTGGCTTTACAAAGAAATGGCTGGCCGGCGGTTGGCATACATGGTGACAAAACACAACTTCAAAGGGATATTATAATAAATAAATTTAGAAGCGGAAGAACTAACATTCTTGTTGCCACTGATGTTGCTGCAAGAGGCTTAGGTAGAGTAATATTTTTATAAATTTTCATTAGTACAAAGTATTATCAATGCTTTTGGACTTTAATAAATTCATTGATATTATTTTTTGATATTATTTTTTATATATGTAATGATTTTATATATTTTTATATAGTGTAACAACTATTTAATATTAAGAATTTTCCTTTTACAGATGTTGATGGTGTAACACATGTTATAAACTATGATTTTCCGAACACTTCTGAAGATTACATCCACAGGATTGGAAGAACTGGTAGATCAGATAATAAGGGTGTAGCTCATACTATCTTAACAAGTGAGAACGCTCGACAAGCAAGAAGTCTTATACAAGTGCTCAAAGAAGCAAAACAGGTATACAATATTTTTAATTTAATATATTATTATATTATTGTGATTTAGAAGACACAATCAATTAAAAGTTTTCTCTGTTAGAAAACAAATGACATTTAAAGTTATTACATTTAAAAACAACTATGATCTATATTACAAGTTCTCTTCTTGGCAACAGTTTCGTAATAATTTACAATGAACCACAGATAACAATACCTGGTGTATGTCTATGACATGTGAAAAAAATTATATTTTTCTTTACATACATAGTATGTTTAGATATATGGATTTTATTCTATCTTATGGATTTTATTATCTTAAGCTTGATAGATCTCAAATTACCTAATAATTACAATGATAACATCAATATAAAAGAATTGTATGACAAAAAATATATCACAAATGTATTATAATTATATTTTATTCTTTAGGAAGTTCCACATGAATTGGAGCAGCTGAGCCGTGATTATGGCAACATGAAGTTCAAGGATCAGCAGACAAAATATAAACCTAAGAACAATTATAAATTTAAGAGTTTCAATAACAGGAATTATAACAGAGACCGTTACAATTCACGGGACAAGTTTGGTGGTATCAGTGAAATGTATTAGATTAATTTACAAATGACTTTTAAATGTTGTTTTATTTATACAATAGCTATGTTACCTGCAATGTACTTTATGTAAAACTTTTAGTGTTAGATACTCAAGTTTCAATTTGATAATTTAGTTTAGGCACAATAAAAATAGATAATTGTAACCACTGTGATAGAAATATACATCTTAATAAATATTTGCATTTGTTTTTTTATTTTAGTCATGTAAGTACTATTTAATTTTTAATTATTTTTTAATTGTATGTAATATTTCATTTACAAATGTTATGTAATCACTTAGTTTCAATTTAAACTTGTTTATTTTAAGACAAATACTAAAAAAATTATAAAAGGGTGTTCCTGTAAATGGTGTTTATAAAGATATATTTCATTATAAAAAACTAAAAAGAATGATGTAGATATTGAAGTTCAAAATTAAAAAAAATATAATAATATCGTATTTTGAAGAAAGTACTAAAGATTTCGAACTTTATTATTTATATATTATCATTATGGGAGTAGACAATTTTTAAATATCAATTAATGCTCTTAAAAATATATATCTTAAGAATGCTATGAAGGTTTGGCTACTATGGCAACGCGTTGACAAGCGTCATTGATTTCATAATAATACAAATTACAAATCATGTGAAAAAATGTGTTACTAGAAACAGAATTAGTTATGGCGTTACCGGATCTGGACGTTAGAAGTGTATTAAATGTTGTGGAAGAAAATTTTCAACGAGTTGGCTTAGTAAGTTGTTTACTAAGACAATTATTTTCAAGCGTAATAGAAATGGTTTCAGTATAAGACTTTTATATTACAGAAAGCTTATGCTATTCGTATGATATACATCGGTGAGCATGCAATACCAAAAGATGAAATGATAAAACATTTTCAAGCAACAATTAACGATGTCAATTCCACTTATTGTGAAATAAACGTGAATGGCTTGCTTTTGGTTTACGACAGTTACTTTGTACATATTGTCGAGGTTGGTTTAAAATTTAATTATTACTCAATCGATAGTTTTAAAATTTTATTATTGTCATTAAGTTCCTTCTTTAACAATTTAAAATATACATATAACTTCATAACATATGGAGTATTCTGGATTGTGGACTGTTAAGAGCAAGATAAATACTATATGTATACATTTTTGTGAGAGAGACTGAACAAGTAATTCCTCTTGTAATACGAAGAATTTTTGCTTCAATCTTAATATTTATGGACAGGGATCAGAAGACACGCTTCACAGACACTTTAGATTTTTATTTGAACGTGAAGATAAATGGATAGAACAGAAGAGAAGGGAAGAAGAAGAGGCAGCCTTGGCTTTAGAGGAAGAGGAAGGTCTAACTGTTATTTTAGACGAAGAAACTGAACCAAAGCGTGAATTTAAAATGTTCAAATGCTTAAAACTATTGATAGTTTATAATTCGTTGCAAACTGTAAGAATTACGTAAATATATTTCTCGTTGTGTATTTATTACATAAATATATATAACTTATTGAATTACTATTTTTTATAAAATTCCTTTGTAGCTTACATTCGATGACTGGCGGGCTCTTACAGCACGGCCGCCAGCTCTTATCAGTAAATTGGATGTCAACGGACCCATGTCAGAACACATGGAACAATTGCGAATCTGTCTCGACAAGATCCGAAGAATAATAGCACTTGCTAAGGCAGACGATAATGTACTTTGAATAATTTGAAATAGTTACTGTTACAAAAAAATAAGAGATATTGTAAATGAAATGGCAATAATGTATGATTTCAGCTACGCTTTGAAGGTTTGAAAGCCGTTGATCCGAGGATGGAGGCGCTACCAGAGGTTGCTTTGCTTGATTATCTTTTGCATTCGCAATACATTTTGGATTTGAGACAAGTTGTTCATTTACATCGTCGTGTTGATGATTACGTCTTCTACTTTGGTAAGATTCAATATATTGCTCTAAGAGCGTTATCGATTTTAATTATATTACATTTTATACTTTATTCTCTATGTAAACTAGAGAAACAATTACTTAATTTAAATAAAATTATCCTAGAAAACGTGTGGCCTCTACCAAATCATTTCACACCGAGATTGCTTTACAAGTTGAAAGTTGACGACTCGTTTGTTGAGCCCTTGCCCGTGATGCCTTGGGAACTTGTCAAAAAGGAGGTCGTTGAAAATGAGGAAAGAGAAGAACGTGAAAGCACTTCATCGAGTGATTAGATATAGACATTAATTGTTGCAGAAATATTGTAATTAGTGATTAATATTGTACATAGGCTTACCTTATAGCAAAATAAAACATACGTCCAGTTCAGCATAAGGTTTATTTTTGTTGTACCTATACTTTATAAATTAGGTCATTATAATCACAACGTTGTTCGATATTGCTATGGAAACCAGAGTGATATTGAATAAATGTTTCAGTACTATATTAGCCCTGAGTAAAGTCAACAGACATGGAAAAGAAGTTATTAAAAAGTTGTTCCAAGAAAAGTTCTCCTAAGTTGAAGTTGCCGCCAATAGAAAAGAGTGAAGTGAAAACTACTTTAGATATAGACCCTCATTTTTATTCCTTGGTAGAAAACAGACCGATAAGACCGAATAAATCTCTCCACAAATACAAACACAATATTAGAAATATAGCATTAAAAAGAACTCTCTATGGGTTTGTGACGGATGAGATATTAAGAATCAATAGGGAGATTGAAACGGAGAGAAAGATTTACAATGCAACAACAGAACGATTCGATGAGCACAAGCATAGTTTTGATAAATTTCTTGACGATGATAATAATAAAACGATTGTTATCATGACAAAGTCTGATAACTTAGCAAAAGAGTTAGCGAATCAAACCGAGGAGCACAAACAAGTTAGTTTCGAATTAGCGACTTTGAAGTCAAAGTTACAGTATATTACGGAGTCGCTTCAAATATTATTATCATTTCAAGGTTTTCTTTTTAATGCCGCACCAATACTCTGGCAAGAGAAGGAATGTAAATATATTAATATGGAGAATTTTGAGATTATATCAATGGATTCTGATATTTTCTGTGAAATTGACAAAAATGTAATAAGCGACCGATTAAGCAAACTGCCGCCTCCTAGTCTGTACTTTAAAACACCTGATCAATTACTGAATGTATTTAATTTATTGGAGAAACAAAATTTGAATTATCTTTTAGTCACCGAAGAATTGAATATGGAGAAAAATAAATTTGTTAAATCCCTTGGGAATTTGAAGAAATTGCTGTGGATGGAACTTGACTACATAAGGGAAAAGGTAAAAGTATACATTACAGTATTTACTAACATTATATATTCACTGTTTAATTTAAATTGTCTGTTGTATTCGAGATAATTTTGGAACTAATTTATTTTATTTATACAGATGAGAGAAATTGAAGAGACAATTGCTTGGAATGAAATGCGCGAGATAGAATTACAAAGGCTATTTTATAAAATATTGGATGACAAATTAAGCTACTTAGTGTCATCACAGACCGTTTTACAAATATTTAATTACGTCACATTTGCTTACGAACAAGTGATAGCTCCAAACGACGCAAACCTCAGTTCTTTAGATATGATGATGGCTCTTGAGAGGGAGTACAATGATCTCATGTTGGATCTGTCAGCATTTGACCTTCAAGTAATAAAGTCAATTGAAAAGGAGACTTATGAAAATGAAGCCAAGGAAACAAAACGAGCTAAAGAGGCAAATAAACTGTTGAAAGATGTCGATAAACTAAGTAAGCGACTGAAGTCTTCATATGAACCATCACGACGCGTCCACGATAATTAATGAATCACATTTTTTTACTTTATGTATGAATACAAAATAAATCGTGCTGTTCTTAAATGTACATTAATCTTTTTGGTATTAAACATTATTTTCTTTTTTTTCTTTCAGTCTTGAAACAAAAAACCTTACAGTCCTTTACTTTTTCTGTCTGTCTTATTGTATTTGACAAGTACTTCAACAAACAATTTTAGAATTCATACAAGCAATTAGGATATTCTTTTTATTTTCTTTTTAGAAATAATATTATTAATATGTCGTGCCTTAAAGAGAAACCCAAACCAATGGTGCCATTAAAAACTTTAGATATTATTTTTCGAAGAAGATACGTACCAAATACTCAACATTATTTTTCAAATAGAAAGCATGCTGTAACTGGAAAGGGAGAGCCAAGTAAGGTGACAAGACCGTTTCGTGTACCGAGGTCAGAAAAACTTCTATCTTACATAAAATATAGCGACCGTCGAGAAAAGCTTATCGGTAAAAACAGATTGTCTCAACCTTTACACCTAAAAGATAATCTAAGAATGGCTGCAACTCGAGATATTTCTGAAAGGCTTTATTTAAAAGAACCACCCGATGACGTACGTGCGGTTGTTGAGATACATCCAGAGTTTTACACAGTAATTGAAGGAAGACCTTTACGTTGTTTTGATGATATAAAGGTATACATTAATAATATACGAAGCTACGCTATGTATCGACAACAAATTGGTTATAGACGTGATCTTATTATGAAAATTGATAGAAATTTATCTGAAGAGACTAGAGAGCATGACGAAATAGTTCTTAATCTTAAACAACATATAAAAAACTTTCAACGGTTTTTAACAGAAGACTACAAAAGATCTTGTATAAAAGTATCGAACATGGAAAGAGTGAATGCAGAATTAGTAGCGAAAAATTCAGAATTTCTGGGTTATGTTTCAAAGCTGACGATACTCAATAATATTTTGTTTAAGCTTGACGCTATTCGAAGTATATTAAAAATATACAGAAGCTACTTAATATTTGTTGCACCTCTATCGTGGCGACAGATATACGATGAGAAGTTAAAGCATAAAGTACAATCCATACAGTTTGATACGGGAGAGTTTGTTACAGATAACGATCTTGTTGAAACATTGGACATTGATAAAATGGTTGAATTGGCTAAACAAGAATTAAAAAATCCATATCCGCCGCATATTTATTTTAGGAAACCACGACAAATGATGTATTTGTTTCGTACAATGGAATTACAAAGCAGAGAATATTTGATACAACTCTCAAAAACAGACGGTCCATATAGACTCTTACAAGATCGTATTAAGGAATTAGTAAAGACAACTAAGCAGGAATTAGATTATTTTCAATATTACATCGATAGCATTAATAATGAAATTGCAAGAGAAACGTATAATGAAAATCACTTGCAAAAAAAATTTTTTAGAATATTAAATACAAATTTCTATGATAGTGTTGCCAGTCCTAATACTTTGAAACTAAAAATATGTATCGAATATGTATATGAACAAATTTTCGGCAAATGTGACGAAGGTCATCAGAATTTACAGGATCCAATGAAAATTTTGGAAGTAATGTATGAAGATTACAATTTGCGGTTAGATTCATTAGATTTTAAAATAGTGAATCAAGCACGAAATGATTTCTTTGCACAAGATCTTAAAACAATGAGAAATGCTTACAAAGCTCAAAGGGAGTTAAGAGCTTTCCGTGAAATGACTAATGCCATGAATAAAGCATTCCTACCCCCAGCCATTTACAAAAGACCGGTTACTCCGAAGTTTTTGGACAAAAAGAGCAAAATAGCTTTGGTTATAGCCGAAAGACGTAAATCCCAAATGGCTAGTGGTGAACGGAAGAAACCTAAGAAATACAAAGTAAGTGCAGAGGAACGAGAGGGATTGCTGTCGTTTACCGAGTGGTGTGAGGGTATGAATCCTGCTCCCTATTTGGAAGAGTATTATAATTATGTAAAACCTGCTTTCGAATGGGTACCACGAAAATCTGTTTTGCCATAATTAATGTGTCATATTAAAATTGATGGATTTTAGTAAAGATTAATTAATTTCTGGCAATCTTTTAAATCTATATGAAGTTGCAATAGAACAATTTAACTCTCGATGGTCTGGAAATATATTATTTATGTTTTGAAGTTATTTCATTTACACAATAATGGAGAACGATACGCCTTCCATTGTAATAAATGTACCGAAACCAAGAGCTTTTCAGAATAGTTTTTGGATGCCTCCAGAAAAGAAGGTAACAATGCCACGTATTTCAAAACGAACATTAAGAAAGCCCTCAGAAACTACTTTGAAACGATATACATTACCTCAAACAGAAATATTACCGGTTGAAAAGTTAAAAAGGGCTAAAATACTTCTTCCATATAAAATGTATTCGAAGGCTCAAAATAGAGATCGATTTTTAAAAATGGTAGCTATTCCCATTCATGAAAAGTATAAAATTATAAGCACTGATATAAAAAAACGTTTGTACATACGCGATTCTTCTGAAGACGTTGCTACTGTTCCTGATATAGAAGACGCTATTAATAGATGTGTATTTGAAAGGTCGTTTAGATTTGATAATTTTATATATAAAAGTTTTAAAAACTCCATAAATAGAACATTGCAAATAAAATTGGAAACTGGCCTAAGAAAAGATTGTAACTTAAACGTTGAGACCAATTTCCGCAATGAGAAACGTATTTTCAATTTAACATTAGAGAGGTTAACAGACCAAGCAAAATATTTTGATACTTTTATATCGGAGGACTACAAAAATTCAAGAGGGTTATTAGCAACATGGGATAAACTGAAAGATCAAGTCGAGTCAAAATCTTTGGAATTAGAAAATCTAGCGGCTGAGAAATTTACAATCATGGCAAGAATTATTGGTTTAGAATACAGATTTAGTCTACAGCAAAAGTATGGACGTTTTTTATATTACCTGTCGCCGCCATCGTGGAGATTAAGACATAGGGATTTTGCTAAGTCAGTCGAAATTGAAGCCCGAGGCTTTGACTACGGCGATTCGTGCGAAGAAGACAATTTCACTGTGATTTTTGAAAAAATGCAAAAACTCTGTGCTTCGACACCTATTAAACCTGCTCTGTATTTTTCACAGCCAAAAGATTTGATTGATGTTTTTGAAGCTATGGAAAAACAACAACTTCATCACTTTGCACACGTAAATCAATTGACGCCTTATACGAAAATTCTTAGAGATGAAATAAAAGTCTTAGGAGAAATGATTGATAAAGATACAGCTTCAATTAAAAATTATATAAAAAAATTTGAAAACATTTTGATGCAGTCTGAAGAGCGATGTGATTACTTGAAGGCGAAATTTTTTAAAATTCTGTTTGGCTTATTTTTTGATAGTGTTGCTGCTATCGATGTCCTAAAACTTCAGTTAAATTTAGAGTTTTGTTTTGAGAAGGTTTTTTATGAGAAACCTTCAAATATGGATATTGTAGCTGTGGCCAGTGCTATTGAAGGGCTGTATATGGATTATTCGAAGCGCTTGGACACTGTAAAAAGTACCTCTGTCAGACGGGCTATAACGAGATGCGTGAATGCAGAGAAGGTAAAATTAAGAAGAGCTGTTCATGCCGCTAATGAATTACGTTTATTTCATAGGCTTGAACGAGAACTGCTCCAGGCACATGGTCTTGATACGCAAAATGTTTACAAACCCGTTGATACTCGCCTATCGAAAACTACAAACAAATTTAAATTTGATAGAAATTGTAAAAATGATAAAAAAGATAAAAATGAAATATTAACGGAGGCAGAAAAGGAGTATTTACATTTATTTACGGATTGGACGCCAAATGAGGACCCAGCAAAATACCTTCAAAGCTTAACTTTAAACGATTATGTAGTAAATCCTGACGATAAATTATGAATATTTTTTTTTATAGAAAATAAACAATTTTATTGAAAACAGACTTTATTACGGGGATTCATTATAATAACATTTATGTATCGCCATAAAAGATAATACATTTACAAACACCTCAATGTCTTCTTAAAACAAATTTAATAACAAAAGCAATTTACCTACTCATAAAAATGTTTGGTTTCTTGGTATTGACAAATAACTACATTGATTTTTACATATTTACAGGGCGGATAAAATAAATTCTGGTAAAATAATTTTTAATACAATGGTTATACAATGTACGCTAAGTTTTAAAACTATGAGTGAATAAATAAATACCTAATTTTAATGTTATGGTTATATCCCTGATGCTCTTTTTATTAGTAACATGTTTATTGTGATTTTTTACTAATAAAAATTGGGTTTTTCCAAATTTTTTACTATACATAATGTGATGCAATTGTTCAAAGTACTATACTGAGTCCAACTGGAGCCTATGCTTTATCAATTTTAAGGCTTTTCAATTGTAATAATTTTGCCTGTTTAACAGTCAAGAAGATTGTTCTTGGCATTTGTAATGAAATACCTCGCAATTGTCGTTGCTTTGGTTGAAGATGAATAGATAGATGAAGATCTACTAAGATTACAGAACATAATTAAACTGCGAGCATTACTATTATAATGTATTTACAATTTGTTATTTACAAGAGGTCCACTAAAATACTAAATATAAAGATTTTTTTTTGCGGAGTTACAACAATGATTTAACGCTTTTATCTAAAACACGGCTAAGCAGGGTTCCGTATGTCTAGATGACCACAATCCTCTTCTATACCAGTTTATGATAATATTGATGTGTATATGATAACCTACCTAATATGTAATTTCCTTTGGTATTTGGTAATGAATCTATTTTTGCTAACCTTTAAAATTTGAATAAACCTTTTCAAATCAAAATAATGTTGACATTCAATCTAATTTCAATAATTGGTCCAAAGTATTCTATCATTCCAAGCTGATATTTATAAAATTGGCTACCAAAATTATTGCCATATTTCTTTTATTGGCCTAGATTTTATTATACCTGTTATTATTTTTAAACACATTGATAAGCATTAAATATTCTCTATCAAAAAATTTATAAAGAAGTTTTAAATAAATTTGAGCAATACTAAATGTATGAAAGTTCCTCATAAGTTACTATTAACTTACAGTAAAAAACAACATGTATATTTGGTGTTCGATTGGGGAAATTATTGAATTATCCACATATAATGAGCATTGTTATGAAAGTCTTAGATTAGTCGATTATTCAAATAATTGATCCTACGGCAGGATCTTTATCTCACTCTCTTCTTTTGCAACTTCGCCAATTTTCTTCTTTTCAATATCATTTCATGAAGAGCTTCGAGGCCTTCATGCAGTCCTTCTCCAGTGATAGCGCAGGCCGGTTGCACGTGCCATGAGTGAGCATCTCGTGATCCATGTGGAGAAGATACGAGTTCATGCAATCCCAATAGCTTTTCTAGTTCCCTTGGTTCCTTTGCACCAGGCAAATCTTGTTTATTAGCCAGCACCAATATAGGCACCCCTGTGTTATCCGGTGACTTTGCTGTACGTATTAACTCCATTTTAGCCTCTTCCATTCTCTCAACGTCAACTGAATCGAGAACAAATATTATGCCATCCGTGCATCGTGTGTATGATTTCCATAGAGGCCGGAGTTTTTCTTGACCGCCGACATCCCAAACGAGAAAATTAACACCTTTAGATTTACCGATTGTGCCTTTCACTTTTTCGCAGTTAAAGCCTATCGTGGGGACGGTGTTGAGGTACTGGTCGAACTTGAGTCTGTATAGTGCAGTCGTTTTACCCGCCGAGTCCAGTCCTAGCATGACGACGTGGAGCGTTCCCTGCGTGGAAGGCAGCGCGTCGAGCAGGCTCGAGTTCTTGCCCATATTTGCACCCATGCTGTTGCGGCGATCAAACTATCTAACACTTTCGTCTGACCGCAGCATCATGAGACAGGTTTAACTGGAAAATAAAAGACATTGAATTAATTTAAGTATAATAAACGAATTAAAATACTTATAGTTATTCTTAGTAATAATATTTATTAAAATAAGGTCATTCTAGTAAGATTATAAAAAAATATATTAAACTAATTTTTAAAAACAAATCGATATTATAAATATATGTTTAAACTCAATAATTAATAATTTGTTGACACATATCAAGTCGAAACGTCAACGTCATTGACGATTTTTTTTTTGTTAGTATTATTCTACACCGCGTGTATTCAAAATACATAGCTTATTTTGTTATGGATAGCAATGTACTTCTAAGCTGCCGTATAATTTGTCATCACGATTTCGTTTGTTTACGTCAAAATTATTCTTTAAATTTTGAAAGTAAATCCAATCAATTTAGAAATTGAATAACAGTTCTATGTTTATAGAGATAAAACTGGTAGGCCAAGATTATTAATTACGCATTGTACTATTATGCAATATTCCGTCCTAGAGAAACTGTATGAATGAAACAGGTGAATAATAACGGTTCAAGTTGGTAACGGGCCTCGAGAGCAGACGAGACTTGGTGTCGCCGGGACCTTAGATACGTTTTACATTGCTCTAGACTCAACATTTATTATTTCCCATACAGACATGTTCATTTACGTCATTATTGCTTGGTATTGATTTCTTGTTTCTTTACAACTTTAATAGGAACAATAGAATGTTGTTCTTTGAATGTGTAAGACTTAAAACATTTCCGTATTCTTAAGTTCTTTCTGCTTTATATAAAATATTATTATTATTAATAGTCTGCGAAATATATTTTTGGCGATAAAATACATAAAACTTTTAGCTTCGTTATTTTTATATGTATGCTCAAACCACAATAGCATGCAATGTAGACGGTTCGACGACATTAGCACGAACTTGGTACAGAATGAAACATTCTGTTGGTTATTTTTCATCTCAGGTCAACGACCGCGATATACGATTTAAGTTTGAAGGTAATGTTCGTTTGGATATAAAAATGTTTTTTAATCTCAAAATGTTTAGACGTTTGTTTTGTTTTACAAATAACATTGCTGAATAAATAATTAATTTTTGATAATTACTAAAGCATAAGGAACATTAATTTTAAGTCAGAGAATTCTTAGAATGAATATATTAAATAGTCATTTTTAATATTAACATGTTTACCAAATGATTAATTAATTTTGTTATTTGGGCCTAAATTGGAATATTAAAATAGATTCATTTCAACGCATGTAAACGCATGTGCGTGAAAATTATTCAATTAAAGTATTATTTTTGTCGGTTATTTAATATAAGAAACTCTTTAGTTCTTTGGGAGTTGAAAGGTCAATAAAATGTCAAAAATACGATTAAGTAGAACAAGTTCCTTTTAATCAAGTGACGGATCAATTTCTAAATTAATATTTGAGGTCAAATCGTAAATCGCAAGTGGGGCCTTCGACCTGCTCATCTTAAAAACTCGTAAGACAACTTTTGTTTTTATTTGACCGACTTAGTGAATCGTTCTCTTTGCTTTGAAACAACATCTGTCAATAAAATTGATGTGACTGTTGAGATATGTTCATAAAAAAATTATTGTAAGGGAACATAAAGTTAATACAATAATTTCTCATAGAATTTGAATACTTATACATATATTCTTTCCTAACCTTACATGTTTTCAACTATTGTTAATTAATTATTTTCTAGTTTTGGTCTAAATTAAGTGTAAGTCAAGACAAATAATACTTAATTAAGTAGAGCACAAGAACTGTCATTTACAACTTATTGTACATAATTACAATACGATAATTGAAAATTTATATTTCATACTTATACCTCATTAAGATTTATGAGCGATTAAATAAGTAAGGCTTAATTAAAAGTCATTAATTATTTCTTCACAAATTATGTGAATATGTTTAAACATGATAAAATTTACAACGGTAATGTATCTCGGATATAAGGTTTATTAATTTATGTGTATTCAAAATATATAGCCTGAACAAAAACAAACATTTTTATTTTTTAATAACATCTCTCCGGGGAACGATTTGTAAGAAAGATTGTCTGGATTTTTGTGAATTTTTTAAATAATAACCGAATAGATTTAAGTATATTTAATATAGCATTAGAGATGCACATTTTTTGATTTAGCTGAAATATAGCGCGGAAAGCAGCTATAGTAACAGAAAAGTTACAAGATAAAGTTACGAAAAAGGCTTTATAAAACTGTAAATTAAGATATATTATCAGAATTGAAGTTATGATCGGTACTGATATACCTTAGCTATAGGTGGGGCTGGGGTCAACAGTGTCAAGTGAAAGCACGGCCCTTTACTTTCTCCATTTGGCAATAAAGCGAAAATCTGAATTTCTTTGACATTAAAAGTACTTAAGCTAGAATAATTAAGAATATATATTCACCACCAAAAAGAGGCTGACTGTATAAGAATAGATATTTATATATGCCAACAGTGCGATCGATGTCATGGCATCGCCATCGTAAAACGTTTTAATTGAAAAATTTAAACTAGCTGTCGTTTTGGAATGTTGTTATTTGAAAACATGTCATTAGGAGAAAGCAGTAATCTGATCAAAACGAATGAAAGCAACTTTGTCATGTGTTTTTAATAGGAAAGTTGAAATACGGATTCAGAACCGTTACTTTTGAAATATGTATCTGTTAAAAAACCTCTATAATTTATGATCTATATCTATTCTATAGTCTAGACGATGCTTTTAAATCGTCAGGGGGTGTTGCATTTAATATTAAAGTAACGTTAATAAGTACTGTTATGTTTAGACATCTGTTATGTTGTTACGGAAAATGTACTACAAGTTTTTTTAGGAGTCGAGTAATTTATCATTACAATCTATATAGGAAAAGTTTGAGTAAGGTCGGTATAAGGTAACTCCAAATTGGTTATACAAGTAATAATATTTTACTGTCCCCTACAGTATTGAACGGTTATTGGCACGCATCGTTACCGCATGTAGTCCAGTTATATTCCGCTAACCTGTCGGAACTTGGAATGCAATCTTCCTCCGTATATGTCCGAGGACCCAAGTGACCCGACCCTACTTGGCGTAACCTACTAATCATTCTCGTGCTTCCGTTGTAAATTATGTGGTATCCTGTTTGTCTCGGCTTCGTTCAGGCATTAGAATTGGATCTTCTAAAGTATTACTCGTGTTTATAATTGAACATTCACGGAAATCCTCAAATATTTACTACTGTGTGATATTTTTATAAAATTAACAATACAAATCTTCTTGTAATTGAAAGAAGTATAGTATTATATTACGTCTTTGAAGTAGGTCATAGATGATATTGTTTTTCATGTCTACACATTCATAGGAATGTGTATAGGACAGAATTGAAAGTGTAATAACTTTAAAATAAGTGATGGAAATAATATGCATAATCTACAAAGTGGTTATTTAAGTCTATTCATTTCATGAAGCTTATAAATAATACGGAACTTAATTTAAATTCAAATCAAGAACCAGATGCAATAAACTACACTGCAGATGCTATGCATTACATGTAATTAAACTCAATTGCGCTTAGCTCTCGAATGAGATTATCGTACGATGAATTCGGTCAATGCATATTAAAAGGATACTACCGTTAATGGCCGACAAATATAATGGAACGTTCTAAAACGTACAACTGACTTTATAACGGTAGGTATTGAATATGAAACGTTAGCATACTTCTAGTCTTTACCAAAAAAAAGGAAGGAATTTTTTAAGGGACACATTTTAATTTATAGGTATCGTCGGCTTATAAGAAAACTTCTCTATTTCTAAATGTCCTCTTTCTTTTTTTTAATAATATTTTTGATTTATATATAACTTTTCCTAGTAAATATGTTTTTATTAATAGCAACATAATAACAAAGAAATACTTACGTCTAGTGTGTATATAAATTTTATTCGGCTTTGAAGAGTTTTCAGTCCAGGGATATAATCTGAAACAATTAATGATGTTTAAAATTTTCATATATTTAAAAAGAACTCGGGTTATTTTAAAGATTTCTGTTTTATATTCATAAGATAAAAAAAATTTTCAAATCATACTCCATTACATAATCCATTTGTAAAGTCTTAAAGCATTTTTAATGTGATTTGGATTTAAGAGAGAAAATTTTAATCTTATTAACACTGTTTTAATGAAAGTGGAGGGAGGCTGTAAAGGGGATTTAATCCTGCAATACTTTTTTAGAAATATAGGGTAATTTGTTATTTTTTACATGTAAGTTTATTTATTAATTTTATTACTACGTACCGTTTTGTATGCATCGCTTTAAAAGCTATTAAAGGTACATTGCCGCGAGCTAGTAAGTCCATAAAACCAGTCCGAAAGCCAACTCATAAGCAATTATTTTAAACTAGACCTTTCTTACGTCTTTGATCGCCTTAAATTTGTATAAAATCTGTGGTATTCTTTTCCGTAATAACGTTTTTATGTGTTTTATTTGATATTTTAATGTTCTCTTTGATTTTTTTAACGTGAGAAGATTGGAAGATTGAGCTGAGATTGATGATTATCTTGCTGTACTAAATTAGTATAATTGTTTAAATCAATGAATTATATCAAAATAACAGAATGATCAAATATAATCTGTGACATTCATATGAAGTAATAATGCACAATAATATCCATATATTATGGTTATCTTTTGCGTTGTTTAAAAAACTTGTTGACGTAAAAAATATTTTCAGCCCTTTAGTTGAAAAACGAGTAGCTCTGGTACAATTTTAGTGCTGACTAACAATAGGCCGCGAATCTACAAGTGGTGGATAATTAAACGTGAGATGAGAAAAGTTTTTTAACCTTGTAAAAAACATTATTATTATACACGTAATAATAAAACGAATTTACTATAAGACTTAATTAATTCTAAATTTTGAATGCTTTCTAAATGATACTATAA